GGCAGTGGCATGAGTGCAGAATATCAGACTGGATCTAATGTTGGTGCTAATGTCCAGTCTCAGGTCAGTTGTAGTGGAAGTTGGTTGAGCCCTGAGGCTGAGCCATATGGTTTATAAGTGTATAAAATTCAACCCTCATGTAATTTGAGATGAGTGTATAATCTACCTTGGAAGGGTGTTGTGCATTTTTAAACTACAGTTCTTGATTTCATTTACCTCGAAGTGATTCATGCAATTTCTTCCAAAATTTAAGCACACTACCACACTACTCTCTAAATTACATTTAGATATACATAATGGTAATAGAACTGAGTGGAGTCCAATTTGGTCTGTGATCATATGAGTGACTGACGAAATTGGATGACCGTGAAGCAGGAGTATAATTTGTTGATCATGAGTATGACTACAGAAGGAATTGGACAACACAAAGTCCTGTTACCAATGAATCAAAACTATGCCAAATTTGAGATAGAAACTATACCTTGATTATGTGTTCTTTTCATTAAAAAACAATGGTTAACTTAACAAAATACATGACACCGGCATGCCCACATGATGCATACTGTTTACTTACACAGGCATGATGTGGCAAACGTCCTATTACACTGTCCAATTACAAACATGATGTGTACATTGTCCTATTAGTTCTTAAATTCTTGAGAATTTTGTTAAAGTTTTGATTAACCTTGTAATCAACTGTTATTGCATTGCAACATGAGCCCCTAATTAACCTTTAATTGGGTTTTTTATACCATGTGGGTGTTTGCTTCTTACTGCATAATGCCCTATGCTAATAGTGATTGTTGGAATGATCATAAAGGAACCATTCTGATATTTATTTTTATCACTTAAGGTGCCAGGTTTGCGACATGTGATTTCCCAGGCTGCCACAGGTTATGGTATTGATCCAGCCACAGGACACATGCAACCTCATGGGCAGAGTCAGGTCTATCATGATTCTCATCATCTTCATCATCAAGTAAGAAAAGTATATACAGTTATAAAAGTATTCCTTGTCAGCAACTTAAGATTTATATAGACAATAGTATGGGGAATGTGCCTAGTGATGTTAGAGTGTAAAAGGTTAATTAAACAGTCTTTAATTTATCTTCTCTTGTTTACCAGGCAAGAGGGTTCAATGAACTGTTTGACTCAATAAATGTGTGGGCTGGAAAGGCAGGATCAGCTAAGGTATGGCCACATTACAACATACAGTTAACAGTAAACCATTCTGGGACATATTTAAGTAACTTTTTTTTGCTAGACATTGATAGTAGATTCAGTGGCTTCTAATAACAACCTGCCTGTGATGCTTGGCTTAATTTTTCCACTATCTCGTGTAGTTTTTGTTGTTACATGTAAGTAATGAGGTGCCTGTACAGTTTTGCATATAGATTTCAGTACAATGCCTCTAGATCTTCCCAACTTGGTGTAATCAGACTTTTATCATTGCAGAGTGGAGAACAAAGAAAGAGAGGGCAGAATGGCAAAGCAGGTATGGTGAAAATGATCTGCAAAGTGGCAGGAAACAGCTCCTTAATTAGTGGATAGTAGTTGGAGAATTCGCTGATTGCTACATAATGAACTTCCTGATTATTTACAATTATTGAATTTTCAAATCAGATTATTGCATCTCTAGTGTTCTGATTGGTTCACACAACTATGGCTATCAGCTCATATTCTGAGTCACCTTATATGGAAATGCATTGAGCCAACTGTTGCAAAGCTGAAAAAAGGCTCCAAATATCCAAATGTTCAGGATTCAATGGATTTTAATATAAGTTATTTTATTCCCATATGTTGGATATGGTGCAATAGCTAAGTTGGCTCTTCACACCTCATTGGCTATTTATCATATCATATCCAATACAAAATCATGGAATAATTTTTAAATATTGGTTGGCTAAATGTACTTTTCACTAATGTCTTAGGAAGTCGCAGCAACACCCCTTCAGATTCCATACCAGGCTCTCAAGAGGACAAAGATGAGCAGGGAGGCCCAGAATTCTCTAGTTTACAGGGGCTGACTGAAATGACTAATGCTGACTTTGACTCACGCGGAAGTGAACGATCCAGGGATGAACCCCCATCAAAGAGGACTAAGATGTGAGAAATACTGGATGGATGAAAATGAGGTGGATTTTGCTGGATGGCTGTGGTTTGTGTTCAAGAAAACTGGAATGGACACTAGTGAATTATTTGAGGATTGTAGGAAGTTGTGTGCTGAAAGATTGATTTAGGAAGGTGTGCCTCAGTACATGTAGGTAAAAATGACTTAAAGACGCCTTGATACACATTGGACATGACGTTTAATTCTCAGCTCAGTTCATGGTGTTGATGTATGAAAAGCATGCTAGTGTGTTTACAGTTTTGGTGCTATAACTTTTGTCAAGAAAAATGCTAGCTCTTTTCGTTTCACAATGTGACAGCAAACAACAGAATGGCTGCATTTACATTGCTATAGTACCATCAGTGTAAATTTGGGAATGAGAGTTAGCTGACATGATTGTGATTTTAACAAATCCAATTCAAAATGTAATAAAAATGGTAGTATCTACTCTAATATATGATCTCAGGCTTGATTATAACAATTACAAGTGATTTAGAAAGCTCTATTGAAAGGTATTGTAAAGTATTAGTTCGTATAAATCATCAGTATCATCAGTATTAGCATTAGCAAGTGTTAGTTTCTCATCATGCTTCCAAAAAAACTTACAAAATGGCTTTTATGCCTTAGAAAAAAAAACTGGATTATGTAGAGTATTATTCAAACGACTTGTACTATTCTTGACTATTGTTGATGTTGGCAAAGATGCTTGCTTCTTGGTGTAAGTGCTTTGTGATCAATGTCTATTTTACTCCTTTCATGAAACTAAGATAGAGACGGTGATGTATTTGTCTCTCAAAAATTTCTTGCACTGGGGAAAAGTGTTATGTCAATAGCGTGGGACAACCTGATTATCCATTTCACTCCCAAGATCTCATCAGTAATTCTCCTAACTGTCTGTCATACAGTTCTTATGACATTAGTTTTGACAATTTGATATTGGATCAACTAATAAGCCCCTAATCAGTATTTTCCTTTACTCTCACCAGTTTTTTGTGTGATGTACTATTGGTATTGTAAGGAGAAATTCTGTCTTGTTAGGGTCGAATTGTGATCAGTTGACAACTTTGTTAATTAAAGGTGCTGGTAATTCTTCCTAGGTAACTGGAAGATTTAAAAAAAAAAAAAAACAGAATTAGGTCTTACTTGTTATGTGTTTATTGATTTTGTACGTGTAATTTCTCAGACTTTGTTTCCCAGACTTTCATAGGGACAGACAAAAGAAATCAGTTATATCATGGAAATAAATATTTTACAAGGATGGATAAACTGAAATGTGGAACATGTTGTTTTTGGAAAAACACCTAAGTGTAATTTTGTTTTTATTTTGTTAGTGTATATATATGAGTTACTGATAGCATAAATTTTTATTATAGGTGAATAAAGATATTGTCAATATTAATTATTTTAGAATAATTATGGTTCAGTTTTGATACAATGAGACAATGCTGGTGATTAAACTAGAGAGGATCATAGATTTTGTTGTTGAGAAACTCCATCCTATCTATTTGATCAAAGTTTTAACTTGTGAGGTGAGAGGTGGGAGGCCTTGCAGTTTGGTCATTGTATTGTGTTCTTGGACAAAAAGCTCTTCTTTCAAAGTGCTTCTCTCCACCCAGACTATAAATGGATACCAGCTAACTGTCAGGGAAGCTTGATAAAATGCTGGGGGGTGACCTTGTGATAGACTGGCACTCCATCAGGGTGGATACTCTTAGTTGCCTAATGCTACAGAAACCTGCATAACCTCCTACTGGATATGCCTCCTGGCTCCAGTGCAGAATTACGGTCAAGTCGCCGACGTGTAAAATCGAGTAGAGACGTCGGCGAGTTGGTCTTCAATCCAGTACAACTTATTAGAAGATAGACATATAGAAAAGTAAAAGATATTTAGTGAAAAAACAATTTTGTTTTCTTCTAACAAAGTTTTTAAGGATCTCATGGCGAATAAAGCAAGGTAAACATCACCAATTAATATAAAAGCTTCAGACGCGAACTAATTATTGTGTGACAACAACACTGTGGAGACTCGTCATGTCAATCGGTCAGATTTTTTTTTTTAAAAACTTGGCTTTCTAGACAAGATCTTTAGTAAAAAAAACAATTCTTTTTAATTCACCTTAAAGAGTGACAAGCATCATATTTCTCAGTAGAGTGTAACCCCAAAATCAAACAGATAGATAACGAGAATAATGGCCATTTAAAGGAGGTGTGATAATTTCACAGAATTTCCGTGGTAGTATCATAGGGAATGTAAAGAGAGCAGCTTGGAGATTATGCATAGGATTGAACCTGTGATAATGGCACCTTTGTAAGTGGTCATCCTGTATTAAGTAGTTGGTTGCCAAAGTCATGAATTTTTATCAAACTTTGCAACATTATGGATTTGTTCTCATTTCTCACTAATTCACCTTCTTGGCTAACCTTTGTTAGCAGCCTACTAGTTTGTCTTCTTTCAGTTAGTGTTTTTAACCAAATTGTGTGCATATTTTGATTCAGGGGGCCTTGAAACTAACACCAAAATTACCATCAAAGCCATCTGGAACAAAGGTCAACATCATAAGGAGCAATCCAAAAACTGCAATAGGAGCTTCAAACATTAAAAAAGTGGATACATTAGTAGGGATTAGTTTTGGTATTGTCGTTTATTATTTTGGAAGGATAGAGTGAGTTTTCTGAACCAATCAAACTTTGCAGTAGAGCATTACTACCAGTAATTAAAATGAAATGTAATTCCAAATTACTCTCCACAAATATTTGAAAATTATCATATTAGCTATACACTGGTTTATTTGTAAAGCTCTTGTAAAAGCCCTATGGACGCTAGGTTTATACTACATGTGGGTCTTCACATCTTGTAACACTTGAGCTTGTGTGCAAGCCACTGACTGTTAACTTCCAATAAACATCAGATTCCTTAAAGACCCCTCAAGCCCCTTTTCTCAAGGCCTTAACCCTTTAACTCCCACTAGTGATCAACATGAAACTTCTCCCAATAATATCCATACATTATTCAGCAAACAGGTAATGAGAATATTCAAACTTATCAGGTGGAATCTGCTATCTTGATCTAGCACCAAGTTCTCATAACTAATTTACAACAAAATGTGTAGAAGCTAGTGGGGAGAATTAACAGTCAGATCTTGGGAGTTAAAGGGTTAAACTTACTCCCATGTGAAGAAATTCTTGTGGGCTAGCACTACTTTGGGTATTTTCATCAATTTTAAGTAAAAAAATAAAAATAAATCCATTTCAAGTTTACAGCTGTAGTATCCTCATACTTGAAGCATACATAAGTAATGAAATTTTTTACTCCTACAGTGGAACTGCTTGGTAACACCATGCTGTCTTCTACATGGTGATTAACCATGAAACCCCAGGGGTGAATAGCATCTGATTTCTCCTTACAATATCCCTGAATCACACATTAGTATCACAAGAATAAAGAAAATGATCACCAGCCAAAAAGCCCTTGATTGTTAAACAAATTCTCCTTGTCAACACCTAAGTAGATGTATAAAAAACAGTACAGAGAATATGCTTACTGATGTTGGGGTGCAAAGGGTTAATATATCTTACTAATGAGCAAGAAAAATCTGAAATTTTGAATGTCTACCTTGAAACAATAATTACCTTAAATTAATGTTAACACACTTTTTTTTAACACACTATCCCAAATAGTTTCCAACATTAAGTCAAGATACCTTCCTTAAGTATATATGCTGTTAAAAACAACATGAATTTAAAACCCCCTACAAGATTTAAAAACTTAATACATATTTTTTGCACGGAACATAAAGGCTTTCTCATGTTAAATGATTTGAAATGTGAGAAACAATTATACAAACATGCCTGCTTTTCTGTGATTCATACTGATAAAAATAAATGCTTGATGCAACACAATAAGTGCACAGATAATCAAGAACATGTTTATCAAATTAATTAAATATATTACCCTAATCTAAAGTTGTAATGACTGGCACATCTGTAAAATGCAATGTAATATTTTCAACTTCCTTTGTCATAGAACAACATAATATTCCCTAATAATATCGTAAAAATATATATTTTTGCCTCTTGGAGCTATTGGTCTTCAATGTCTTTCACCTTGCAACTTCTTTTGATTCAAAGGTAACTGTCTGTGTCCCAAAAATGACAAATAAGGCAACAGTGGTAGTAAAATGTCTTAATTAAAGAGCCAAACAGCTATAGTTGCGATCAAGTTTAGTCTCACACAGTTCATTTCATTAAAGGAATAAATCTGGGTAGACTTCATCTGTTGTAATTGTATCAGGAGTGTAATGCACTCAAGAATTTATGGCTCTCAAATCACTTCAATGTTGTACCTTTGGATTAGCCCTTTCTCACTAAAACAACATGAACTTCCTTCATTTTCTTTAGCCTTTTTAACTGCTTACTTCATTCAGAATCAAGTTGGGTTCTACCCTCTTAAATTGTATCTGATGAATCTGTTAACCTCATTTGGATTTAGCTTGAGCCATAGCGCAATGTTTTGATGAAGGCAATAGCTGCACAAAACTGCATCCAATAATAAGCTTCCTCTCCACTGAGCCTCTTGTCATAGAAGTTATTAACATATTGCATGGTAGACAGAAGGCCCTCAGGATTTGCATGTATCACCACATACACTAAGGCTGGGACAAATTCATCTGCACCAGGCACACTAGTTTCACTTGCTAAACACAACAGATTCATAATGGTGACACAACATCGCTTGACACACTTGAGCTTGTCTGTTGGTGTCTAGGGAAGCAAGAGAAGAATCTCATAAAAAAAAACCACCCATTACTCTAGTTTCTGATACATTCATGAAGCAAATCTAGAGGGCATTGGGTGAAAAACTTAATATGGGTGAGCACAATTTGTATTCATCGGTTGTACAACTTTGAGTGAGCAAATCAAGAGATGGAGATGGCAAACAAGTGCCTTCCCTTTGCACTGTCCACTGAAAAAATTAGTGTGCTGCTCTAACCTTGGCACCAGATGGAAAGAAAAACAACACAGTCAAATAGGATGTTGAGGACTCTAAAAATGGAGAGGCAGAAGATGTATTTTTCACCTTAACTGAGAGCCATAAATCAGGTGGGTGAGATTGATGGAGGAGTTAGTGCCCCAGTTCTCCCTCAAGGGGTAAAAACATTATATTAAGTGAAGTAAAGCAAGAGATAGAATAAATGCAACTACCTTGTAAGCATTAATTGCCAGCAGTTCTTTCTGAGCTGATTCCCAGGGTGCTTCCTTACGGTACATCTGTTAAAAAACTAGAATGTTAGCTTCCTACCTGGACCAAATTTTTCTTTTGGTCAAAAAAGAACAAGATACAAGTATTACTTGATAATGCAATGTGAACATTCTTTGATTAAGTCAGATCAAAAAAGACTTGTGCATAAAATGATACCAAAACTTGTTAAAGATTTAGAATTAATACATACCTTAGGGACTCTTACAGCTTTGTGATTAGGATGAATAACTTTCTGCAGGTTGATCACATGCTCATGAAACGTACTGAGAGTACAAAAACAAACAAGACACTGAGGATATTGATGTGAGATTTCAAGAATAAACCCAATAACCAAAAAGGATCAGAATCAAAGCTGAAGTGAAAAAGTGTCAAACTCACAGACTGCAAGAAGCAGCTTCTTGATCTGGTATTTTAACAGAAAACATATGTCTATGCGTTTATGCATATTAATTTTATCTACAATATATATACACATACATGTAGTACTATTAGTAATTGCAGGTATTTATAATCTTCAGTTGAAAGCATTGTTCTCCCTCATTTAAAGAAGACAGGTAAGTGGAATTTTCGAACTGGTAGAGCAATCCTTTTACCTGTTGAACTTTGGGAAGCAGGGATGGCACAGTGGTGAGGGCACCCACTTCCCACCACTGTGACCCAGGTTTGATTCCCAGACATGGTGTCACATGTTGGTTTTTCCCCAAGTCCTAAAATTTTCTTCCCTCCACAAAAACTCATATTCTAAATTCCAATTTGACCTGGTAAAAGTGGACATGAAGAGCCACCTCATGAAATGTCCACTGTTGAATCCCATTTTAACTTAAAAAATTCCAATTAATTTTAGGCAATAATAAAAGGAGCTGCAGGTGATAAATTTAACTGGTTACACTTGAAAAGGAATGTGAATCAAATGACAAACCCCGCTGTAGCTTTTAACTGTATGGCTTATCCCCCTGGACTAAATACTAGCCTACTTTAGGGTACATGTTATCCTACAGCATTTGGTCAGGTTTTATTAACAATTTGCCAATTCTCATTTACACGTCCGTGTGGATAGAGGCTCTGGGCAAGTACCGGTAAATTGCCTTGCCTACAAAGAAAATGTCCTCAGCCTACAACTATACCTGAAATTTATGACTAGAGTCTAAGATACTAACACTTGGCCCCCTGCATTCTCAACAGATAATCAGTAAAAAAATTGCAATTTTTAGTTACATTTCTTAGGAATTGATATTGACCAAGGTCAGAAATCTCTAAGTGCAAAACCTGGCTTATGAACAAAAGTACTGCAACCTCCAGTTTTGAGCATAGCTCACCTATCTATTTGCTGGTCAACTCCACCAAAAGGGTAAAATGCAGAAATGTAGATACTGCTCATAATGGCACGTTCTATTGCCACCAAGGAATCCTGAAATTGCTCATCACTGACACCTGCCAATCAAATGATAAATAATAATTATTTGTTGGATAATTTTATGTAAATGTGTGTAAAATCATTGAATACATTTATTTTGAGCTTATTCCTTGTACCTGACCAGATTGGGTGCTTTTCCATCTCATCCCCTAATGTCTCTAGGAATTCTTCAAGCAATGCACACTGTCAACAGATTTAAAGAAAATTATTTTAAGTGGAGGGTTTTACACAAGAGCCACCTGCCAATGGATTTGCTGATCACTCTGATAGAAGTTTTCCCCAGGCTACTTGTGCTATCGCTATCAACGAAAGATGTAGCCCAAAAACCAATATAAATTGTTTCATTGATTCTGATGTGGTTTTCTTTCCAGCAACATCAGCTTAAACTAGAGTTTGAAAATATACTAAGAGACTAAAACTTTATTTACATGAAGCTGTGTAATCTATAGAGCAGGTTAGGTAGGCCATCAAAGGTGTTACAGTTAAATTACATCTGCTTCAGTTTTTTAACATTACTGAAAATAGTCTCTCTGTTGCTGTTTAAGAGTGAAACTCACTCAAATCACACAGAAGTTTCCACCAAAATTTTAGGTCACTGCATGCCCAAAATGTCTCTTTGCCAGAAAACCAATGGGTGCTCAAGGGAGGGAGGGGGAAACTTTGTACTCATTACAAAATAATTACTCTTTACAAGTTTGTGTCAAGTTAATGGAGTAATGGAGTACTAACACTGATATTATTTGTGCAAAATCACAACAGCATCTAACATGTTTAAAATCAGTGAAATAGTATAGGAACTACCTGAGGTTAAAACATGGTCAATGAGAGTGCAATATTTAATTTTGTCAAACCTTTTCATCCGGTGTTGGCAAGGATTGAAAATTATGGGTAAATCTACTAATCTCTCCTTTCTCCTTTGACTCAAGAAATAGCTTCACACAAGAGGTTGTAAAGTACGTGCGACAAATGATCTTGTCCCTATGAGTTCAGAAAAGAGCCACTCATCAAAAGTTATATGTAGCAACATCAATAACATCTTGGTTACTGAGAATGTGGAAAACATGCTACAAACAGTTGTTGTAGAATGATATAGTTGCATAGTAGTTGGGTCTTAGATGCAATCTCACATAATTTTCTCAGCCATGTAATGTAATCTACATGACTTGCATTTTTCAAGAATGATCTAATGAAACAATGTCCATACTTTCTCTCAGTCAACCAATAACTAATATCTGAGGATATAAAATTATTTAAGAATTAATCAATTAAAAAAAAAAAATTTGGGTATTGTTACCTTTCCACTCTTTCTACTAATCTCTCCAGGTGTGAATGAGTTGCTAATAGTCCTTGATGTGCATTGACCAAGTATGCTAGGTATGGAGCACGAGCTTTATAATCCTCCTGTAATGATTCCACAAGTCTAGCAAAGCTATAGAACAGCAACCACAAGTTATTAGCATTCTGCACAAATAGTGATGGGCATTTCTGTCTGGAATCAAATAGTTTGCTTTTACAGCAAAACACGTTTGCTACATTCGCATTAATATTCTCCATGTTGTTCTCTTTACATTTCCTATTAATACTAATAAGGACAATTATTTTAACAACCCGGAGCTTCTTAAATTGGTGATCATTTCCTTCATTCTCATGACCCTCACACTTGATGAAACAGTGATACTGTAAGGAAAAATTAGAAGCCAGACACTTTAAGGGGAGAAAGGTTTAAATAAAGCAACTAAAAATAAACCTTTGTTGGAGAAATATAAAAATCAGAATTAAATTGGGTCTTTGCAAGACAACTTCATAACAGCAACTAGAAACTAGCAAGAGCCCTTAAATGTTAAGGCTACCCTAGACTTGGAATGTAGTTTGAGGAAAGGAAATTTCTTGTTAAAGTCCAGTGACAGAAATACTAACCAGAGCAGCTTAATAATGAATCAAACATGCCATAAGATAGCATATTACATATGTATTGTACCTTTGTGGTGGCAGATCCTTCACACTTCTTATTGTCTCATGCAACTGAGCAGACAAAGCTCTGTCTTGAAGATTTATTGCTTCAGCAAGTTGTACATGGAGGAAAGTCAAAAGTTCTTGACACTGTGATTTTCCACTCACACTGAGAAAACAATATTGCATTTAAATATTTTACCACAACTTAAGATACTGCAAGAAATTTGCGCATCATTGATTCATAACTTTTGACCATTACAAATAGTGCTAAGAATTTTAATGTTCGTTATTGCAATCATAATCATAGTATTATTATCAATACCACTTCAACACCATCCAAGGAAGTAAAAAGGAGCCTTTTGGTTGTTCTGCACAATTTCTTTTATCACCTACTTCCTGTTAACAATCCTTGATCTGTCTGAAAATCTGCTATAAATGCACCTCACATTGCAGCCATGAACTGTTCTTTGAAAGGATTTGAAAAATACATGAATTTAAAGCTAACCTTTTCTCTGGTATCCTGTTTTCTGAATGAACCATGGGAAGATTTTGAAAATCAGCTTGGCAAAGAACCAGTCTTAGTTTTCTCTTGGAGTTTTCAAATTTTTCCTCTTCATCAACAATGTCATCATCTTCCTCATCTTTGTCATCATCATCATCACCATCTGCAGCATCCAACTTTTCCTCTTCTGCAGTAGAACGTGCAATATCTGTGTATTTTTTTATCACATTCTCGATGTCTGTTAAGGAAAAAAATAATGATATGAATTAAGGTCTATAATAATAAGAAACACATGTAGTGGAGCTTGAAACTGGAAGTCAACAAGACTGAGATCATTTCTTGATCAATAAGGACAACATCAAAAGTAAATTAACACAAAATGTTATCACATGTATCTTTATTTTTTTTTCTAAAATGCTTGCCCTATCAAACAAAATGAGTTTCTTCTGTAGAATATGTCAAAAACAGTCTACAAGTTGAACATAACCACTAATGTTAGACTTGTTAAAGGAGCTACAAGGAAATACATGTATCTGGGGTTGTTTAAAATTGCTTTTTATCTGAAGGAACCTTGAAGCAAAATTTGCCACAGTTCAGAAATGTTAAAGGGGCTGTAAAAAAAGGTGGGGGAATAGAGATGGTTAGAGATGTTGAAGATGATCATGAACTGAAAAGACAAACTTAAGAAAATTTCAGGTGCACTGGTCTTACATGACATACAGTATTAAGCTAGGTATGCTATAACGGTGTACAGTGAGTATACAGTGATCAATCAAGTCAAACTACACAAGAATCATGTTTGTTGTTACCTTTGGGTGTTTTCTCTTCCATTTCTGGGTGTGCCATTCTGTAAGTGATATCAAAAGGGTCAAGGGTTTTCTCCACCAGTTCGTCATACACTCTTGCATTACTTGTCTTAGTCTTCTCTTTGGAGCGAGCAGTTCTTATCTTTCCAAAGAATCCCTTCTCTTTCTTTTCACTCCGCTTTTCCACATTATCTGGCCCATCAAAGGAGTCTTTTCCTTTGCTCTTTTTCCTATTCCTCAAATGCCGCTTCAAAGAGGCTGCTCGAGAGGTTTTCTTCTCCCTGGGTGCAGGTGACTCACGTTCGTCATCAGCTGTGCTTGATGATCCACTTCGAGGTGGAAACTCAGAATCTAAGCTCAAGAAACTTGCTTGGCTGTCTCGGTTGGATCCTTCTCCATAGTAGCCAGTCAGAGTGCTACTACTTGTGCTCTCTCGATTACTGACCTTGCTGTCTCTTCTCTCCAGATCACTGATGACACTGCTGCGCTTTCGGAACTCATTGCCTGGTGCATCTACAGGTTCTAGACAGGGGAGCTGCACATTAGAATTCTCCTCTAAAATTTCGCCATGGCCACTATCTACAAAAATGCACTCTTTGGTGAACTCCACTCCACTACTTTGTGTACTTGCTGTACTGATGGAACTAATGCGTGTGCTACCACCACTACTGATGGCACTGTCTCTGTTACCTGCCGCTTGATTTTCAAAGGCAAGAGGCAACTGTTTCTCCACTAGCGGGTTTTCAGTGAAATGTTCTGGTGACACTGGGGATAATGGCTCTGGACTCTCACTTCCAAAATCAATCAAATCAACACTGGCAGAGTCTTGCATATTTGATGTACTTCCTTCTAAAACATCTGGTGTAGTATGTGTTGTGGAATTGGTGTTTCCTAGAAGCAAATCATTAAGATCTGTCCTCGTTTTCTCTCCTGTGTCAGACTTAGGCAAATCAGTATTGTTGTCTTGGTTACCAGAACCAGCAATGATTTGCTGAGGTACCTCTGATGAATGCTCCTTGTCATCTAAAAAAACATAAGCCATAACCTGCTTAGACCAAAGTGTTTGAATTTATCATTATTTGCTTCATACTGAGAGTCTTTTAATAAAGGCTGCAAATTGTTATGTTATCTTTCTGAAGCTTGTGCACATATTTGGTTTGTATAAGAAGGTAAAGTTTATATTCCAATCAAGCAGCCCATCCAGCTGGAACTTATCTTAGTTTCCCTACTATGAAGTAAATAGGAGAATAACTACTCCACTTGGAATGAGATGCCAGTCTATCTTAAGATTATCCCCAGCCTGAGCATTTCATCAGGTTTCCCTGAAAGCTTGCAGGTACAGGTATATTCTGAGTGTAAAGTGGCACTGTAAGAGGAGAGTGTTTTGTCCAAGAAAAATTAGAAGAACACTAACCATAAGGCCTTCCCACCTTCTTTGGTTGGTATCAGTAAGAATAAGAAAAAATACTGTAGTTAATGTTAAACTCACTATTATGTGAGGTTGTTATTTCCTTCTCATCACTTTTCTCTTTATTGCAGCCTTCTTTCCCTTTCTTTGCACTAGATTTGTCTGAAAAAATATGCTTGGAGAACTGAGATGAGCTACTCCTTGGTCTGAAGCTTTTAGTGGTTTCTGCTTCATTCTTGGACGGTTTTTTGATGCCAAGAACCTAAAAATTGAGAAAATGGACACCTATTAGTAGATACCCATGGTTCAAGGAATGCAGCAGAGGATCAAGGGCTTTGTTCTATAAAAATATTTCTGTTATACTAATCCACACTTCATCTGCTTGCTAAACCCTCAAACAAAATTTGAGCAAATTATTGTTAGACAATTTCTTTCTTTTCAGTAGACAAAAGTTTTTATCAGCCATGCATCTATTGATGGGAGAGATATACACATACTAGATGAGTGCATACACTAAGTCATGATGGAGACAAAATAATGACAACTACTTGATACTCACTTTTTCCTCAGACAGCAGGCCAGGACACTCAATCCCTGAATAGCCAAGTGAGATCACCAGGACATCTTCACCTTCCTTCAACATCAGTGCCATTCGCTGGAGAAACTCTTTCTTAAACCCTTCTGATTTGTTTTCAACATATAATGGGTTATACTGCTTTATTATCTTCCCTTCAAACTCAGCGGCTTGACCTTCTCCCAAGCTTTGCTTTCGAGCTTTATCTTCCCTCTTTCCTTTGATGGCTCGTTTCTTTTTTGGTGTCTTTGGACTCTCTATTGAATACTCTGGACCTGGGGGTGCTAACGGATCTGTAATGGGCTCCACAGGACTTATCTCTGGCTGGGGTGGCAGAGGATACAGTAACTCTTCTAGCTCCTTATGGTTAACAATATCTTTGTAGTCTTCACTGTGTTCAATCATTCTAAGAAAGCTTGTCTAAGATAAGGAACAAAAGAAATTTATGTACACAAGATGTTGCGACTTTTCTCTGCATTTATGGAATTAATTAAAAACTTTGAAATAAATCAGTTAGCACGTGCATGTAATTACAGACTTTGTTTCGTTTTTATTGTTCGATTTCAGTAGCTCGCTCATTGGCTGATTCAAATTATTTGAATTTTAATGTTGTAATATCATTTGTCGCACGAACTGGACTTGTATTGTTCCTTTGGTATTGAGAGGGGTTCTCTAATTGATTTTATGGATTTTGAGGGTTGTTGGGAAAACTGCTAGAACACAAGAACTGTCTTGAAAGGCAGCTTACTTCAATGTACAAAAACAACTACATAATGAGGAAAAGTGTAATTCATAAGAGCCTCCTGGCTTCAAAGTACTGTCAAACCTTCTCCTAATTTCTGGATATGAATCAACTATATGTAAAATGGCTTCCTCTGGATGAATCTAACAATCACTGATCAAAGAAATTCTTCCTGTTAGTACCATAAGTACCATACTATAGATGATAGTATGGAGAATATACCTATAAATGTTTGGCTGTAAAGGGTTACAACTGGGTGGAAATAGGAACTGTGACTAATGGTCAAGTGTCTTGCTGAAGATCACAATACTGTTATGCAACCCAGATCAGAACCCTGTACAGTAACCACTAGACTACCATCTCTCTAGTTAGAAATAAAAAGTGCACAGACAAGGGATTTCTATAGCAGCCAGTCATTCATTTGCATCCTCCTCCTCTTTGAAAATACAATGACGAAAAACTCTCATCTTCGTGAAAACAAACATAACTTTCTCTTTTAGATCAGGCATCACATGCATGAAACTCACCAAGGCATGTAGCTCATTTTCTGTTATGAGAACTGAATTGCGACAAAGGCCAGAAAGGGACTTATGGTTTGGAAAATCTTGAATGTCTTTTTGGTTCTCTAATATGGCATCTAAAAATGAAGTCACACAGACCTGAAAAGAAATGAATACTAGCTTAAAATCTCAGCAAAAACATTGAAAGCAAGTAGGACCTTCATATACCCAAAACAGAAAATTTTTTATGAATATTGTAGAGAAGTAATTGTTTTAGCTTATGCAAACACTGGAAATCTGCCTAAAGAATGATTACACCCATATGATGTATAAATGGGTGAGCCAGCTTTCAAATGGTATGTGAAAGAAACCGCCATTTCTCTCTCATCAGACAGTCTTCTATGACAATCAGACATGTATGCTAATTTCAGGGTAACAGGAAAAGGAGTGTAATACCAAGGAAATTTCATCTTGCTTCATGTGATAAACTCCAGTTGTTCAGGAACAAAGATAAGTGTGATTTTTCTGAGAAATAATCTGTCTTAGGATGTAAAGGAAATTCCCTCTCAGATAGAGTAGTCTATGCAAAACATACTTACTGGATCTATCCTTGAAAACATGTCCAAATTTCTTGCATTCTCATCTTCAGAGGAATAGAGAGAGTGCAAGCACTGCAAACAGGAAGCTATATTTTGCAAGTTCTGTGAGGCTACTTCACTAATTTGAACATCAGAAGTGATGCCAAACTGCTCAGGTCGTATTATCGCCGGACAAACAATGCAATCAAATAACAGATTTAAGACCATTGACCTCACTTCCTTATCATTCATACCGTGGGATGAAAGAATATTTGCAAACTGACACATTAACCATCGCAAGCTTTGAGGAAAACAATAGAGTTTCGCTTTAAGGTTTTCCACGAATTTAGTGCACTTGAGGGGTAAGCGCTTCTGTAAAAGTGAATCTTCCGAGAGAACTTGCATAATAGGTGCATGAAGGGCCGCTGTCAAATACAACTTTGCGGAGAACAAGCTTTCGATTAGAATCCCAAACAGCGACGTAAATGAATTCCTTTTATGCTGAAGGAATTTCTCAGGGCTCTCATCTCCTGTGATTTTCAACTCGATCAGGTGTTTCATTAGCATCAACACATAATTTTCATCTTGCGGAAGAAGGCAATTTCCATAAAGAGAGTTCAACAACAACCGAATCAGCTGAGAGGTGTCTAAATTAATTTTGTCCGCATAAGCCAAAGTGGATGCGACAAGCGAGGGATTCTCTCTCAGTCCCTTAAAAAATTCCCAGTATTTTGATTCTAAGTAGCCAAGATGTCTTGATGCATCCACAAAGCGGGCAGAATCCAGCCTGTTTACGACATGGCTGCATTCTTCAGGTGAAGCCCTCACTCGCTGAACCACCTTCCATTGTTGCCGAGTTATCCACGACAAATGGTAAAGTCTTTCGCAAGTTGATTGTATCTCTATGTTAAGACTTGATATTTCAGATTTCTCTTTGTTGACGAACAGTCTCTCTTGTTTCAAACGTTCTTGAAGATGCCACAAGCTGTTCCTTTCTATGCTCTCATCATCCGCCATGACTGCATCTTCGGCTTGTAACTGAAACCTAGCCAATCATAGAGGCTGTTATATGAGGTGAAACGAGAGCTTTCATTGGTTGATATTAAAGTTTCCCAGTATTTCCGCATGTGGTGGAAGAAATTTAAGTGGAATAGGAATCTTAAAAAATTTAAAAGTATTCTGATTGCCTTTCAATCCAATTTTGTTGCGACAAGGCAGGATTGGTAGTCTTGTCTTCAGGGAAGGGTGGGAGAAAAACATCCACATAATTGCTTAGAGACCAGTTTTATAATCTCAGACGAACACAATCAAATTCGTTACCGGCGGAAAGAGATGGAGAGAAGAAGAATCAAGTTAGCAGATTTCCTTCTCCGTTATGGAAGACATCACTTTTAGCACACCCTTACCTTAAGCTTGAGTTCAAAGACCTTGAACCTACCCTAGCTAGGTAAGATACTAACTGAACACAAGTGCATATAGGAAAAAAGGATTATATTATTCAGAGAGCGCTCGTCATTTTCTCCTCATCGGCAACGAGTTTCTTCTTTGAGCTAACTTACGTCCAAAAAAATAAATCAAAACAAGAGAGGAAAGAACAGATTCCCTCGAGACAATCCTGTTTTCTTTTCAATAATTGTAATGAGAGCACGGATTATTCGTGCTCCTGTGTTACTAGAATAAAGTGGGTATTGTTTAATTGACCTCTGTTGTATTGTTTGGTGAAGAGCTTGCGCTTAATCTGGTGTGAAACGGAACGTTTCATATATATTTTCGCCGAAATTGATCAAATTTGGCGTGCAGCCGAGTTAAAAAAAAACATGGCTCTGTTCATTTCCGGTTGGTATGGATGAGTCAATTCCAATTTTTTTAAATCGGTGGATACAGAACACAATAAAGCCTTTTTCTGCGATGTCGATACTGTGACGTCATTTAGTTAAATGATATGTCAGGTGATGTACTCGACCAGATAGAAGGATATCTTGCACGCTATTTAAATGTTGATTGCTACTCAGCATTCTAAAATTTCATAACTAGTTCAAACAAAAAAATGAACCAGACATCATTTATCGTCACTAAAAATCATAGAAAGCCCCATTCTCAGTTATCACATCTCATTTCCCGTCATTCGTAAACATAAACATCTTTCAAGGCTTTCTTAGAAGAATTCTAAAAATTTATCATTCATTCGTCTTTCGAAAGCATAAAAGTCTTTTAATGTGTTTTTAAAAAGAATTCTGGAGTTTATCTTTAAAAATCATAGAAGGCACCATTCTTCGTCATTGTATCTCTTTTCTCGTCTTTCGAAAACATAAACGTCTTTCAATGTTTTGTTAGAAGAATTCTAAAAATAGATAGAACAGACAGAGAAACAATCGATGATGTATGAGAAAGATCAGGTCTAGAAACTCATTCAAATTTAAAGCAGTTGGAGGAGGTGGAGATGAATCGGCCACACCTTAAAGAAACATCCAGACAGTGTTACTTAGAAAACCAGGAAATAATATCTTCAGGGCAAACGGAAAAGAAGACGCCCGAAAAAACACCCGGCGTCGAGATGAAGAACTGCGGCAACAGCTGGACTACACTCGAAAGCCTAGCCCAGAACAGGATAAGGTCGAGGAGGGATATCGTCGATGGCCCAAGCTCCAGAAGGAGTTACGGGCAACCCTACTAACCGTAGTCACCATTCCCATTCACCTGATAAGAACATGACATTGGAGTCGTCGTAAGTTCACTAGAGATATCTGCATCAGACGTTTCTGCAATCTCAAAATTACTGACTGTGTTCTGTTGAAAAAGATGCACTGGTTAATCGGTTTCTGCTTTTACTTTCCAAAATCCATAACTGTTACTTCATAGCTTTTTACACATTTTTATTTTAAATAATTCTTTACAATATGCAATAGGCTCTGAATTTATTTTCTTCCTCTTTCCCCCCTCCCCCCCATCATGGTTCGTCCTCGTCTCCCTCCCTCCCTTAAACAATAGAACAGCATGCATTCGGGAATGCATGAGCCCATCTTGTGGTCAGCGGACTTACCCCAATGCTAAACTCGTGATCAAAAATATTTCGTGACCTGTAAGCATCAGTGCTTAAATTTCCGCGGAATTCATCCTTAAGCGTTGGAAACAGTCCGTGGAATTATCACTTTTACCATTCTATTTTGCCATTGGGCTATGAGAATGCCTTACAGCTGATGTGTGGGGGAGAACTGCGCGTGTTTTATTTTACGAAGATGACGGCTTTAGACGGTCCTAGGGCAATGATGTAATGCAATGGAGTCAAAAGTTACCTAGACTTTTCTCCAAGATATTCAGAATGGTTTTCGGTTTTCATGCTGCTTAGGAAATGTCTTCTGTGAAAGTGGCTGTTCGAGTTCGGCCGTTTGCGAGCCGAGAAAACAATCGAAGCTGCAAATGTATAATTGGGATGCACGGACCTACCACAAGTGAGTTGTTGTCTGCACTTGTAATGATATGTTAATTTGGCTGAAAGTTTATGAGCCACTCGATATTTTGATTAGCGATTGAACAGCTGAAGGGAAATGTTTCAGTTGTAATTTTATTTTTTCCTAATTTATTTTTATGGGAATGTGATTTCCCAATTTTCAAAATACCAATGGGTAAATATGAAATTTAGTTGACACGATGGACGTGTCGACTGCTAAATTTCTTATTATTTTTGCGTTCACCTACGTTCAGCTAGTGCACTGTCTGAAGTCCATGAGTGTAATTTCTAGATTTCCAGAACAAAAGATTTTTTATTCACGTCTGGTATCGTATAGTCACGAAAAGCCTTAGCGGGATATTTTTAATCCAAATCTCTGAAAGATTTCTTTTGACGAAATTCTAGAAATAAATTAACAAAAAAAGTGAAATATGCTAATTTTTTGGTTTTGATAACTGAGCATCAGTCGATTTTTCATCCCGCATCAAAGAAGTTGAAAGTTTCCATAGGTAGATTAAAGGAAATTTTATTCTTTTTTTTTTCCAGTGTTGTTTACATTCTGATATTAACAAGGATACAATATGATATTGGAAGATATGAAATTTCAAAACTCAGCGTTCAATATAAAATTTCCTACACTTCATTCTCTTGAGATGGGGATCAGTTAATAATGTATGATTTAGAATGTGGTTTGGTTCAAGTAAGATGATATTATAATGATTTGCTGAGATTTGCATATATATCCATACTTACTCAAACACAGCTGTAGGCATACAGATATTTTTAAAGAATCGTTATCTTGAGGAATGAATGGTTCAGCTACCCTAAGAATTAAAATAAAAATTATTTGCCCTGTCATAGGGTTTATTTCATTGAAATTACTTTCAAGTTGCTATTTTAGATTGTTTTTAAGTTGCTTCAAACCACAACATTAACTGAATGTGTGTCAGATTTACAAGTTCTGACTTAGTCTTGTTTATGTCTTGTATTGCTGTATCAGATTACTTTATAAGCCTTTGACTGATGTAGTGATCAATACTATTTTAGCCATACAAATTAACCCCCCAATTTATTTTTTTTTCAATGGAAGACAAAGGGCATTGTTTTAAAAACAATTGAGCTTCATTTTAACTTAGGGTTAGAATAAGTTTCTTATTAGCTTTTTTATCCCTGTAGAGAGTGTTCACTTTTATGTTTTACCAAGTGCAGATTTGCTGGCATTAAGATAAAACTGTTATGAATTGTAGATGCATATTATGAATTAAGTGTAGAGTATATGTTTCCTTAGAAGAGAGATCAAAACCTTGCAAATAAAATTTTTAATCCTGGAATAGGATTAACTCCTGTTCCTTTTGAACATGCAATCTTGCCCAGGAGTCAGGAGGTTCAGAAATTAAATTCTAGAAGTTTTAGAGTAAAATCTTTGATTATTTGGTCACAAAAATGGATATAGAAGGACACACCACCTGGGGCACAAGATTGGGGTTGAATGTCATATTGAGAGTATTTGAGTCTTGTGCTTGACGAAAAGAGATGCTAACCTTTGGAAGACTGAAATCTCTAGATTTTTCCTTTCAAATCATGTCCTTAACCCTCTTTAAATTTTAGGCAATGGTTTGATATATGATACAAGTGGACATTTTGCTGATTACTGGTATTTTTCCTCACCACCTGGGGGCCAGAAAAAATACTATGCACCTTGTATAATATCTGGGTTTATTTTAGAAGTGTTTAACTGTCAAATAGGGTGAAGCTATTTCTTGTGCCAAATTCTGTTGTCTTAGTCTTTGCCTTCACAACTCTGTTTTTTTTTTCAGCTATCCTAAATCCTAGAAACTTGAGTGAAAAGCCCAAGAGTTTTAACTTTGATTACTCATACTGGTCTCATGATGAAGTAAGGTTTGATAATAATCTATCTGGTACATAAACCTCCCCATGTGGGTTTGCACCCTGGGCTGTACATTTAATCTTACAACTGTTTGAACTGTTCCTGTTACTGAATTCATGGTAGAAGTTGGGATACAAACAACTCTAACTTCATGTGCAGTGTTGAGTAGTGAAAATCACTTACAATTAATTCATCTAGTGGCTTTTTACAAGATATATTAAAGTTCACATGGCAACCAGGTGGACAATCAGATATGGTTTGATGCTACTCTGGTTTACAGATTTAATGAATGTAACCAAAGAAGTTACAAAACTTTGGGTCTATGAATTGTAACTTCTTCAGTTACATTAATTAAATCTGTAAACCAGAGTAGCATCAAACCATGTCTGGCTTTTTACAAACTCAGCAAGATGACTTGTGAACCCATTTTAATTAAAAAGTACTAAATAAAACTTCCGATGAGATAATTGTCTCAGAGTTAAGGTGACAAGTTTCTATTAAAAGAAATTGTGGTGGTGCATCATGGAGGGAGTATGAAAAGATGATTTGGTTTTCATCAACTGAATGTAAACTGGCCACCCTAAAGAGTTTCTAAGCTGGCGTTTTGAGCTTTAGCCCTTTGTCAGAGCAAATGACAAAGGGCTAATGCCAGAAACGTCAGCCTAGAAACTCTTAAGGGTGGCCAGTACATTATCAACTCAGTTGATGAAAACCAAATTATCTTGTCTCAGAGTTAATTGATTAACTCTTAGTACTTGTCGGTTAAGAATATATGAAAGTCATATATTTGAACTGCGGATAAAGACGTGAATGAAAGTGATCCTCGCAGTAATGTGCACTACTTAGGCAGTAGTGAAAATAAGGCCTGAAAAAAAATTCAGGCCTGTACAGGATTTGAACCCATGACCTCTGCGATACTGGTGCAGCGCTCTACCAACTGAGCTAACAAGCCAACTGGGAGCTGGTCATGATGTTGGTTCTAAATAAACTGGTGAAGTGATGAAATAAACGGTTAAGAATATATGAAAGTCATATATTTGTACTGCGGATAAAGACGTGAATGAAAGTGATCCTCACAGTAATGTGCACTACTTAGGCAGTAGCGAAAAAAAGGCCTGAAAAAAATCAGCTCTCAGTTGGCTTGTTAGCTCAGTTGGTAGAGCACTGCGCTGGTATCGCAGAGGTCATGGGTTCAAATCCCGTACAGGCCTGAATTTTTTTCAGGCCTTATTTTCACTACTGCCTAAGTAGTGCACATTACTGCGAGGATCACTTTCATTCACGTCTTAGTACTTGTCGTAACATTTTTCATTAATTTTATTTCTTAATTTGGTTCTTGCAGAATGATGCCCACTTTGCATCCCAAAAGCAAGTGTATGCGGACATTGGTAAAGAGATGTTGGCACATGCATTTGAGGGGTAAATATACGTGCTAGGGAAAGTGCAGGAGTCAAGATTTTCATTATTTAATTATCTAGAAATGTCAATACCAAATGAACTTGGTAATTGATCACTAACCTGTGATCGGAAAAAAGAGTAGATGCTAGCTTTTGACTCTTTTACTCCCATGAGTGACCAAGAAAGAATTTCTCTTTATAACAACAGTAGAATATCAAGCAGACAAGTGATGAGATTAAAGGAAAAAATCGATAAGGGAATTAATACATGTGGTTGATCTAATACCTGATTCTCCAAACTAACATCATAAGAATTGTATGACATACAGTGAGGGGAATTACTAAATAAATGGGATCCTGGGAGTGAAGGGATTTAATACCTTTTATTCTGTTTAAACAGTTGTTGCTCATAGGGAATCCTGTGTTGGCACATTTGAAATTTAATTTATACAAGGTTGAAATGTTTTTTACCAAGGTTGATTTCTTATTTCCTATCTTTCTTGACTTAAATAATTGATAATTAGGGTGAGCCATGAGAGAAAGGAAATAACTGGTATTAAACTGTAACTACAACTTTCTCTGCTCTATCAGTCATGAATTCCATTGTTAATTTTCACGTTTGATGGACATCTCATGAAAATTCTTAATAAGCACAATGGTGAAGCCTAGATATGAATAATAATGTAAATTGTTATTTTTCCCTTCAGATACAACATCTGCATATTTGCATATGGCCAGACAGGCTCTGGAAAGTCTTATACAATGATGGGCAAACAGGAGGCTGACCAGAAAGGAATCATACCACAGGTGAGATATTAAGGAGCTACATGGAAGAAGCAGTTATCTAAATTGATGGATAATTGAAATAGTGGTGTTGCTGTTCAATTAAATTTCGGAACAAATTAAAGTGATTTTCTTTTTTTTTCTTTTTTGAAAATGTTATGAATTTCAGGAGGAGCTAACTTTTATCAGACAAGACTTTGTTAGTGACACATTGTTTTTAACCCTAATTACTAGTGAAGATGAAATTTAACTGTATTTGTTTTGAAAATTCTACCTTTCGGCTGCTAAATATTCCTTATAGGTTAATATAGTTTACCTAGATTAATCCTTTCAAAATCAAAAGGGATCAAGATGTGATTTCTCTTTCTAGTGGCAATATAATATTTCACAGAAAGGTGATGAGAATAAAGAAAAATATAATTAAGGGAATACTATTTGATTCAACACAAAATTCTTAGAACTTTTGTTATAATTAAGAAATGTATAGCATGGAGAAGGGAGACTCACTAAGATCTTGGGAATGAAATTGTTTATGAGGAGCATTTGGTCTTACGTCAATGTGAAGGTGACATTCATTTGTTAATAAGTCTGTCTGTTGTGATCACTTGTTTGTTGGGTGAAGATTGTATGAAAGTGAAGAATATATCAAAAACCAATGTTCTAAATTCCAATTCGACCAATTCAATAGTGGGCAAGAATAGTCACCTCATGGAATGTCCACTGCTAAATCCCATTTATTAATTAATGGTATTATTAAAATTGTGGAGAGAAAATAGTGGTTACCTTTTAAAAACTTCTGGAGTTTAAAGTTTCATTCAGATAAAAGTTACCTTGCCCCTTATATACTCCTTTATTTTTATTTAGCTTTGTGAAGAGTTGTTCCAAAAGATTGACAGTGAGAGCAGCGATGAGTTGATGTTATCTGCTGAGGTATGAGACTCTGATCTTAAAGCATAAAGGGAAAGACACATGACTCAATGCAAACCTTTCATCAACCTTACTTGCATGTACAGAGACCACTTGCAAGGTCCTCCAACCACTTTTCCAAAACATCCATTTAGACATGAACAATTTTTTGTTTTAAACTTTACTATTTCAGTCAACAGGCCTTTGCAGTCTATCTTTTAGTTATATTTAAGTTGCCTAATAATGCAGTCTGAGTTATTGACAACTTGTAAAATTAAGTAAAAATTCTTTTGTACAGTGCATGTTTTAATCTTTCATCAGGTCAGCTATCTTGAGATCTACTGTGAAAGAGTGAGAGATTTGCTGAGTCCAAAAGCTAAGAACAACTTAAGAGTGAGGTGAGGCTGACAAGGTCTCTAAGTTGTCCAAAATCTGACATTTGTTTTGTACAAGAAACTTAATAATGAAAAATCTGTCAAGGACAAAACATATAATGTTTGAACTTTTTGCAGATGACCCTTTAGCCAACACTTGTCATGAGAACTCTACTCTTGAAATTTTTTTTGATTCCTGCATCACCAAAATATTGTTTGTCAAGGAAAGCATGCAATAAGTTTAAATGCCATGTTTTAAATTGTAATTCAACTCAAACCAGCCCTCAGCCATATTTCAATTTACATTTAATGTTGGTTATTCTCTTGCTGGGTCACTTGAGGACCTGTGAGAGAGTCAGAGCTTCTTGCCACTTATTAAGCTCTTTTTACATTTAATTGTTATAAAAATTAATTGGAATGATCATTTCTTTAGGGAACATCCAATGTTGGGGCCATATGTAGAAGACTTGACTAAACTTGCTGTCACTTCATTTGAGGATATAAATGACCTTATTGATGAAGGCAACAAAGCTAGGTGAGTAAATTTGGTTTCTCTTGAATTTTTTTGAGAAGGTCATAGTATAAAACAGTTATTCATTATACTATAGTCAACAAAAATATTTCAAATCAAAGATGTGGTGTATTTTTGATTGAAGATCTTTATCTGTGTTGTGTATTCAGCTTGATATTATTGGTAGCATTAAGGAGTCTTCCAAAGAGTTGTTGTGATTTGTGAGGTAATTTGAAGGTACATGACTGTACATCTACAACATTTGTGTAGTGTAAATTTGATGGCACTCTTCAATGTTTACAGGACAGTTGCTGCAACAAACATGAACGAAACCAGCAGTAGATCCCATGCAATCTTTAGCATTGTGTTTACACAGAGGAGGCATGACTCCTTAACAGACCTATCAACAGCTAAGGTTTGTAATGCTACCATGGTCACTAAATACCAAATTATTAAAAGTCATTATGCAATTATCTTACTTGTGTGGACTCTTCCCTTTTTGACCTCAGTCTATTTCTTGCTGTGTTTAAGCTTAAATATGTTGTTTCTTAATTGAAGGTTAGCAAACTGAGTTTGGTAGATCTTGCTGGGAGTGAGAGAGCAGATGCAACAGGGGCTAAAGGGGAGAGACTTAAGGTATGTGAATGTGTGCTGGTAGTACTACATTTATAATGGTATACTGGTACATTTTAAAACAAATATCAGGGGGTAGGCAACAATAATCATTATGACTTCCATTATTGTAAAGTGTGTTTTACCCATGACTATCTTTAAATTGAATTGGTGTCTGTTTGAATATTTCAGGCATCCAATTGCAGTGCAAACATGTCAACTGTACAGAATGATTAGTGGAAAATTGAGCAGCAAATGTACCAATCACATTGAGGAAATTGTAATGGTTATGAATAATCAATTAATACCATTTTGGACACCAAGTATTGTCAGTGATAAGGCAAAAAATGAATTTTGTTTCTCTAAAGAGTTCAATCATAAAGTTCAAAAGAATGTTTTAGTGTTGTGTGACAATCTTTGAAAGAGGAATAAATTTAAAAACAAATTACCACATTATGACTTCCATTTTTTTTTTTACCCAGGAAAAATTGATTTCTGTTTCAATTTGTAAATCAAATGAAGGGTCAGGTCCATAGTAACCTCATTGTCACTGCCCTTTTTGCTTATATGAACTGTTTTCTCAAAATTTTCAGTCATCTCAGAAGAAGAAAAGGAAATCAGATTTTATTCCATTCAGAGATTCGGTTCTGACATGGCTTCTGAGAGAAAATCTAGGTACAGTCTGAATTATTTTTCTAATTGTGTTGAATGTGCATTTAAATTTATCTTATCAAGCTGTGAGACATGGTAAATAAAGGGATGAACTGTCTAAAGAAACTTGATGTGTTGCTTTGTCGGTGGGGGGAATTGCAAAAAAAAATTGGTTTTATCAGTTGTGTTGATAATGTAAGTTGGCCACCATGAAGAGTTTCTAGAGCTCATGACTCACTCATTAGCCCTTTGTCAAAGTGAAGGAGACATAGTAGACAAGTTTACTGCACATTCTTTATCAAAGACACTAGAAAGCTGAAAGATAGATAGATGTGTTTTTACCACCTTGTAGGATAAAGCGTTGATAACATTAGACTTAGTATAATTTTCTTGTTTAATACTTTCACTCTCAAGATCTCACCAGTAATGATTTTCTTTGTTGTCTTCCAAACAATTTTATGAATTCAAGTTAGTGCTAAAAATTTAGTGTTGAATCAAACAGCATTCCATAGTTGATGTTTTTCTTTATTCTCATGAACCGTCAACTTGGTAAGTAATTTATATTGTAAGTATGAAGTATTTCTTAGTAAATTCTGGTGTAAGAGATTTATGGTGATTCTTTAGTACCTGCTACTACAAATTGCATATAATCCTGAGCCCACTAGTTTGTTTACCTTAAGGTTTAAAAATATGTAAACATTGTGATAGTAAATCTTCATTTTTTTCAAAACAGGTGGAAACTCAAAGACAGCTATGATTGCTGCAATTAGCCCAGCAGACATCAATTTTGAGGAAACATTGAGTACCCTGAGGTACTTACACATGTTTACTGCATAGATGTAGAAGCACTGAACAAATGTGTCTGTTTCACAAAGTATTTGTCTCGAGGTCTGAAATAAACTTAAATTTTTTTGGGCGGGTGTCAGATAGCAATTGAACATTTTGTTTCAACCTCAAGGTTAAATGGCTAAGAAAAGATTTATTAGAACTCTAGGGAAAAACTCCCAAGATCACAGTAGTAATTCTCCTTACTGTCATCCATTCATTTCTTAAATGTTGGTTCTAAGAATTTAGTGTTTGGTCAAAAAAGTTTTAAGTTGAATTGCCCATGCTTTATTTTAATAGTTCACTGTGGTGCTTTGTTTTTTTGGTAGGTATGCTGATCGTGCAAAACAAATTTTATGCAAAGCTATAGTCAATGAAGATCCCAATGCCAAGGTAACTGAGAAAATTAGCCATGCTTTTAGACTTTTTTTAAGGAAGTTTGAAATTCCTGTGTTAATGATGCTTTTTATTTAACAAGTAATTGAATTTTGTGCATATATACAACTCAAAATATTGTCACTGACAAAATGCAACTTACAACTGAGGCAGAGCTTAGATAGCAGTACTGTTTTATAATTCCTCTAAAGCCTGTATCCCAAAGGCTTTCAAATTTTTTACTTTCTGTTGTGAAGTTGCACTACCAAAGGCACAAGAACATTATATTGTGGAAAGTGTGGCAATTTTCAGAGTCTTCTCATGATTTTAAAAATTATTTCAGATGAATATTTCACATGCATGTGAAATTTTCCATGTGGAAGGCATGTGAAAAGCCATGTTAAAACATGCAACAGTACAGCTTGGCAATGCGTAGTTCTAGAAAATACTTCATAAATTTAGATTTGTCTAGTTATTAATTAAACAGTCGATCTTGTTAAAGTAGTAATTTTTATTATTATTATCATTATTATTTATATTTAATTGTTTTGCACTGTGCACATTGTTACATTGAACTGGCCTGCAAATAAGCAAGCTAATCTAATAAAAAATTATTACTGACATGCAGTCAAATAGTACTTACTGGTACCTACTACTATTACTACTGTAGTGTGACTAAATCCTGTCATGAATATCACAAATATGAGAATTTGATAGAATGTGTTTTTACCCAATATAGATAATTCGTGAACTAAAGGAAGAAGTGTCCAAACTAAAGGAGCTTCTGGTCAATGAAGGCTACAATCCTGATGATTTGCAATGTAAGCTTAATATTTCTTACTAGAGATGTGTTTCTCAGATTTGTTTATCAGTTGAACATGTGTATTTTTTTCTTGCATTTTTTTTTTTTAGTCTGGTACACAATGCTCTTTGTGTGCTTTTTTTTATGTAGAAAATGAAAGGGAAGTAGTAAGATGAATCATTGTTTCCTTTTCTTCTGTTTAAATCTTTCTTTTTGTCAGGGAGTCAGACTATTTTTTTTTCATTTTCCATAGTAATACCACCATCATTATTAATAATAACTCACGATTATATTCATATTATGTTGCTGTACTTTCTATTTTTTTTTAATTTTAATCATGTTCATTTTCCATTACAGTCTTTTTTATTTCTAATTTTTTTTTTAATATTTGTGAAACTTTTTCTTATGATTTATTTCCAAATACACAGCTGTGTTAAGGCAAGGGTCTACGCACTTACCAAGGAGATACAGTCAAGAATTCCATGATGGAACCCTAGAGAGACTCAAGGTTAGATTCTTCCTCTACCAGTTGCTGGACACATTGCTTAACCCTTTAAATTCCAAGATCTGATTGATCATTTTCCCTATCTTGCTGCTAAACATTTCCTTGTAAATCAGTAACAAAAATATGGTGTTAAACCAAAGTAATGTCTTCTATCTTGTAAGTTGAATTTTCTCATTACATGTTTGCTGGATACTGAATAGATATTGTTGGGAGAAATTACATGTTAATCACTTCTGGAAGCTAAGGGGTTAACTCCTATTGGTGACCAAAATAGAATTTCTCCTTACAATATCAATAAAATATCAAGCACACAGGTGATGAGAACAAAGAAAAATAATCAGTAAGGGGACTAATAGTTGATCCAATACCAAATTCTCCTAAACTATAAGAATTGTATGGCAGACAGTAAGGAGAATTAATAATGAGATCTTGGGAGTGAAAAGTTTAATTGAGACAATTAAAAAGGGGCAACAGAAGAAACAAACCATATTAATTTGCGCCCTCTATGATCAAGTTTGCAAATATTTTTTTTGCCAGTGTGATAATTTTCTTTTATTACTTTGTGTTAAACTTGTCAGGCATCTGAGAAACTGATAGCTGAACTAAATGAAACTTGGGAAGAGAAGCTTAGGAAAACAGAAGCCATTAAGCAAGAGAGGTGAGTTTGAAATTTTGAAATATACATAAGAGTATTTGAAATTTAGTTTTTTGTTTGACTCTTAGAAATGTCATGTTTGTGGTGAGGGGGGGTCAGAACTGGTGGGTAATGTTTTCTTCTAAGTGACTAATAAGTTCTTTTGTTGGTATCAGCTAGACGATAGCTATACATTGAAAAGTCATTTTCTGGTCAATGGATGTCAAATATTTAACTACCAATGACTGGATTATTATCTGAAGAACTTAGGCTAAGTATCTTTCTTGTTTTAGATTCTGTTGCGTATTCATTGTAAATTGCTGATAAAGTAACTTTGTTTCAATTGGTCAACAGAGAGGCAATGTTAGCTGAAATGGGTGTGGCCATCCACACTGATGGCCATACAGTTGGACTGTTTCAGCCAAGAAGGGTGAGTAATTTAATTACTGTAACTGATTGTGCATGGTCAGTATACGTCAAATATTTAAAAGTAATTTCTTATCACTATAAAAATGAAGTCCTATTCAAATTATTTGCATCTCTATGAATTGTAGTATCTCAGGTTACACCATTTTTTAAAGTCAAAGTTGGTATTCCCTATAGCGTTTCGTAACAAACTAAATCAACACTTGTGTATTGAAGTTAGAGCAATAGCCCTGTTGCTGTTTTTTTCTTTTCAGAGACCTCATCTTGTCAATTTGAATGAGGATCCTTTGATGTCCGAGTGCCTTCTGTACTACATTAAGGACGGAACTACAAGGTGATTAAACCACACATTTGAGATTAAACCACACATTTGAGTGTGTGGCAATTTCACACAAGTATTCAACCTAATGATTACAAGCATGATATTAGAAGATATGTACAAGATAACAAAGTGATGCCTGTTTTTTTGTGAAACTTAGTTGATTCTATCGAATACAGAGAGGATGTTTTTTTAAGTCTCGAGCGTATTATTAGTGCTAATAATAAGGCAAATGAATAGATAAAGGGGTCTTGCTCTTACCATTAGTGCTAATAATAAGGCAAATGAAAAGAGGGGGAAAGTTTCTAAAGAAACTGTGATGCTGCGTCGGAGGGAGAGTATACCAGGGTAATTAAGTATTATCAACTGCGTTGATAACGTAAATTGACCATCATAAAATGTTTAAAGGCTGATGTTTCGAGCGTTAGCTCTTCGTCAGAGCAGACAATTCCTCCATTCACTCTGACGAAGGGCTAACGCTCGAAATGTCAGCTTTTAAACTCTTTACGGTGGCTAATTTACGTTGTCAAAAGGGCCTGCTCGAGCGTCAATAATCTTGTTAATGCTGTTATTTTACTGCCTTAGAGTTGGCCAAGCCATGGCAAAGAGTCATCAAGATATTCAGCTTAGCGGGGAGAATATTCTTGATGAACATTGTGTCTTAGAACACACCCAAGGTGAGTGGACTCTGAAGACTTCATGTTATAAAGGTTGATACTTCTTCAAGCACACTAGCCAGGAATGATTATCGCTTCAATTTGTGAAAGTTTTCGCTATCTTCAGATCTTCTCGTTGTACGAAATTCTCAAGATTTCGTCGCAAGTTGAAAAAACTTTTGTATTAATGAACTAAATTGAAGTTCGATTACCTTTGAGATTAGAGGAAAGAGTTGATCCGTTTCGTAACAAAAACCATATTAGCTTTTGGTGTTCTGATGACGGTAGCATTGTTGACATCGTCAAGAGCAGTCAAAGAAAAAGGACGATGAAGATACTGCCATGATTAACATTTGTGCTCTTGCCCTGTTTATTGCAGGTGTGGTGAAGATAATTCCTTGCGAGAACAGCCGTACATTCGTCAATGGAAAACTGATAACAGAATCCACAGTGTTGAGATCAGGTAAATTTTGCAATGAAGAAATAAACTTCACTGTATAATTGTTTTGTTGTAATTTTCGTTTGGATAGTATTCACTTTGTTTTCCTCATACTCAGTTGTTCTTTTCAATTGTGTTTTTCAGGGGCTCGTATTATTCTCGGAAATAATCATGTATTTAGATTTAATTTTCCCGATCAAGGTAGGATGTGATGAGTATTTTTTAACTTTCTAAGCTGCAATTAGTGTTCGTTACAACCTATAGGGAGACTCGGCGGCTCAGTAGTTAGTACACTGGACTCCAGGTGGAGAAAGGTCTGGGTTCGAGACCTGGCCGGGTCATTGTGTTGTGTTCTTGAGTAAAACCGTTTACTTTCACAGCGCCTCTCTCCACTCAGGAGTATTCACCCTTTAAACCCTGAGAGTGACCAACATCTAATTTCTCCTTACGGTAATAGGGCTGAATCATTCATTAAGATCATGAGAATAAAGGAAATGATCGCCAACTAAAGAAGCTTTGATTGTTAAACAAATTCTCCTCGTCAATACCAAAGGAAATGTATAGAGAAGAGTATGGAGAATATGGATACTGATGTTAGGGTGTAAAGGGTTAATGGGTACTGGTAAGTTCTCAGGGAAGTCTGATGGAATGCTGGGGGGGGGGGGGGGGGGGGGGGGGGACCGGTAACCATGCGATGCACTTGCATCCCAACCAGGCTGGATAAAATGATGTTAAAATAGTTGGAGATGTTTATTCTGATGACCAATCGAAAGGAAATAAGTTTGACTTTTTTGTTTATGCCTTTGTCTCGGACTGAAAACATTGCCTTCCAGATGTATTGTTCTTTGAGTATTTTATGATTTCGTTGTTGTATTGACTAGGTGTCTTGGCGTTGTTTGTATGTTTTCCAAGATTACTAAATTGCTTGTTTCCTCTCTTCACTGTCATTTAGCCCGTGAGGAGCGAATTCGTCAGTCTCGAGGGAATCTTCTCGAGGACATAAATGGTAGGTTACAGCTTTTGGTAACATTTAAGCGACTGCAAATAGAGAGACTCAGAACTTAGACTCCTTCGTTTTCAATGCTTGGTCTTGTCACGCAAAATATCATAGGGCGCCGGTAAAAACTCATAAAGAATATAAATAAAGACGCGAGAGACTCTCTTGCGATTTGTTGTAGTTTTGCTCCCTGATAGGTTGAGAGGATGGCGTGTAATTTTTTAGACCAATCACAGAGAGAAATAGAGCAAAACCAATGAAATCCAGGATTACTCTAAACACTCAATGCAAAATTTCTCTGGAGAGCAGCCACTGAATTATTGAAAGATCCGGCTAGAACTCTTCGCCGTTTTACAAGTCCCTTCACCTTGATTCCCAGCGAAAACTGAAGACTTTAAGGAGATGAACCCATTAGTAGATTACATGTATTTAAAAATTATCTCAAAAATCTGCTCAATTAAGTTATTTTTTCACTAATGAACAGGAAAAAGTGAGGGTAAGGTAGAGGAACCCGTGGACTGGTCATTTGCAGTATTGGAACTGCTAAGAGAACAGGGTTGGGATGTTAAAGAGATGAATGAAAGGTATAGCTTTTATTTTATTTTAGCTTTTGAATAATCGCTATATGTTACTTGGAACTCAGTGTTTTTTTTTTCCTTAACAAGGGTGGTTGAGTTAGAGGAGCAAATCAAGAGAGAAAAAGATCAAGCGGATTTACTTTTAGAGCAGCAGAGACTGGTATGGCAATCGAATAATTAATGTTAATCGTAAATACTGTGATTGACTGAACCACTTAAGCGATGTGCATCTCCCTGAGTGACTGATAAATTCTAGGACTTATTCACTGACTGTTTATCTGTCTATCCGTCTGTCTGGCCGGGCGTTTTGAACTGTTTATATGGTTGTGTAAGACACGTGTTTCGAAAACTCACGTTTCTGAATAGTTTTTGTTTGTACAAGTCATTGATTTTCACTTGATTTACCGGTGAGATATAATTACTAAATTACAGATATATATACAATTTCTGACACGTCTAATTAAGTTTTTTACGTTTTCTTGCTACTATTACCTAATAAATGTAGTCGATTAGAAAGACAAGTGATTAAATTCGGACACCACCGTCTAAAATCGGACACTGGTGTTTAAAATCGGACTTTAGTGTCTAACATTGAACACTAGTGTCTGAAATCGGTCACTAATGTATAAAATCGGACGCTAGTGTCTGAAATCGGACGCTAGTGTGTAAATCGGACTCTAGCGTCTAAAATTGGACACTCATGTGTCCAAAATCTGACACTATTGTCCAAAGTCAGACAATTATAAAGGTTTGAATGAAAGACCGGCTCCATAGTCAACTAGCTGGTTCATTAATCGACGTATGGACTACCTGTCGGGTTAAAATTACCCGACAGGCCAACTAACTAATTTGAAGGACTTACTGAGGTGTTGAATTTGATGAATTGAGGGACGCACAAACACAACTTAAGCTATTGACCAGAATCAGCAATAATTTTTGGGTTAGACCAACATTGAAACTTCCAACTATATCTTTGTACTTTTTTCTTCACCTAGACCTATGAAACGCGACTGCAGGAACTTCAGCGGCAGGTAATCAAACTAACTCGTCCCTTTAAGTACAATAAACAATCATGATTTGACAAGTTTTTGTCCTTTGCTATCTTTCAACATCGAACAGACTGGTAATCCAATGTCTAAAATGCTTTTGGTTCTAAACAGACTTGAATTTTCTTTCTAAACTTAGGTATTCATAGTATAGTATGAGAAGGAAGGGTTGATAATTTAGGGAAAAGAAATGGCATAACTTCATGCAGTGGTCAACTTAAAACATTGATTTTTAAGTTAAGAATAAATAAGGTCTGACTGGTCGTCGTCGGAAGTGAAGTAGCCAATTTTTCCAGAGTCTCGATCTTAATTAAAACCACAACCTTATCACATTTTGTCTAAAATAGTAAACTACTAAATTTGATAATACTAACGATAAATGTAGTAAAGATAGATTAAGCATTGTTCCTAAGTATGATAAATTACTTTAAGACATTGTGGTGCCTGCCAGTCTCGTTCCTAGGCGCTCTCGTCCAGTCGCGAAAGAGCTCATCTTCGTGAAAGTGGGACCTGAGATCATCATTCAAGAGAACGAGAAGAGATCGCCTGGTTACTAGGCTGCAGGATACTTGTGCACTGCCCGGTGAAACAAATAGATATCTTTGCTCTGTATTTTCTTATTCTCCTTCTCTCTTTCTCTCTTTCATCTTTTAGAAGGTTTCTCTGCACGGTTCTTCACGTAAAAAGAAAAAACTCATGTGGATCTTTCCACAATCAAAAACAGCACAATTTCTCTTTTCTTCGAAGGATACTCGCCGTGTTCGTCACGGACGGGCATCAACTACTGAAGGCTTTGCCAAGGTACTAAATGCTTCGGTTGGAGGAAATCTGGTAATAAATCGACAAGATCTCTTTTCTTTTTACAGACTGCCGGACACAAGCTGGACTTTAAAAGTCTTAACTCTGAGTTTATTATATATATTACTGGACTCTACTGCTTGTTTCCATCTTCCTTACACTTCAGTCATTCTGTAGTTGTTAATAGGTAATTTTTTCTTCCACACATCTCTGTGAGTGCCAGGTCCCAAGTTGCCCAATCAGTACTTTGACTGCTTTCTATGATCGTTTTAATGTTATTATTCTTTCGTTTAATTGTTCTGACATAAACGCGAGAAAAGGCAGACGGGAGAGCAGCTAGAGCTATGTTGTTTTTTCATCTCGTCTGTCTTGCAGCACAATCACGCCCCTCTCGTTGCTTTAATCTAAACTTGCAAGCTTAAACTGAAAAGATACCCTCAGGAACTCGAGTAAATTTCGTTAAAAAAAAAAAACGTCGAAAACTGTGGCCATGTTGCAGTTATAAAAGCAGATAGCTGTCGCGAACCAAGTTAAATTTTAGCAGGTACAAAGCGTGATGAGGTAATTTTGTAGGAATTTGTGTCGATATTGTAACAAGAAAGCAGATATTAGCAATCTTGGGGTTTAAAGAGTTATGTTTTGTCACGGCACGTTTAGAAGGAAACGGCCGTTATAACCTGTGTTTTCTCAAAACACTTAATGTCCTCATCTACAATAAAAGACATGATATTTGAATATTGCCAAGTGTTGCGGACGTAACCACAAAAAATTAGTAAATTGAGTGAATAACTGTAAAAAAGTCGATGGTAAACGAGATTGTAAACGTAACATTTGTTTCCAGACTTATTTTTTACGTGTACACTGTAGTACCTGACTTCTCTCTGTTTATTTGTTGCGTGATGTAAACACAAAGTTATGTTGGTAGAGATCTCAAAGGCCATCTACTTGGGTTGTTGTTGGCTCAGTATCTCTGAGTAGTTTTGGAATAACTCCATATTCACTCTGAGACTTGTGAAGGATTTTCTAGTGTATGGGAACAAACCGCTGGTGAATTGATATGTTTTTTTCTTGCTTTATATATTTCTGAGTTCTTGAGTAGGAGACTTCTTTATAAATTTCTTAAGAGAAACCTTTGAGAATTTTTTGTCACACAGATGGATCAGTCGTCAGTACCATCCAGTGAATCAGTGGACAGTGACATAGATGTCGACAGTTTTGACAGTGAGAATCGTTTTCTTATACTTTCTCACTACCTTCCTTCAGTTTTTGTAACACATGTTAACTTGTTAGGGTTGAGGCCTGTGCCCCTCCTAGGACGAGGAAGATTGGCGAAATTGAGTGAAACAAGGACAAGAACACGTTCGTGTTGAAAACTTGAGACCAAAATGTCCCTTATATCAATTCTTAGATTGTCACCTAGATTGAAGAAGAAGAAGGAAAAAGTCCTGTGGGTGTCTGCGAGTTTCCTGCAGCAGAGTTAAAATATTTGCAAGTAGATTTGGGCAAACACTTTTGTGATGTGGCTCACAACACTTTTCTGTTGTCAACACTCGAACTGTGTTTAGAACCACAAAAAATTTGCTGTACAGCCTACAAGTGTTTACTAGAATCCGACTATAAATATTGTATTTTTGTTTTTGTTTTTGTTCTTTTTTAGTTTTTCTTAGTCCACAAATTTTTAGACTACAAGTGTTTGTTGTAATTGATTATAATATTGTAATGATTTTAGGCGTATACAGGGCCCCTCTGGACAATAGCCTTGTAGCTGAATGGGCCACCCTGTTTTAAATAAAGTTCACTTACTAAATGTGAGTAACATTAGAATCTGTTGCGATGGCAACCTCTTAAGAGAGCTAACGTAACTAACAAGAAATTTAATTTCTTACAGGCGAGAGCCCGCTGACCGAACGCGAACTCAACTTAGCGGAAGTGGTGATTGACAAGTGGAGATGTTACGTATGCACATCACTCAGGGTTGGTTTGAATATGTAATAGCTGCTTGCAATCTTTATTTACATGTAAATGGAATAAGAGAAGAAAATTATACAAAGTTTAAGTTTAGGCCAGTTTCTCTGACTGATAGAGAATAACAAGTTAGCTTCCCTTTCCTTCTCTCTTGCATAAAATGCTCGAAAGATTAATAATAAGAGGCTATTCATTACTGCTGTATACCTTAATTTGAGCTTTGTAATCATTGTTTGAATTTCAGGATGCCTTGTTGAGTCATGCAGTACTGTTGAAAGAAGCAAACGCCATCAGCGTAGAGTTGAGGAAGAAGGTAAAACCTTGAATCATAACCCTTTGCATCCTAACATCGGTAAACATATTCTCCATACTGTTCTCCATACATTTCCTAAGGTCCTGACAAGGAGAATTTGTTGAAAAATCAAGAGTTTCTTTATTTGGTGATCATTTCGTTTGTTCTCCGGACCTTAATGTGTAATTCAAGGGTGAAAGGGTGAAATAGCGACCTTATTCTGTCATTGGTTTATCTTTTTCGTCATAGCACTCAGCAAACGACAATAGAATTTTTTTCTTTTTATTTTGTATTTTACGACGATGTTTTTTTTCATTTGAAAGGACCAAGATTTCCAATCACTGGAACAGGGTTTTCCTCGGTCGTTGCACACTATCTTAAATGGGAAAAACGTTTTCAAAGCTGATTTCAACTCCACAAGGTCCTCAGTGAAGACTTAAACTTTATCTATCATTTCAGGTGGAATTCCAATTCACATTATTAACAGACACACTGTATACTCCCCTTCCATCGTTTCTTTTGAGTGATGTCAAACACAAGGATAACCCCACCGTACTGGCTGTGGAGGTCAAAGACATGAAACATGGCGCCTCACACTTCTGGTCGCTTGGAAAGCTACGGTGAGGACTCGGTCAAAACACAATCAAAATTGTTTTTTTAACAAATGCCACAAATAACACAACTTATACAGTTGTTTCTTGAACCAGTTCCTGGACACAAATTCTCTGGGAAGTTGACTCCCTTTCTAACAGGAATCATGTTAGCCTTTCAGGAAAATCTGTTTTTTCGTCTTAGTGTTACAAGAGAATTTATACGTCTCTCTCTCTCTTAAAAAGGGGTTCCTTTTGGTAGAGTGTATTTTGGTACTTTGACAGACTCAAATTTTCTTTCCTATTCTGCAACGTTTTGTAAGGGGCTTGTTATAATTCGTAGCCTCTGTTAAGAGTAAGGTTCTCATCAAATGTCACTTGATTGTCTATGTCAAACCTTGTTTTTGATGAAATGTAGAATCTTCCTATGTAAGAAACTCTTTGTTGTTTCTAAACCTAAGTAGTAATAGGTATTACCTCTCTGCTGTTTTCATTGCGACTCCTAGGGACCGACTGGAAGACATGCGCTTTTTGTATGACACCGCCGCAGAAACCAATAGTAAAATCTCCTTTGACTCTGCTGATCCTTTCTACGACTCACTGCCATGGTTTAGACTGATTGGGAGGTATTTTAGCTCTAGCTTTTGATTTAAGTTATTCCTGCAGCTAAGAGTTTTAAAAAAATTGTTAAATTATTTTTTTCCATAAGCAAAAACAAAAGAGAAAATAAAATCATTAAAATCAACTATTTTAGGGAAAAACTTCCACCTTAGAGAACAAAACATGGGTGCGCGTGGATATGGGATTCTAGTTCTCTTCTAATGTTCAACCCGGTAGCTCACGAGTGAGTGCAACGAATGAGTAAGACTTCGAGTTGAACACGAGAAGAGACATTCTATATCCACAAGCAACCATATATTATTTTGTGTATTATATAAACACCGTAGGGCCTTGGATTGAGAATGATGAACGCTTTGCCTTTCATTCATCAACCTGACAGAGTGGCGCGAAAGGCGAGTGTTTGCATATCAAACAAACGCATAAAATATTAGCATAACTTTACACGTGTGCAGTTACCGCTTTTTCTTAAGGCTGTAAACCTTGTAAGACACTGCAGTGTATACAATAGTAGACATCAATTTAAGAGTCGAGTACCTTCAGAAAGCTTTTTGTCTGCATCATTTTTGGCAACAGATCGTTTGTATACCTGAGTAACTTGGTGTTTGGTGTTCCACTGGAGCAAACGGTGCCGATTGTGAGTGAACTGGGGGACATACAAGGAAATCTATCCATCAACATTCAGCAGTGCACTGGTACGGAATCATACTTATAAAAAGCAGTTGTTTTAGGTTGACCTTCTTTAGTCCTCCTAGATTTAAACCTTAAGTTTCAATGGATAAGGGTCATCATGTCTTGTTCTTGGACATCACACTTTACTCACACAATGCCCAGGCTCTCTCAAAAAGGCTTCCACACCAGCAGCGAAGCCATTAGATATGAGCTGGCGAGCGAAGCAGGTCGGCACGAAATGAGAGCCCTTCCTCCTCCCCTCTAACCCCCAGTCTTCCCCCCCCCACCCTTAGGTTTGGCTCGCTTTTCCAGCCTACTTGTCTCTCGAGGCTCCGTCGGTCGTGCTGCAGCGCTTATGAAAATCTGCTCGCACGGAAGGAAGAGCAGGAGCTTCGTGTTACGGAAATCCGGGGAGGCTTTACGAATCAATATCAGCATCTGGGCAACTGCCCACCTACCCCTCCCCTAACCCAACATTAACCCTAACTTGTTCTCAATTGACTGTTGTTGAGTTAGGGGAGGGGAAGGAGGTCAGTTAACCAGATACTGATATTGATCCGGATTTACCAATGGTTAGGTATAAGGAGACTGAGCCTGTTGACCTCAGAACGGTTCTGAATGCCTACCTTGTTTCTTTCGCAGATGGTGACACTTGGCAGGTAGACGAAACGGGTCGCTCTTGGGTACTGTGGTTAGAATTTCCTTCTGATGATCACGAACAGAAGAGTGAGAACGAGGTGAAACATGGTCTGCAATAAATATTTTTAATTAGACTCCTAACTTTGTGTTTCTAGTAAGTGTAACTGAATAACGTGACTTTATGTGTTTGCAGTTGTACTCCACGAAGTGAAATCTGTGTATCATGTCGCTCTCTTAGTCAGTAAAGTACAGAGTCTTGTCGAACCGACTCGGATGATACACTTGCCTTCTTTCATTTATCATCATTGAGAAAGTACGAGGATGGCTCGGCCAACCTTTACTCCTATGTCACGCTTTGTTCAAAATCATACTTTTGAGCGAATACTCCTAAATTTTCTGAGCTATCTTTAGAGCCGCTGTTGCTTCTTAGTGAATGGCCTTTGAATAGATTAAAATCTTGAAATGAAAGTTTCCTGTGAACGGGGTAACACCAAAGAACTATTCACAGGGGCTCCCTTAGGTCCCTTAACCAATCAGGGAGCAGCATGAGGTAATATCGTTATCACTTACGCCATTTTGGATTAATACAGAAATCTGTTTTGTCCATTACACATTTCCGTTGTTCCATCTGCTCGGTTAACCCTTTAACTCCCAGATCAAATTTGTAATTCTTCTTACTGCCAATCATACAATTCTTATAATGTTAGTTCAGAGAATTTAGTATTGGATCCACTAATTATCCTTAAATTGATATTTTTCTTTATTCTCATCACTTATCTGGTTGATATTGTATTGATATTGTAAGGAGAAATCTTGTCTTGGTCACTCATGGGAGTTAAAGGGTTAAGAGCCTATCGGAGCCTCTACTACTTCTCAAAGAGGTCAGAAAAGAAGCACAAAAGAATAAACATGGTTTGGGGTGGAGAAGACTGATAAACACGATTTGCAAACCATGATGTATCTGAATTCTTTAGCAGGAAGTAGAAGAAGCGGTTGAAGCAGACGAGGTGCAGGAACCTCCATTTTCCAAGGGGACACTTCATGTCGGCCAGCCTTATGTGATTAGCATCACTGTACAGCAGGCTCAAGGGATTCCAACTCAATACACGGATGTATTCTGTCAAATAAGGTGAACTGTAAGATTTGTATCTCGAGTAAAAAATATTTGCAAACATGCGTTTAGGTATTTCCAAAAATTAAAAAAATAGCCTGCTGGCTTTGGTGACGAGGTTTGGTTATTTGTAGGTTTTTGTGCAGTGAAGAAGATGAAGGATTTTCCACGGAGCCCGTTACCAACAAACAAAATGGCAGTCCTCTGGGTTTCTACTATAATCAAAAGGTATTAGAATTGCATGATAGTTTGACGACTATGTGTTTACTTCGTCGATGTTTGCTTGACTCTTCTTGTAATTGTCTAGACTGTGAACAGTCCCTCCTTATCGGCGAAGTCCATCGCGCGAGGCCAAAAAAGTCAACGAAAAAAAAGTGGTGGCTTGTGCGTCCCGGGAAACTCTGGTAGAAAAGCGCCTCGCTCTCCGGCAGAGTTCCACGCGGGGCCCTTTTTAACTCGTGAATTGCGCGCATGCGCAAGAGCGAGTTATAGATACCATGTGGGGAATGGCATTCGCTCGCTCGCTCGCTCGCTCGCTCGCTCGATTGGTCGATTCCTGTAAACTTTTTTTAGATTTTAGGCTTTTGAGTGCATTTGATAGTTTTTAGCGAGCAGTAAACAGAAGAAATGGCGACCTTTGTTGCTAAGAATAGTGGTGGGGTGAAAAAGAAGCCAATGATAATCTTAAAAGAATTTTTTTTCGTTTTAGTTTCAACAAGCGGCGCCAGCGACTGGCAGGCATGCAAGGATTCACACTGAAATAACAGAACAACCTTCGTTTTTCATAAAATTGTAATTTACAATTCTTGAACTCGAAAACAATCCGAAGATTCATTGAAAATATTACTTACTGCGAAGCGCTCGAAGTTTACAGATGTTCAAAAGCTTTTTCTGTTATGGCGTGAGATTGAGGACAAAATTGATCATTACGTTTCGTCGCGTGTGTTTTTCCTGTGTGAAGCAACAAAACATGCCTGCGACTTACGAAATTACAAGTTAACACGAAAATCAGATAACACCTAAACAAACAATTTTAGCTACCGATTTTCAGTGAATTTTTAAAGAACAATTTTCTTTTAAGTTTCAAGACAATTTGAAGATTCAACATACATACAACGTACTAAAATGCGAAAGTTACACACCACAAAATTGATAAATAGGCCTGAAATGAAATTCTATCTTGTTATTGATTATACGTTGCCTAGCACGTGACTTAAATCTACCCAGGCGGAGATCCAAAATGACGGTGGCGGGCTTGGCTTAGTTATATCACTCAAAACTCGTTCCAGTTTCTCTGATTTGATAAAGAGGGAATCGTTAATGTTTTCATTAAGACAGTATTGCCTTGATTTTCTAATATTTACAACGAAAGACAGTAAATTTCACTTTTCACCCACATTTACTTCCAACCTTTTCTTTTGAACCAGAAACAAAAATGATAGACGTTTAAAGCACATGACATCATCCACCTTGTCAAATGTAATAGCATGATAATTTCAATTGTAATGCCTTCTTATCCCAACGTTACTTTGTTTCTTTGCTACATTAGCGAACACTGAACTACTGCTCGTACTCTAGATATGACAATCAACCACAAAATTCCCTGAACCAGATAACATTAAACATCATGTGTCAAAATCATGTGTCAATTCACGAGTTTGCTCACAGAGCACTTTGATTTTCGCTGATTTTTTTGGACTCGCGCGGTGAACTTCGCCGAAAGGGAGGGACTGCTCGTAGTCCGATAAATGTTTCTTTCAATGAAAACTTAACGACATAGTTGGACATCCGTGTATAACTGGGGAAAAGCTTATGTCTAGTATTACTATTTTAGAATGGAAGTATTTTTTTTATCGTGTACAGTTCGACCATATTGCCTGAAGAAGATGAGCCGTATGCAATCGAAACTTCGCGATGCACATCGGAATTGATCACATCGTAAGACAAACAGTAGCCCTATACATTACAAATTCATCTTTCGTTAGCTCCTGTTGCTTTCAAAAACCTGGCAGCCTTGATAGTATAGCTGTTCTTGACTGAAATTTTCAGGAAAATAGAGCAGGTTTCACAGACGTTTTCTCCTTTTTATAATATCACTTTCAACTCCTGTTCTTTGATTCCTTAAAAGATTGGCGTTGTGGTAACAAGAGAGTTCATAGACTACATCAGCACCAGGCCCCTGCAGGTTGAAGTGTTCGGCCACTATCAGCATCACCCACAGCATCAGTCAACTGCGCAACTTCCAAGGTTTGGTCAAGGGCAAATTACCCTTAGTACTTCAGTTCAAGTAATGAGAATACAGAGTCTTATATTTTAACCTTTTTTTTTGTTGTTTATGGGTTAAATACTATGTTTTCTGGGCTAGAAATGCTTCCCAGATGGTATGTCCATTTGAGGGCACGTGTGGCAGTAGAGCGTCGGCAATCCGTGAGAAGAAAAGAGTAAATTTAGTAAAAAAAGCTGTTGTACTTTTTGTCACGAGCGTGGGAAAAAAAGAAATCCTAGTCGCCCACGAGCACTCGACCCACAGATAATGAAATTTCTTACTCTGATGCTCTACCACTGAGCTTTTGGGAACTCTGTGACGAGTTGGATCATTGCTGAATTGATATGTGACAAGCGCCCCGCAAACAGCCAAAACCTACCAAATGTGGAAAGTGCCCTATCTTTTAAAACCACTAAGACTTTCATAACTGAAACTCTCTTGAATTAATTTAACTGCTTAGTATATTGTAGAAAGATAAGGGAATGGGCGCGAGTAGCTTCTTTAGTGAAGTGGAGATTCATAACTAAGAAGGTGTTCTTTCATTGTTGTATGTTTTTTTTTTCTGTCAGGGCTATAGTGAAGGAAGGAGAATTTAGTTCTAAATATCTGAAAGGTAACAAATGACTCCGTGCCACTTCTTTTTCTTCGGGGTTTTTTTTTTTTTTTTCATGAGTATAACATCTGTTCTTTGATTAAAACTGTGGTACATTGCTCAACAAGCTTCTGCCAGTGGAATATCGATTACTTAATATGTAAGATCGCTGTGTTTTTTTTCCTATTTTAGAATCTTCTCCTGCCGTACCTTTGCCATATCAACCTTGGTAAGTAAATGTGAATACCTTAGTATTAGTCGACGCACACCGTTCTAAAACTGTCGCTTGTCTTTGCGTTGTAGAAACAGTTCATTACAATTTTTCTGGACTCAATTGTTTAGCGAAGTGCATTGTACTAATTGTTTCCTTTTTATGGTTCTTCAAATGACGTTGAACCTGTTTTCTGAACACACCAAATGAAGTGTTGTGTATGACCTTTTTTTCTTTCTTTTATAGTGACGAAGAAGGAACTCTTAAGTTTGATTTGTTGGTCTGGGTTGAGGTCTTCGAAATGTCACCGTCTGGAGAGTAAGTTTTGAAATCCAATCTAGGTTTAACTAAATAGATATTTCTGTTTTCAAGAGTTCTTTTTTTCCTAAGGTACATTCATAACCCACCATAATTTTCTTGTTTTCAGCTATTTTCCTTGTGTTGTGAGGCGTAAAAATGACACTCCTTGTGGTGGAGTGTTCCTTCTTCATCAGGTATCGTTTTTTAATACTTAAGCGCAACAAATTTTCTCGTGATTTATGCCTCTCACTTAACAACTTCGACATCGTTTGCAGACCCGAGGAAGGTATGGGAATTCAAGATAATAACCATTGTTAGTAAATTTGTTAGTAGCCTTGTTTATAATGAGATTATTCAGTGCAAATTTTCTCACAGAGCGATGGTGTTGATGAACAGGCTTTGACTGAGGATTTTTTTGTCTTCATTTCCAGGGAATTCAAAGGCGTCTTGTTGTTACAATAATTCACGAGAACTCTATGGACATCAGAATCAGAAAAGTCACCGAACTTGCTGTGGGTAAGCGAGCTGTTTATTCATGCGATATGACGCCCTTTCGATTTAGTGCTTTTAAGCAAAAACCTAAACAAAGACCGCGGCCAAAGAGAGCAGATGGAAATATCTCAACGAACAACTAATAACTCAACGTAAATACTTGGAACTGGCCGGAAAACTCAAGTGACCAAGTCGTATAGCTTTTGGTCGTAATAGTGGTGAGAGTTTCCTAAACCAATAACATAACGAAGTTTAGGAAAACTAAAGCGATGACTTTCGACATTCAATCGAAAAGCTCCCCGGTACTTTCTCGGTATGCGATTTCTGGACAACAGGCCTTAGTAAATGGCTTAGGCTGAGCTAGGAATGTAAGGTGGATAAAGAACTTCTTACTCATAAGTCATATTTTTCCCAACAAATTGCGTAAAACTCGGTATTTGAAAAACTATAAACAGTTTACCTAATAGTACAAGAGATTAAGTACTAGCTTGAGTTTTCCTTTTGTGATCATCCTCACTGCTGCCTCAACGGACTTCCTACTTTGTTCAACGATGATTGATATAAGATTAAAGAGCGCGTGAGAGACTTACCCTGAGTTTATTGGTTGCCTTACAGGTCGTGTACGTACAGCTCTCACCCCTCCCCCTGCTGGGGAAAGTTCAACTCACAACGTTTCACTGAACGTGCTGTCACCCCAAGTCCAGTCCCACCCGGATGAAAACAGATGCGTGTTTAGATTTGAAGCAGCCTGGGACTCGTCACTTCATAACTCCATTTTACTGAACAGGTAAACTGCTAGAATTGTGTGTAAGTTGGTCTTGAGACTCATTAACCTTACCTAATTCATGTATGCCACCTTGCAGGGTGACTCCGCCTGGAGAGCTTGTGTTCGTTACCATATCTGCGTACCTTGAGGTTGGTTTTGTTTTTCTTCTTAAAAATTGGAATTTGTGTAGTTAACTTGGAGTACAGTGACTAACTTTAGTTTTACTTCTTTGGCAAATAAACGGAAATCGTTACTTGGTGCTCGTTGAGATGTCATCCCACGAGTTGCGAAGATTCTTGCAATTTTTTACTCATGAATTCCTTTCACCGGCAGCTCGAAAACTGTTGCCAGACTTCATGTCTCACAAAGGATATTCCTGTTTGCGTGTTTGGAAGGGATTCAAAAACCTCCTCACGGTAAGCAAACTACATAATTGTAATTTTGTCTGTTTCTTCAGCATTCAGGACTTCATTTTAAGTTTCATTTTTATTTTGTTGAATTGCAGGTCTGTTTGGAGTTTGTTCGGTTCTTCGCGACGTCCTGAAAAGTAAGTCTCTGTATCAGCGTTTGCAGTGTAGGAAACTGCTTTAATTTTTTTAAATTTCTGTAATCTCAGTAATACTTTTATGTTTAGTGTTAACTTATGTAATCGATTGTTCTTGTCCTTTTTTGCAGTGATAAACTCAGCGATATTTTTGAGCTGGTTTTCCATCCCGCTGATGAGCACGGCCAATGTAAGTAACTTTGTTAGGGAATTTTCAATTAAGGTTCGAAACCATTCAGGAATTGCATTGCTTTAAATTTTTCCTTACCGAGCTAGAAGTTTTCAGAAATTTTGCACTTCCTCTCAATCATCAGATGCGAGACTGGAAGCAATTTTGACTTGTTCTGTCATGTTTTACAGCATTTCAGGCAGTTTACATGTATTTGCTCTGAGTTCTTTTTGATTCCCTCCAAACTTGCTTTTTTTTCTCCGTTGGCTATAGTGATTATTTTGCTTTTGAATTACCGACAGAAAGTAAAGCAATGCTCTATCCACCGATTCGCTTTTTCAATTCTGATATATCAGAGTGAGTCTCGTTCCCCAACACCAACAAACCATGTTGTCTCTTCCCGTATCCCTGCTTGGAGGCTGTTAATGTGATCGAAGTATGTTCCTGTTTGCGTAGTAATGAAGACGAAGAAGAGAGCCGTGATCGACACTTCGAGTATTTACGTGAGAGGAGAAGAAAACCTTGGAGAATGGAAACCGAGAGGGATATCACTCCTTGATGAACATCAGTCACATTTAGACAAACTGGAGAGAATTCAGGAGGTAAGAGCTGTTAGCCACAGCCGCCTACTCAGGTTTCGCGCATGCGCTTCGCTCAGCGATGTTTAAAAGGTAGCGCAAAACGCGAAGACGCGGGGTCCAGCAGAGACTAAGTCGGGCTAAGGTCTGATAGAAGGAATCGTTGCTTAAGACCTGAGGTAGAATGAAATTAGATTTGTAAGGCGGCTTGTAGGAAATGACTGGGAGCTAATGCAAATCGAAAATAAGTTTTCAAACTTCCAAGGGCGAAGTTAGCGTCATATCAAACTCTTTTGAAGTGATAGCCGTGACTTTACCTCTCTTATCACAATCTGTACTTTGGAACTCTTTCCCGTTTGATATCAGTCTCTTCGTTCGGATGGTTCCATTTGTTTCTGACACGAGCACCCTGGAGAGCCATTCATTTCGGCTTCAGTGGGCTTTGTCCAACCTTTCAACGACCAGTTTGTGAACTGATCTTGTGGTAAATACTTTCGTGCTCTTCCCAGGTTGGTAAAGCTCGTCACATCCTGTGCCTTGGTGAGACACTCATGTCCTCAGACCGTCCCGACAACGTGTTGGTTGATCCGGGAATTTTCTCAGCCGGTAGTACATATTCAAGCCGGAGTAGCCTGGGTTCTATTTCATTATCTTCCTCGTTTCTATCAGTTGCGTCACTTCCGGCTGGGAAGCCACTGCGTTTTACAAGAGATGTCAACCCAGAGCAAGTTAAAGAAACCTTGATAAAAAAGGTAACGGATGCCTATTTTTCTTTTTTGTTAATGATAAACGCATTGATGTGATCGAACATCTTTCTTAAAAAAAGAATTAAAAGGAGAGATAAGTTGCGCAAATAGTTAATGAGCCTACGATTCTATCGGAGGTTACCAAGACGTCTTCCACAAACACGAGAATTTTCCTGGAAATTCTTCGTAGCAAAGGCTGTTAGTGAAAAGATAAATAAAGTGTTACGATAGAAGTCATCTTTTTAACATGATTTGACTTTTCTTCCGTGTTGGTTTGCAGTGTCTTCGTCTCCTAATGTGGAGAAAGGACTTGTGTGAAGCTAAGGCTTTGGTGAGTGAGTTATGCATTATCACCTTTGACGCGCTGTATTTTCTTTACTAAGAGATAAATTCAGGTGGTGCTAATGTAATTGTGACAGTCCTCAGGGTTACAGTTGCAGCGTATCGCTTAATAGTTAGACTAAACTCCCAGAGGTGATTAACACTTAACTTTTCCCTTTGATATCCATACGTTATCCATCAAACAGGTGAAGAGATTACTCAAAGGTTTCAGGTAGAAGTTGTAATCTTGGTCTAACACCATATTCTCGTAACTTATTTACAAGGAATTAAAGGGTTTCCCCTATATCAAGACTCCTACAGAAAGCCATTTCTCTTTCTCGTATTTTGTAATACATGTCTTGAGTTTCTCCTGTCCGTAGAGTCGAGCTCCTTCGTCAGAGGGCAGTGCAAGTGCATTAGGAACACAAGAAAAAGAACAAGAAGATGCATCGAAAGTGGAGTATTACGTACCAGAGGTGTTGCTTGTCAGGAAAAAGTAAGTAATTTCTCACCATGATTTTGTTTTATTATTATTATTATTATTATTATTATTATTATTATTATTATTATTATTATTATTACTACTACTACTGGCCCCGATGTTTTTCGTTTAGCGATAGCAGGAGTGTTGCTCTGAGAGCGTTAAAAGTGTCCTTCAGGAAGAAAAATGTATCTGTGCAATTGCGCACCTACTCCTCCCCCAACCCAACATTAACTAACATGTCATTAATTGTCTGTTGTTGGGTGAGAGAAGGGGTAGGTGCGTAGTTGTTCAGATGCTTACATTGATCCATTTTATCATTTGGCCAAATATTGTACTTCCATTTCAACGAGAAGTCTCTTTTATTGTTGTTCTGTGGTTCTATTTTGTTTTTTTCCTTTACCTCGATTTCTGCATTTAAGCGGTTCCCCATTAACGGATTGTGTTCTAGACGGTTTTTATTAAGATGGCTGTATCAAGGAAGAAAGTGACATCAAAGATTTGCTTGTTAAAAAATATTATAAAGTAATTAATTCATCACTCACTGAAAGGGGGATCACGAAAAGAAAATGTATGAACACATTCGAGAACACACCAATTGATTATCGTCTCTGTAACATTCCTCGATTGTAACTTTTTGCGGGCCTTCCATTACAAGTCTTTTTTCAGTAGCTATTCAATTTAGATAGTTCCCCTTGAAAACCTCGCAAGCATTGTTACCACGTCGAACGGCGAACTACAAGAAAATCGCGTTACTTAAGTCTGTCTCATGATGAAAGAACGATATTGATGAATTAAACACAAAAACTCGTGATTTGACCTTGAATCTGTAATCCACAGCCCGGTGACAAGCAAGCGTGGGTACCTACACATCATGGACGACTGCAGCAGTAGATGGAGCAAATGTTATGTAGTGAGTAAAAAGTCTCATTTCAACCCTTGCACTGTTTTACATCTTGTATGGTTTTGCTTCCAGTAAGAAATAGGTATGACTTTGACTGAGAGGGAATCTTTGAAGGAGTCTGCTTGATATTCTATCGAGCATCCGTTAACCCTTTAACTCCCAGATCAAATTTGTAATCCTCCTCACTGTCAACCATACAATTCTCATAATGCCAGTTCAGAGAATTTAGTATTGGATCAACTTATTATCCCCAAATTGATATTTTTCTTTATTCTCATCACTTATCTGGTTGATGTTGTATTGATATTGTAAGGAGAAATTCTGTTCTGATCACTCATGGGAGTTAAAGGGCTAACTACAACACCATCTATACTCTGTTCACGTGTCGCAAAAGCCCTCAAAAAAGTATCACGTCTTGAATGTCTTCTTTTCTAAACAGTTTGTGCACGTGTCAGATTGTGGTTTTGCCTCCACTAGTTCAAGGTTATTTGTTTCTTAAGAAACTGTTGTGCCTTGTCGGTGGACAAGAGGAGCGACTGTTTTATTTAACAACCCTCGGTTGGTAATGGTAGATAAATCGCTGTGGCGGTGTAGCCGCGTGGACAGAATTGAAAGCGAAGTATTATACTCATTTGGGTGGGAGCGAACTTATTGTGGGTGAAGTTGAAGGGACGAAACCTGCGCAAACCATTTTGGATCGTGGCGTATTTCTGCGTTCGCGTGCAGAGGCTCCATATTTTATTGTTTTATTTATTTATTTTATTTCATTTCAGGTTGTTCGGAAACCTTACGTGCTTCTATATCGCCAGGAAGGTGACCCGGTGAGTGAACTCTTCCAGAAATATAATTTAAGTGACTTGAAATTGAAAACCTTAGTTCCCCTCAGTTATCCTTGATTTTGATTGATTACAGGTTGAACAGTTTCTGATCAACTTGAAACATTCTAAAGTGGAGTGCCCAGAATACTTTGTGGTGAGAATTAGTGTTTTTTTGTCTTTTGGTTTTTGTTTTTGTTTTTTTTTTTTTTTTTGGGGGGGGGGGGAGGGGGTATACTGTAGCAACGTGAGACTCTAGGTTTTAAGGTAGTAAACTTCCCAACCAATTGCGAATTGAGTGTCAAAGTAATCCGGGATTTCTTTGGTTCTCTTTCTTTGGTTTGTGATTGGTCTAAAAACTCGCGCCATGCTCTAAACCAATCAGACGCCAAACGAAAACTAAACGTAACTTTTTTGCCCGTATTTTCCCGCGCATTTGGTGGTTTACCTGTTTTTTACTTTGACTCCTCATTGGCTTATGATGGTGCAAATTTATGTTATGGTAGGTATTTGTAATTACGTTTTATTTTTATGACAGTGAATTGAAACCGGCTCAAAGGCAACAATTGTACTGAACTAATAACAAGAAGTTTTGATGTTAAAGCCCGTGTTTGTGGCATGATCGCAGTCCTCTGTTTTCTCATAGGAATAAAACGAAGCAAATCTTGTAAATCTTGTAACTGGAACTTTATTTTCAATCTTTTTCAGTCATTAAGTGTATTCTCAATCCGTACAAGACACTGCAGATTTCTTGTACGTAATACAACGGAGAAAGAGGAAGATGCTTATGACTGGCTGTATGCGCTCGATCCTCTGTTAGTTGGCAGTTTGAGGTATCTCACCGTGTATTTCTGAATTGCATTTACCATAAATTTCAAGAACTCACCAAGGGGTCTGTTCGTTTGCGCACAGTTCTACTTAAGGAGCTTTGGAGAAAAGAGCTGCGTGTTCACAAACTTCTGTGTGGGGTGGGCCTAGACGGTCTTGTGCTTCCCCCACTCCTTGTGGATATAGAGAAGGGTTTATTTATGCCGGCCCCCCCCCCCCCCCATTAATCAACTTAAGACCCAAAATATGGGTCTTGTCTCTATATCAAGTCCGTAGTAATCTGCTCATTGAATCACCCTATAGTAGGGTTTCCACTGGTACTAAGAGGAACTCGGGTCCGTAGAAAAAATCGGGGCAATTTTGAAATCCTTTCGTACATCGAGGAAACCTCAGGGAGCAGTAGTTTTGTGGGTGTGCGCCCTTCGTAACTGATATAACGTAAATCCGGACACACGCGCGTGGTCCATACCGGTTTTCGTGTAAATGAGGTATGTCTAGTGTTAAGTGACTGACTCTCCTAACTTCACAGGTCGAGAAAAGGAAGTTCAAAACATGGACACAAATGATGGTGCGCGTGTAAAAGATTGTGATGTCTTAAGAAATTTTCGTTATTCATCAAAACTTGGAGATTTAATGATAAACTTCTCAAAAGTCAGGATGCTGTGTGTAAAGATATGCATGGCATCTTCGCCACGAGAGGGGCATGTCATTTCGTCAAGTGTAGCGTAAATAACGGAAGTGTTGGTGTTGAATAGGACGGTTGAGTAACAGCAAAGGGGTCTAGAGTTCAGAAGTTTTTAATACGTGGTAAATTTAATATATTAAATTAGAATCCTGTAACTATATTTAATACTAGTAATGGTGTGAAAAAAATGTCAATTTGGTAATGTCCCTATCCGGGTACCTCTTTCAACCGAAAAGTTTTCATTTTGAAAAATACGTTTATTTGTAACTGGTGCTGAAGACAAAAGTGCATCTTTTCATAATTGTATCCATAGAATGTTCCGTGAATGGAATCAATAGCCTTCGTGGGCTTACATATTTATATTTTCAAGTTATAATTGGCTGGCGGAGAACCGCCGATAAATTGAAGGGATACTTGTGGTTTCTAGATAAATAATAAGGGGCGGGGGGGGGGTTTGTTTATGGAGATGCAAATTGTTTCATTCAAGCCGGTACTGTGCATGAACAGTGACGACAATAACAATCTTTCTTTGCGCTTTTTATATTGAAAAAGTTAGAAAAGTGTTAAATTAAATAAAAGAAAAGATAACTGTTGAAAGGTTCAGTAAATGAAGGTATAGGAAATAAAATAAATGTAGTGATGGCGAATTACACTTAGTTGTGGTCACGCGTTTAAAGACTGACAAGTACGTTCAGTAACAGTCAAGAACGTGAAATAACGATCAGATACGTCCAGTGACGTTAAAGCACACGTAGTGTTAATCAAGTACGATTGAAGACGGTCACGAAGTACGTCCAGTGACTGACAAGTACAATCAGTAACAGTCAAGAACGTGAAATGACGATCAGATACGTCCAGTGACGTTAAAGCACACATAGTGTTAATCAGGTACGATTGAAGACGGTTGCGAAGTACGTCCAGTGACTGATAAAAACGTCTGGTAACGGTCAAGAAAGTGAAATGACGATCAGATATGTCCTGTGACGTTAAAGCACACACAGTGTTAATCAAGAACGGTTGAAGACGGTTACGAAGTACGTCTAGTGACTGATAAGTACGTCCAGTAACGGTCAAGAACGTGAAACGACAATCAGATACGTCCAGTGACGTTAAAGCACATGTAGTGTTAATCAAGTACGATTGAAGACGGTTACGAAATTAAGTCAAATGCGTTCAGAGACGCGGAATACATCTACTGAAGGTCAATTTTTCCAGTGATGGTCGAGAACGTCTGATGACCGTAAATTTTCTTAGTGATGGTTAAATACGTCGAGGGTCGGTAAAGTTCGTTCCTTCACGATCAAATTCTTGAAGTGACGATCAAATACATGCAGTGACGGTGAAGTACCCTTAGTTATGGTCAAGTTCACTTAAAGACAGTTACATACGTCGTGATTGATAAGCAAGTCTCGTAATGGTGAAAAATGTCTATCGAAGAGGTACTGACGTCCAGTGGCAATCAAGTACTTTCAGTGAAGGTCAAAATCATCTTGTTAGGGTGAAATACATCTAGAGAAAATAATTGCCCCTTATTTTCTCTTAGGTACATTTAATAACGGTCAAATGCGTGACGTGACGGTATAATACGTCCAGTGCCGGACTAATACGTTCAGTGACAATCTAATACGGTCCTAAACGTCCATCAGTGATCAAATGTGTCCAGTGACGGTCAATAAGTTCCAATGACGGTGAAATGCATCCAGTGACGATCATATACATCTGATGATAGTCTGATACGTCCAGTGATGGTCGTATACGTCTCGTGACGGTCAAATAACGTCCAGAGACGGTCAAATGCGTCCAGTGATGGTCAATACGTCCAGTAATAACGGTCAAACACGTCCAGTGACGGTATAAGACCTCCAGCGACAGTCTAATACGTACAGTTTCGGTTAAATACGTTCAGTGACAGTTTAGTATGTCCAATGGCAGTGAAGTACGGATGGTAACAGTAAACTTCTTAGAGTTACGGTTAAGTGGGACAAACAGTATTATTTAAAACCCTTTATTTCAATCAAATGATATACAGTTTGCTATAAATTAGGGCAATCACATGATGCAGGTGCTAAAGTCTGATTGGAAGACTGAGATTTCTGTTACGAACTTCAATGTTCGTAACAGCACCTTTAGCACCTGCACGGTTTATCGCAAAGGCTTCAGACGAAAGGTCGGGTAGCAACACCTTTGAAAGAACAAAGGAATATTTTTTATCGTACATCTCAAACTAATTTCTGAAAATTGGCAAACGTAAAACTCATCCCTTTTTATGAAGCTTTTTAAGGGGGATGTGCTAATTATAAATCGAGTCTGACAAATTTTACGGCTGGCAAACGAACTTCGAATGCCTGGAGTGACTACGAACATTGATAGCAGAAACCCAGTGGTCTCTAACAAATCAGATAATTTACGGACTAATTTAAAGCAAGATTAAGCTAACACAGCGGTCAAACGTCGGGCATGCGTGAAGGGATCACTTCTCGCCAGCCGTGCACCTATTTCATGCGTAAAACTTCAAAGGAAAACATAAGAAACAACTGCTTTCGCTTCTTAAAATCTTTCAAAGGAAACAAAAGTAGGGAAAAGGAAACCTCGAGACTTTTCAAACACAAAGCTTTTCAAGTATAAGTATTGTGTTCATTACCATTCGGTTTTGGGCTTCAACAAAAAAGTTAAACGCTTTTAAAACACCCAGACTTAATGGCTCAGTTATACGGTTGTTTGTAACTCGTGCAAGACAACTTGGTTCTTACAACCTGAGGGTACGTCACTGAGTCGTTACAATGTTCACAATGACCACCGAGTGGGTTCAGCCTAACAATTTTCTAGTGCTTGCCAGTTGCATTTCCCCGATTTTTTCGGCGTCCCTCTGTTAATCTGTTCTCGCCATTTATTCGAGCGTTTTCCTACATTTGCTCTACCTCCAGAGTGGCTTTCGAGTTTATTTGCGCGTGAGAGAACTTAGTGACTTGAAGTAGATACAATTTTACAAGAACCGTTACAGCAACACTATATCAAATGACTGTCGCTCAGGCTGAACGTTTGGGTAAATAATGACACGATAGCACCTACTAACTTAAAAACGCCTTCCTCTGAAGGAACTTCCAAATTACCTAAGTGTTGTAAGCACATTACGTCACAAATTTAGGACTACGCATGTCCACATGTTTCTTCTAGGATAACGTTAAGAACTTTAGAAATACATGCATAGCCCTGGGAGAACATACAACTGCTAAGAGAAACGTATATTTCCTTTTGATTAACAGGGTAATTTGGCATTATCAACGGAGTTGATAATGTAAATTGGCCACCCTAAAGAGTTTCAAAGTTGACGTTTCAAGCATTAGCTTTGAAACTCTTTACGGAGGCCAATTTACGTTATCAACTCAGTTGACAATATCCAATTATCCTGTTATACTCGCCCTCCGACGCAGCACAACAGTTTCTTTAGAAACTAACCCCTTCTCTTGGATTACACACATATCTTCGATAATCAACTGCTATCTACAAGAGGTTATTTACTCTGGATGAACAATCAGAAATCAGCGATCCATTGCTCGAAGAATGTAACTGACTGTTCTCGAACAAGGATAACTTTTCGTCATTGGAACAATGAATTTTAGAAATAGAAGTGGAGCGACTGTCCGCCATCCGACACACCTACTAAAGGATTGCGAGACACGCATTTGTGATACTGGGCATCGAGCAATGAGTCACGCAAACCTGTGAATGAAAACCACTGAATTGATAAAGCGCATATAAAAATAGGAATTTTGTAAAACAATAAGTCGTTGATTGTCTGGAAAGCAAACTCACGGTGTAAGTTCAATAGGGGAGAAAGTTGAATGTTTCAGCAGTTGAGCGTCAAGGAGAAATATCCACAATTTAGTAGATGACTTGAACACGATATCTTAATTACACAAAGATAAAAATGGAACTCTGTTATTCCTCTGTCTTGCTCTCATCATCTTCTTCGGCGTCATCGTCTTCTCCTTCGTCTGCCTCGTCATCATCCTCTTGTTCAACTCCTTCATCTTCTTCCTCATCCTCCTCATCGTCTTCCTCTCCTTCGAGAATGGCTTCCTCCTTAAAAAGTATATAATACTGTTAACTTCCACTTCCAGCCTGTTCTAAGCAAAATCTGCGTCCGAGACTGACTTGCATGGTTGCTAAAGCTTGAGTTTCTTTGGCAGGAAGGGATAAGGCGTACGACTTCTTCTACCCCCAACTCCCCACCCCAGATAAGATGGTAGTGTGGTCCAGTTTTTCTGCTCATATTCAACACTAATATGTAACACACTTTAAAAATTTTTCGCAGAAGGTGAATAATCGGTTTAGTGCAATTGCTCAGGCGTTTTCTAATTCTGTCCAAGTATACAACACAATGATTCAGTCAGTGCCTGATGTATATGCATTCCCAATTGACACAAGCATTATATGCAAGCAAATCTTCCCCAAATGAAAACACCATGAGCCTTTTTTCCACAACTACCTCTCCCCTCTTTGCCCAAACTTAATATAGATGTAACCTTTATAACCTCATTTCCCCACCCCTCCCCTCCTCTTCAAAATTGACCCTATCAACAACTGTTCCTCTATGTCTTACCCCCTGCTCTGCTTCCTCATCACCATCTTCATCCTCTTCCTCCAGCTCATACACAACAGGTGTCTCCCCCTCCTCTCCTTCTGCCAATTCTTCTTCTTCTCCCTCTTCAACAACCACTTCTTCCTCTTCTTCATCTTCATCATCATCATCCTCTTCTTCTTCTTCGTCTTCTCCTTCCCCCTCATCACCCAAATCATCTTCATCTTCTTCCTCCACTACTACTACATCATCCTGTGCATAAAAGCAGACAAGAGGATTTAGTTGAGATGCAATAACATGAACGTGATTCATGAGAGCTTTGCAAGGTCCAAAGTTCCCCATGGACATTCAGTCATATTCCTGATAAATGCACTGTGATGTACTAATCAACAATTTCAATCAGTCCATCAGCCAGTCAGTCAGTCTTTACAGTGGCCAATTTACGTTATCAAGTCTGTTGATAATACTAAATTACAGTATTAGTCAGTTGCTCAGTTAGTCTACCGACTGCCAGCCAGCCAGTAATTCAGCCACTCAGCCAGTCAATCAGTCAGTCTCTACACTAAATTCCAAATAATCAGTTAATTTACCAGGTAAATTGGGGATTTTTTGGTAAATTTTTTTTGTAAAGAACTGAGGAGACATTACTTGATTACAAGTCATCCTTGTAGCATCATACATATAAAAACTACCTCTACAACAATTTGGTAGACTATAAATGAAAGAGATATGACCTGATCTTCTGACTCATCATCCTCAACATCATCATCATCTTCCTCATCCTCTTCCTGAATTCCACTTGTGGAACCCTACAAATAAATTGAAAAAAATATTAAGCTGCTGCAAAACTATATCTACTTTACTCTTTAACGACAAGAGGATGTGTGTTCATTTACATTACACATGTAAAGTACAGAGGCTTGCATAGACAAGACTGGCTTGAAAAGTTATTGTAACATATTTTGGTTTCTTTCCCACGTAGGGTACTCCTGAAGCAACTTCTTCTTGAGAGTTAACCCTCACCCCTCACCCCTCCCTCCAATATTTCACCAAGTTAAAAACAAAAAAAGTGACACCTTCTGCATGTCTCCCCACAAAAATGATTTGCTTTTCACAAGAATGACACACTTTTTTTTTTTTTATACAAAACAACCAGTACCAAGACTCATTTTGAGAACTACAGTGGATGGTTTACAAACAGTCCATTATAACACTGTAACAAAACACAACATACCAAGAAATACTGCAATGGGTTTGGCCATATGTCATCTTTAATTGTGTCTCCTAACTCATCTCCAGACTCTTGATTTGTGAACCATCTAAAAAAGGTTTGTGGTTCTTCGCCTTTCATTATTTCTAGTTTAGTTCTTCTCTGTCTCCTGTATCGCTCAGTAAGGTCCTGTTGAGAGATCACATGATGAATACATTAATAATGTACCTGAAAAAATTATGTGCTTCTGATTGGCTGAAAACTAGTGCATTTTACATGTAAAAGGAGTGTAAAGTTGTAACACCAGTGCAAATTACAAATAATTTGCACTCCCAAAATTTCCTCTGTTTTAACTTTCTATAATGATTTTTTCATGCAAATTACAAATAACTAATAACATGATTTCTCATGTAATTTGGTGTATATAGGCACTTGTAAATTTTTCAGACTACAAATTGCACTCTCCCTCTTGGTTTTTGCAATCTTGTTGTCTTTAAAAAAAATCACTTGTACTTACTTACACCAAATTGCACTCAAACTCATGTTATCACCTATACAAATTAATGACAGGGTATGTATTGGTCAGCACATTCAATATGATTGGAATACAAACTTACAAACCCATTGAGTATCGTAACTATTACATCTTATTAACCCTTTAACTCCCAAAAGTGATTAACATAAAACTTCTCCCTACAATATCCATATATTCTTCAGCAATCAGATAATGAGAATAGTCAAATTTATCAGGTAGAAGCTGCTATCTTGATCTAGCACCAAGTTCTCATAACTAATTTACAAGGAAATGTGTAGAAGCTACAGGGGAGAATTAATGATCAGATCTTGGGAGTTAAAGGATTAACTACATGTATTGAGAGATGATACCATGCGGTCCAAAATAACCCTTAATTTACGGTATAAGCACATGACACCTCAGCAGTATCTAATAAAAATACAACAAATAATATAACCTACCATTCCTCCTTTCCACTTTATAGGAGTCGCCCTAGATAACTGATGGCCATGTTCATTGACAATAACTTCCTTAAAGAGCACTTCATTTGTAAAATATGGATTCTCTGCAAACCCCTGAAATAGGACCACAAGGTTAATATGAATGATCTTCAAAACCTTCACACTTTCTGAAGTAATCCCTATACAACTCCTTATAATGTCAAAATTTCATTAGCACTCAATACCAGTTATGCCACAAAAGCTTCACAAAGAAAGAGTAGGCAGAAAATAACACAGGTAAGTCTTTAGGTATGATAAAAGCTAAGAAAGGACTTACAAATTTTATTCTGTAACCAGACTTAATATCTTCAAACTCTTCAACTTCTAAGGATGTCATGTACTGCAAAGCTTCCTCGTCTTCCTCATCTATATACAACTGCATCTGTGGATGATTTATGAACTGTGCAACAAATGTCAAGGAATTTTTACCTGAGCTTTTTCTACCACAGATAGTGTACAGTGATCAATTTCCAACTTATGAGTTTCAAAACTGATTTGAGAAACTACCATATCACAGATGAAAAATTCAACATGCTATAATAAAAATTACAAGGCTTGCCTATGTGATATGAACTCAGAAAATGCATTGTATTTCTGAGATTAAGTCGTGTGTGTAAATTGTTCAAAAATTATAGACCAGAGTGATGTCAAGAAATATAGGAGAAGAGAATACTTTAAATCAACAGGAGAAAACACCTCACAATGGCCCTATGTACTGACGGAAGACAGCACAGACCGTCAAAATTCAGTAGGAGAATTTTACAATATCAACCAGAGAATTCTTTCATCTCAATTGGACACCTTTCTTGAATATCAATGTAAATAATAATAATACATTATTTTAGTAGAAAATAAAACAAGGCATTTAATTCCAAAGGATTGAATTAGATGCCACCCAACCTTAAAAACTTTATAATCCAGCTATAGATCAGTTAATCTTTCTGAAATACATGTAGCTCAAACTAATTATTTTCAGCATTAAATTTACTGGCAAATATATATTTATTGATGTCAAGCCACTTTCTGTTTCACAGTCCTATGAAAAATGACCTATTTAAAATTTCCAGTCCCACATCGTCTTCTGTTTCACTTCCCAAGGAATTTCACTGGGGTCTGGTAACTAGAATGCAGATGTCCTGTTCTTCCTCCATCTTGATTTGTGGCTCTCACTCAACTTGGTCAAATATTCACTGATTTTCTCGCATCTATCACTCTTCAACATCAAAGACTTAAATATTTCGCATACTGCGAAAAGATAGCGATAAAAAAATGTAGTGTTGGCTGCGTAAAGCAACATAAGTGGTTCTTGGTGAATTCGATTAGGGAGTAAAGTGGGTCAGTTCCTCTCATTGCTTCCAAAATGAAAATTATGGTGGGTAAGGGTTGCTTAGGAAGGTCTACACGAGCAAGACATCTGTTCTTTAAGGGATTTACCAAATTAAAAGCGGTACGGATAACATGTTTTAGGTAAATGAACGACATCGAGGTGATATTTAGGATGCAAATGTCATATCGTTGCGTTACTCGAAGACTACATATGACAAACAAGAGATCTATTCGTGCATTTATTAATATTGTTAACGAATAAAAAAAAGCTTCCTTCGCAACCGATCATCTTATGTACAATAAAATGTAAATTTAACAATTATATTTAATTTCGCTTAGTAAAAGAAGATTACGGGAATTAAGCTTAACTTGTGATTTCCTTCTTCGACAAACGCTAAAATGTTCCAGGCACAGGTCACAGACCTTCACCCAGTGTACAAAACGAAAGATGTGTAGATAAATTTTAAGACAAAGCAAAAGTAACAAAAGGATACAACCGTCATCCAGAAGTTTGGTATCTTTTTCGTGAGGTCTGTTCTCTGCTCAAAGTGTGGTTTTCGAAGTCGGTTGTACTTCTGCTCAACTTTTAAAATCTCCTCGGACGCTTGCTCATTTAGCGCGTCGATTTGATTCTGCACAGCATTGATTTCTTCAATAGTTTCTTGCTGATCGGAATGCGAATTTTGTGCTCCGTCAACGGGGTCGACCTTCCGGATCTTATTTGGAGTTACACTTAGATTAGACATGATAGAATACACGACTAATTCTCTAAGCTCATTCCAAGTTTCCGAACTTTCTCTGAGTTCGGAGATGCCCGCGTTCTTCTTGTCTACTTGGGAGTGTCCGCTGACAAGATATAAGCTGTTTTGGCGCTCTTTTCTGGTTCAGGGGTAAGGGTGTCTTGAGGGGTATCGGGGAGGGAGGGTAGGGATTCGCCATTAGATAAATACGTATTCCGAAAATATAGAGACTCTGGGGCTGATCGAAAATAACTTGGTAAAGAAAGCGTGATTATAAGCGTCTTCCGCGGATAATTTCTGTGTATGGCGTTTGGGTGCGTATTCGTAATAAGCGTTTATCTGTTTACAGATTGAATAAAACATCAGAAGAAAAGGGTCGTGAATAATTGAAATTTACCTCAGTGGAGGTTAAAATGGCGAAAGTGAAGTGACTTCCAAGATAAGATAAGATAGGCTGAGGAAAACAGAAGTCGAGTGAATGAGTTGGAAAACTGGGGGAATCACAATCCCTTTCCCCTCGAAAGGGATGTTCGCTAAACTTATCGTGCACAGATGTCTCAAAGATTTCTTAATGATATGTTATGACATACAAACCATGCTTAAAATTCATAGCAAAGAGTCCTGCAATTTATCTGTTGGTTTATATATTCTCCATAAAGATAAATGTACCGTAATTCTCCCGCCTTTGCAGAATTTCTCCCACCGAAAATAGAGGTCAATCACTCACTCACTCATGCCCATTATGTCGTGTGGTACGTAGGGCGGCATAGAGGTCAATGGCTTAAATTGAAGGTTCCCTTTGACAGGAAATGGGATAAATACCCGTGACGGAAAACCTTAAAGAGATGTGAAATGAAATTTGTGACTATAAAGATTGCTTGTTGTTGTTACCTTGCTCAAGCTTTTCTCAGAGGGCAGTTCGAAGTATATAAAGGAGCGCCCAAGATCAGGGGTGTACAATGTATTTTCTAAGGAATCAGAGGGCTCCTGCGACACGTTGGAATCTAGAAACGTTCCGTCGATTTTTTCGTTTTCCGAAAAGTAACTTTTCTCAACCCTGAGACAAATAGAAAAAAAAAAGGCTTGATTATTCAGTCTATCACTCAGGCGACCGATAAATTACCTTCAGCATCGATAATCTAGAGACAGCAATTTATATTCACAATAACTTCATTTCTATGGAGCGATTGACAAGTGTAAGTGGAACTCATCGTCTTGCCCTGAAATAGAAAGACTGGAACGGAGGCGAATAATACCCGGCGAGCTTGGCGGTCTGATTTGTCATAGAACGGTTTGGTTACGCAGCTCTTAGAAGAAAAAAACCCACGTGAATGTGATGTAACTTAGATTAATTCTACCAAAGTAGTAGAGATATTTCCAATTTTCTATTTCAAATTCAAAGAAAGCGATGTTGAGATCTACCTTAATAGCCGTAAGAAGTGCTGTTCTACAGCCTGAGCATTCCAAACTGCTAAATTACGTTCAGCTGTCGCGTTTATTGGGGACAAAGTTGAGATATTGCACAGCCCAGTCGAGTCCTAACACGAAAGCAGCTGCGTCGAAAGAAAGCGTTGATTCAGATCAGAAATCTTCGCAGCCCGAAATGAAAGCAGCAGAACCTGCCCAAGAAGTTAAAGAAACCGAAAACGATCGTCTTTTAAAAGAAAAAGAAAGTTTGCTAAAAGATCTTCAGGTAGGCGAAGGGCTCTGTCGTAATTGAGGATGACTTTAATAGGAGGAGGACACTGTAGTAGCACTCGAAAGGAGATTACGAAGATTGGAATTCAAAAGATCAGTTAATTTGTTATCTTAATTGTAAGACATATTCGATGCCGGGAAATTTTGTACAGAAGATGTTGAGAACCGGTAAAATTCACAGAGATGATGCCTTTGTGATAGTGCTCTAGATCTCGAGTCATTTGGTAAGTAAGTTACGTCAGCGCAAACAGTTAGGAAAAGGACTTACATTGCAACGTCTTTCATGTCAGCAATATTTATAGATTGATTCAAAAGAGAAGTATAAATTATTGGCACCAATTATTGTATAACGTATGTTCGTATTCAGTTCCATAATGTTCGTAGAGATAGCATTTAAATTAGTCAAAGGAAGAGTTTTTGCGAGGTTGGTTAGTTACGATTGGTTGTTTACAGGGTTTCATTTCTAGGCATGAGCGCTGTGAATGAGTCCCTTGTGAGTGACTCTATCATATGATGTAATCTGTCAATCCATTGCCTAATCAGGCAATGAATCAAGCAAGGCTGGTTTTCAATAAGATGATGTCAGAGTTATATGATCAAGTGAAATGAAACCAAAGGAAGAAAAATATTAACACCACTTACCACTACATGAAAACTGGACTGTTCAAGTCATGAGATGGCCTGAGATTGGTGAAACTGGCCTAGTGATTGGTTGGTTTTTCTGCTTGTGACTTTAACAAGGTAGTTTTCACTGGATCATAAGTTTGGGAGTCATGAGCAGAATAGGAAGGAGATGAAACTGTTCTGGTTCTTCTGACTCAGTTTAGACAATCAGATTTTAATTTTACTGGGTCAGAAACGCTACTATTATCAACTACGATTTTCAAACACTTTGTATCCTACATATGGAACAAAAAAAAAAATTAACTGACAACTTTTCTATCTCAGGACAGGTACAAACGCTCCCTAGCAGATAATGAGAACATACTGTCCCGCAGCAGGAAGCAAGTAGATGAAGCCAGGCTGTTTGGTATTCAGGCCTTCTCCAAAGACCTGCTTGAAGTTGCTGACATATTAGGAAAAGCAACAGAAACAGTTCCCAAGGAGGAGATAGATAAGAATACTCACCTGAAGAACTTGTATGATGGGCTTCTAATGACTGAAGCCCAGTTACAGAAGGTTTTCAAAAAGAATGGTTTGGAGAAAGTGTATCCACTAGATGAAAAATTTGATCCACATAGTCATGAAGCATTGTTTCAGATTCCTTTACCAGATAAAGAGAAAGGCACTGTTGCTGTTGTGGAAAAAGTTGGATATAAACTGCATGGAAGGACACTTAGACCAGCTCTTGTGGGTGTTGTAAAAGAATAGAATATTGGATGTTGCTTTTATTGATTCAAAATTATAGGTTTCTGGATTTTAACTATGGTTAGTGGTGGTGGTGAGGAAGATTAAAATAATCCTGGCAACTGCACCCTTGTCAGATTGAGTCACACTCAAATTTGTAATATCGTTGTCACATGCATTTAGGTGTCAATAAGTATTTCTCTAACATCATGCATCTACCAGCAGTGTCCCCTTTAGCTATTCAATAATACCAGGGCAAAATGTACGTGTGCTTCATCCAGGTTCATGCATTAAAAATATGTACATGGAACCTGCCTTTCTTTCAGTTCCCTCTTACCTTCCAAATATTAAGTTGACTTATATTGAGCTCTTTAAAAATCAGATCTCCCTTTTCTCGCTCCTCGTTTATCTTATTGTCTTCATCTGCTCAATATGCTGAAAGCTAGAATCTAAATAATGATGGGAGAAATTGTTACAACATAACAACAACCCTTTAACAGAACAGATCTCTCTTTTCTTGTTCGTTATTTATCTAATTACCTTCATTTGCTCAATGTTTGTTGAAATCTAGAACTTAAACAATGCAGAGAGAAATTGTTACAAGACAACAACAGTTGTTGTCTTGTAACGATTTCTCTCTGCATTGTTTAAGTTCTAGATTTCAATAAACATTATTACATTATTAGCAGTTACTGCTCTTGAACATTACCAAAGTGATACCTTTTATAGCTCATATTACCTTGTCGTGTTCACTTTACTGGTGTTCAATTTTTTCATAGTTCTTTAACCATAAACCAATATATTGATATCTGTTGTAAATGTGTATCACATTCTGATAGTTAATTTGTGCTAAATGGAATTTTTTTGAGCCATATGAAGTTTTCCTTTGTACTTTGAAATTGAAATTGGACATAGATGGAAAACATTTTTTCAAAATTTACTTTATTTGTAATACTTGTATCCTCCTAGAGCAAAATTCAGTTTTGAACAATAACATCAGTAATTACCAAACATATTTTGTGTGATTGTATCTGGAAAATTAAGTTTGGCAAACTCTATCCTAAACAATTGACAGGTTCCCTATAAGAAAACCTTGTTCAGCAAGGCTTTTGAGGTTAATTTGGAAGATTCAAGACAAATTTGCTCCTCAATGTTACTTTAATAAACTGGACTGGCTAAGATTTTGCAAAGTCACTGCTTTATATTCTTTTAGTCATTTGGCTTGTTCTTCCTGCAAAAATCTTGTCAAAAGTAATTCCTTCACATGCTATTTAAGCATGTCAATATTCTTATTTACAGCATTCTAGATACAAACTCATTCTGACTAGATGAAGTTTATGGAAGTTATTTATATATTCCTTTATCAGCATCTTTCATCCACTTTAACCCTTTAACTCCCAGATCAAATTTGTAATTCTCCTTACTGTCAACTATACAATTCTTATAATGTTAGTTCAGAGAATTTAGTATTGGATCAACTAATTATCCCCAAATTGATATTTTTCTTTATTCTCATCACTTATCTGGTTGATATTGTATTGATATTGTAAGGAGAAATTCTGTCTTGGTTGCTGATGGGAGTGAAAGGGTTAAAGTACCAAGTCTTTTTATTGGCTGCAGAAGCAATTTGCTCTTATGGTCTTCCATAAATAGGATTTTTACACTTCTTATGATGTTTACATAGTTTGTATTTGTGTATTTTTCTTAAGGAAAAATGTGGAGCCCCACTATGTTGTGTGTTCTGCACCTTCGTCTCTCGTTCTTATGATCTCTTCAAATTTATTTCTTCTTTCTAGTCTTATTTTAGCATTTTGATCATGGTGAAAGCGGATAAATAAATAAATGGCTGGTTAACACTTTAACCTCTAATAGTGACTAGCATCTACTTACAATATCACCCTTGAATCAAACTTTAGGTGGCGAGGATTAAGGAAATGAACACCAACTGAAAAAGTTCTTGATTGACACACAATTTCTCCTTGTCAGTATCTTAGAAAATGTATAGAGAAAGGTATGGAGAATATACACTGATGTTAGGGTGTAAACACTGAGTAAAGGGTTTATAGCTTACACTGTAATCTGAAGACATCATTTGTTTTTTGTATTTCATCTTCGGAGGTTACTTTTTATAAGTCAGAGTCGTAAGGGATGAAACCACTTCTTCCTCGTAACTAACTTACCTTTCAATAGTAGTTGTTGCTGACTTGGGATCAGCTTCCAATATTTTTACGAGGGATGATGTCATCAGTTGTACCTTTCAGTTTTAAATCCTTCACATTGGACGAAACTCTTTCCTAAACCATCTCACTCTGATCCTTGCTCGTAAACAAAATTTAGGTGCGCGGTCGTTGTGATGTCTTAAACGACACGAACAGGACGATTATTTTTTTGTGTGCACTTTGCGAGGACTTAATACATTGAGAATCTCAAACCAGCGGGATGGAACACCTTATTAATAGGCATTTAGATATTCTAGTCACTATAAGACGTTGAGTAGGCAAGAAATAATCTTCTTAATTCGCTTTTCTTGGATATTGTATACAATTGTGCATGGAAAGAATAAAAAAATCCAGTAACGAAGAAAAAATATTCGCAAGAGGTACAATCATTAGACATAGTTCTAACATAAACTTACAGGATTCCCATAACGCTGCAACTGAGAGAGTTATCCATATTAGTGGAGATTTAGGTATCACTAAATATATATTTTTTCAGGCTTTGGTTTGACAAGCATGATCTCGATTTCTGCGACTTACGTCATGATGTTGGGGTATAAAGCAGGAACTTATTTAAAAAATGGTAAACATTTGCTCGAAGGGAGGGCGAGAACATGGAGCAATCCCAGAAAATTTCTCTTATTTTTTGGCCGAGGGAAGAAGGGCAATTTTTCTATTGACTATTTCTTTGACTAGGGGTGTGTGCTGGGTAGAGTTAGCCTTAAGATTTTTTTAGTCACATGCATTGGATTGATGATGAAATCTCAAGGTAGCACAGTTGGAAATGGAGGCTCTGTCGGATCAATATCAGTATCTGGGCAACTGCCCACCCACCCCTCCCCTAACTCAACAAAAGTCAATTGATAACAACTTAGGGTTAATGCTGGGTTAGGAGAGGGGTAGGTGGGCAGTTGCCCAGATACTGGTATTGATCCGCTCTGTCCATACTGAGTTAGGAGGAAGGGGAGTGGCGGCGGCAAAGGGTTTATACATGACATTTATTTCATGCCAAAATTTATATATGACACGTGAATTTGACAGAAAGGCGAGTATGATTCATGAATGAATTTTCATTTTGAAGTAATCTATGATCTGTTACTGAACAGAAGGACGGCAACATAGAATCTATTTGTGGAACAGAGCACGTAAACCTCGGATACCGTTTATAAGCTCCTCGAGATAAACTTTTTTCTGCGGCAGGGCTCTAGCGGACAAACTTTTTGAGGCGTTGTTTGCCTTGCCGCTTTTCTTTTTCAGAACAACCTCCAAAAACTTTGCACACCCACTCAATATTTTCAAAAATTAATTTTCTCCTTGAAAACACTGGAAATAGAAAAATTGTCGTCAACGACAACAAAATGCTTCGGTTTTCAATACCATCCCCCTTTTTCTACGCAACTTTCGCTGAACTTTAAACCTCGTGCGCTTGAACCCGCGTTATTGACCGCATACCTGTGATGTAACATTTCCTTATTCTACTCGGCCGTGCCCGGATGTTACAGGAACTGATCGACCGTAATTTCTTCTCACTAAGTGCCAGAAATCGCTTATTCCTCACAAAATTCACACGTTGATAAAATGGAGTAGGTACTGAACGAAGTTAACAGTGATTGAAGTCTTACATACGAAGGCTTCCGCCTTGAATATATAATCATAGAATATCACGAAGTAAGCAGACAAATGAAAGGAGAAAGTACTGAATGTAACGGAAGAAGTATCCAGCGTCATGAAAGTAACTCCCAATTTAATGGAAATAAGGGGAACATTTTTGTTTTTAATGTGAGCTTCTGACACAGGCTGTTGTAACATGGGTTGCTCTCCCGTATTTCGACGTGAGTGACTCACAGATTTGTGCCATTGCACTCACTATTGACAATTTACATATTATGATTTGCATTTGCACTTGCTCAGTAGTCTTACTGGAAGTTTGTGCCCGGGTGTATTACGAGCATGTTTTTCAGCCTTACGGACAGTTAGCAGTTTTACATAGCTTTTATTTGATCTTAAGATGGGCGGTTGGTTCATTTATCCAGTGATTTGTTCACTTAGTTATCAAATTATTTTTTTATTTGAATCTTGTCAAGTTTCGTAGTGAGGGTCATTTTCAGCATGAGCCTTGGTTCCTACCCAGCTTTCCTGCCTTTTTTACTCTTTGAGGTTTTTCGGGCAGGTTTTTTCTGGCCTCCGTCTGATCGCATTCGTTGATTGTGGTCGGTTGCTCAGCTCTTAGTTTGTCATCCTCAAGTTATTCGTCCCTTCTTCGCGCTCGGACGAACCCTACCACTTCCGAAAACACACCTGATATGAATCCTTCAATTCAGTCCACCACATGTGATTACCCAAGTCTTGAATTATAATTTAAGTATTTAAATCCAACAGCTCTTAAGATGTTCTTCCCTATTGAGCAATTGTCTCAACACACCGGTGAATAAACACAATCACTGTAATACTAAGTACAATGGCTATCCCAAATTGGCATTGTGTTTCCGATTTGTCGAATGAAGGGTCTTGATTCAAATGACAATCGTGTAATGATCCTCTTTCAAAGTGTGTGTAGTGTCCTTTCACAAAACAAACTTTAATTTACAAAGAAACGTAATTGTCACGGGTAGGATTTAAACTGGTTTTCAAGTCTTTGACAACCCAGTGAATGACCTCTTGATTTTATGTTGACCTTGCATAAAGCCGTTTAACCACTTAAGACGGTTAACAACATCTATTTTAGCCGGTTGTATCATTCACCATGACTAATTTTACGTGGAAAGAAAAACCTCCGAGTCTTGCTCAGTCCCTCTGCTTTCCTGCCACGAGAGCGACGCCTTACGAAACTTTACACGTGTTGATTATTATTTTAGTTTTCAATATATTTTTTTCACTCACAGCCACGTTTGGCAACATAGTCATTTTTCTTGCTTTAAATAAGGAATCTTCTTTTCACCCGCCTTCGAAACTGCTGTTTCGATGTCTTGCCGCAACCGATCTATGCGTTGGAGTAGTAACACAGCCTATGTTTGTCATCTACCAGATATCCTTGGTCGCTGAGCGTTTCCATATTTGCACCGCCGCTGCAATGGTCTCGTATGTTACTGGCACGTTTCTGTGCAACGTTTCACTGGCAACACTAACTGTAATAAGTGTGGATCGACTTCTCGCTTTGCAATTAAAGATGAGATACAGACAGGCTGTGACAATTCGACGAGTTCGCGCGGTAGTCGCCGCCCTCTGGTTACAGAGTTTCGCCGTAAGTATGTTGGTTTTTAAAAACAGGCTTGTGTACTTTAGTTTGAGTTGCGCGTTGACATTACTTAGCCTAGTGGCCTCGACATGTTGTTACTTGAAAATGTACTGCACACTTCGCCGCCAAAGAACACAACGGGTGCATGATTCACAGTATCAGTTAGTAGGGCAACAGATCGGAACAGCTTCCATTGGTCTCCAAAGTGGTACAGGGTATATGAAGACTGTTTCCAGCGTCTTAGTTTTCCATCTTGTTCTCATTTTATGCTTTCTGCCTTATACAATGGTGCGTATCATGGTAGCTATAGCTGGTAGAAGGCTTTTGGTGGCAGAAGCCGTTTCGTCTTCTGTGGTTTACCTCAACTCGACTTTAAATCCACTTTTCTATTGCTGGAAAATTAAAGAGATCAGGCGTGAGGTGAAGCAGATATTCCGCCAAAGATTCTGTTCACAACACTGAATAAAGTTATAAACTCCCAAAGACTGGTTTAGGGCAGTGAAAGAGGAGACGAACGCTATGATGAAGGAAATGCGAAATCGTAGGCTAAAGCTTGGGAACTAATACACCATTCCGACCAAAACTAAAACGTGCGTTTACAGCTGTTTCGTCAAATATGGCTTAGCTTTGAAAAAAACTTACAATCTTTCTTATCCTATTTACATGGTTTAGCTTTGTTTTCCTCGTTGAGGCTGCTTAAACCAATGTTTGTCGACTTCAAACTTAGACTTCTTGAACCATATGAAAAATTCCAGCGGTTTTTTTTTATTCAGTTAGACATGGTTTCATTAGATATGTTTTGCTTATGTCAATGGGATATGATTTACTTATGATTTGCTCTTCTTGAACTGCAAAAGTAGCTTTCAGTACGTTTAATTCCGTGGAATAAACACCAAAGACTATTTTTTATCGATTCATTACACTAAAACCATATGTATTAAAAATGAAAATTTGGGGATAAATGTTGAAATTGTTTAGCTCCGCCCAGTTGTTTAATCTTCATAACGCAATAGAGATGAACTTGACAACCGGGAACATATTACTTTTAAAGACTTCCTGTCTGAAACTTTTAAACCTCTGCCACCGCCTAAGGAAGCATAGGAAATGATGTTAGTTTAAACATCTTGATATCTTGATACTGGAATTAATATTAGCAAATAATCTACAAACTAACAAATACTTGAGAACGTAACAAGCTAAACAAATTTTCCAAAAACAAAAATGAGCCCTACAACTTGTTCTGCTATGGAATTTGTAATAATATCAAACGTTTACAGGATATTACAGGAAAAAAGCCGTTCCTTCATGTTCTGATTATATCTTGGTTTTTTTGGCTGCTGTTTTGTTATGTTTTTAAACCAAATAAAGGTAACGTAATGTTCTCATTATTATTGTAGTAACACCTTTAGATTCGAGGTGGCTGTAAGAATAAAGAGGTGTTGTTATGCATAAATAGACTGAGATTGATGGTATTGTTAAGCATCTTTTGTGGATGAGACTATCGCTCTTTTAGGATCTAATTCAGAAATATATTGGGCCAGAAAACTCTCCTGATAGTAAAAATCTCTTTCTTACTCCGTAGATATGTAATTAGTAATTTCTACAACAGTATTGTTAGTTTTAAAATCGGGGCCCCAATGGATACCGACTTCGCCGCTGAATGAGATACCCTGAATAACAATTTTTTTTAAAAGAAAGTGATTTAATGAAAAACTTAAAAATATCTATCTGTCTATCTATATATCCATCGTGTTATTGTTTCAGTAAGCTTTCGCTTGCTTTTTCAAGCACTCGAAATATTGTGGAAATACTTATCGATCCTTGCCAATCACGTAATGTTTGTCAAAATAACCTAGCTGGATAACAGGGTTTCTGAATAACATTCCAGGTGTAAATGAGTCCTCAAAGGTGTCTGTCTATTTAATTCTCTCTCTGGCTCCCTTGTTTATGTTTGTTCTTCGGTTGTTTGAAAGTTTGAATTGATTTAGAGAAAACCATGTGTGAAAGTGGAGGGCTGGTAACTCATCAAAAAAAAAAAAAATGAATAAACACCTAACGGTGGCCGATATCCTGGCAAATCCTCTAGCTGGCTGACACCAAATATTAAATCTAATTTCCTTTTCCTCCAGATTTTTGACGCAGCAACAACAATTTTTTACGTTTCTTTATTTATTTTACTACCAACTCTGAGATCTGAGTCCAAATACTTGTGGAGAGCTACATTATAATTAAAATTACGAAAACTAATAGAGAAAGAAAGCAAGAAACCGCACGTGTTTGCAAACGGATACGTAGATATATGTGTTCACCGATGACTATCAGAAAGGGTGCAGTGAATTTCAGAATAATAGTGTTCCACCAGTTACCTGATGCTATTTTGGATGCTCGTTGAGTTCTTGTCTAATCAAGCTATCTTATTGTTTATTTGCTTCCACAAACTGGTTGCGAAAACTGATATCCACGTTTTCGTATGTTTATTACAAGCCACAAGAACAGAAATTACGAGAAAACTGTTTTAAAAAGTATAGTACTATGTCTTATTATAGCTAAGGACAGTACATGATTTATGACTCTCCAAATGGATGTGGAAGATTTGATCAGTTTTTCAGAGGTTAGCGGAGAGCGATCAGTGCTTCGTGGCAAACAATTGTTATCTGCTATGAATACGCAATGAAAGCTAGAGTGAAAGTGTCGTACGGCTTGCTTTCTCAATTATTTGAAAAAGTTTTAAGGGGCTCGATTATTTTCTCAGTTTTAATCCTTCTCCTCATATATATTAAAAGGTTTCTAACCCTAACCCTAAGCAATCAATTTGCACCAGGATTTTCGTGATTCCAAGTCACTTGAACCATTTGTGTGTTACTTGTGGTCAATTCTAGTCACATATTAATTCTAGCTCAAATATCAAAAGCAACGCCAGTGAATTAAGGATGAATAATATACTTTTAAGTCAGTCATACTTCTTTCAATTTAATCAAAAAGAGGAAGTTTTGATTTTTTTTTTCACTTTTCTTCACACACACACACTCTCCCTACACGCATTTACATAACATCCTTCCTGATGAAAATCTATATTTATTCAACAGGAAGTCACTTCTTTTGTTTAAGTGTTCTGAGGCATCACCTTGACTTTCAAAATTATGTCCGCGCTTCCGTCGTAATATCAGTCAGTAAAGATGATTTCCGAGCAAAAAACCCGTTTTTGCACCAATCGATATTATCGTGAACCTCTCGGAAGACAATCTTATTCACGCCTAATTATGTTAAATTTTCCATTTAGCAGATTTTTCTTTATCTCTCTTGAAAATTTGCTATTGCGTGGTAAGATGGGCACGTGTAATCGTAAGATGCAGCTTTTTCGAATGCAGGTGTCTTCTTCGAGTAAGTCAAAGTCCGATCCCATCCTATAATGTTGCATGAAATTTTTCCAAGTGCTAATGAGATTTTTCAGAGTATCCGGCAAAGTACAAATAAACTGCTAGCAATGGTAATTTACTATTTTATGAAATTTCTACTATTTGTTTATGGACAGCTCAGCAGGCTTTCGGATGTGTATATTGGATCAACTTGTTTAACCGTTCACTTTATTAGTTTCGCTACGACAAACAAATTTTTGACGGCTTTCCTCGAACCAAGGGAACACGAGAAATTTCTAATAAGAACCCGAATTTTATCTGTTATCTGAGCCATTCAAAGAAAATGATGAATCTATCAGTTGAAAATTCTAGCAGTCTTCGCCACATGATCGAACCAGAGGCCTTTTGCCAGCGCATTCAAAATGATCTCAGTGATAAGATACGCCTCAACACAGCCTTCATCATTTCTGCTCTGAATCTGCCCCTATGGATTTTCATCTTGTCCGAAAACTCTGTCATCCTTTTGGCCCTTAACAGGGACACTTCTCTTCATCCGCCATCAAAGCTTCTTTTTCGGAACTTGGCGTTTACAGATCTCTGTGTTGCACTAATCACTCAGCCCTCCTACATTCTACATAATATGGTTATCGCTTACGAACGCTGGGACATTTGCCCTTTAACACAAAAATTAAGTCATATCACCACGTATTTATTATGCGGCGTGTCTCTCATGACTGTGTGTGCTATAAGCGTGGACAGGCTTCTCGCTTTGCTGATGGGTACGAGATATCGACAAGTGGTTACCCTAACACGGGTTCGTATTTCGCTGCTGTTCGTTTGGATTTTCTGTTTATCTACGAGCATAACACTCCTGTTGAACTTCAGTGTTCGCATATACTCTGTCATCAGCGCCATTTGCATCGCTCTTTGGTTGGGAACATCAACGTTTTGTTACGCGAAAATTTTCGTCATTCTCCGAGGTCATCAGAAAAAGATATGCGGTAATCGAGACCAAGATAGCAACAAAAATAGATCATCAGTTACGCGTTCTTCGATAAACTTAAAGCAATACAGAAGATCAGTCTCGACAGCTCTATGGATAAACTTCACTTTAATAACATGTTACTCTCCTACTGCAATAGTTCTTGTATTTAGATCTGTGCCCTCGATTCCATTTTCAGCCTTAATCGTTTCTTTTGGAGCTGCCCCTTCATTTGTCTACCTAAACTCACTTTTGAATCCTATTCTTTACTGCTGGAGAATCAAGGAACTCAGAGAGGAGGTGAAAAAAATCATTTCACCCCCATGATCGCAACATGATTCCGCTGCCTGGCATATGTTGATTAGATTGCAAGTAATGGTTGGTTTCAAATCAAGAAAAGCTGTCTTCCGGTTGATATTTTCCAATGTTTTCATCACTTTCCTGCTTAATAAGGGGAAATTACTTCTCCGAAACTCAAAGGGTTTATGAAGAGAAAAAAAGAACAAGGTTTCTTTCTCTTAAATGCTTAATTTAGGTTTAAAATTTGTGTCTTTGGGCGATATTAATTTCTACTTTACAGTGTAATTATCTGTAAAAGCAAGCAAAGGACTGAGCAAGACGAAAGGTTCCGTTAAGTGTTACATAACCCTTGCAAGACATTATCAAAAAGGGCGTGGAAAACTCTGTAAAGAATAATTAGCAGGTGATAGGTAGCCTCGTGTATTTATTATTAGTTCCCAAGCCATATGCGCGAACTTTTGAGCACCTGTTCCAATATTAACTGTGCGGGAAATCAAAGTGGAACATGTCTTCTAGAACATAATATTTTAATGAATTGCTTCTTTTGACGAATTTTCAAAGTAACGGAAACACTTCCAATATAACGGTAAGCCATAATAAGTCACAGAACGAGTATGTATTTTTAAATATAGAAAATAGATGGATTATCATTATTACCTCTAATGAATAAATGCCAACTCCCTGGTGATCGTTGGCCTATTTATCTTTAGACTAAAGTATGAAGAAGCATGCACCGTAGCTAAAAAGAATCGTCTTGTTTATTGATATTCTGGCGAAAAATTTTCAAATTAATACAATCCATACATTAATAAATTATGAATTAAAAAATGATCTTTATATTTAAATGGAAAGGAGACATAAAGATATTGCATCAGTCATGATGAAGAGGTCTAGAGTGAACTGACCAAAGTAAGGGTTTCTTTACTAGAGTTCATTTGTATTTGGCGTCATGACAACAACAAAAAGCTATGACTAGGATGCTTTTGCTAAATTTTGGTGTGAGACAGTGAAGCAGCAAATTTATATCTAAACAGCCAGAGTAAAGTAAAGGTTATTTATATCTAAATTAATCACAGCCGTCAAGTAGCGAAAGACGAAGGGCTAACGCTCGAAACGTCAGCCTTGAAACTCTTTACGGTGGCCAATTTACGCTATCAACTCAGTTGATAATACTAAATTACCCCGATGACGGGAAATATATGAAAATCATATATGTGCACTGCGGTGAAGAAATGAGATATAAGCGATCCTCGCAGCTATGAACACTACTGAACTAGTAGCTGAAATGAGACCGTACGGGCCTGAATTTTTTCAGGTCCCACTTCGACTACAAGTTCATTAGTGTTCATAGCTGCGAGGATCGCTTATATCTCACTAAATTATCCTTTTAAGATCACTGTCATTTAGTTTCCGTTGTCGTGGAGATGACGTATCATCGAAAGGAAGTCAACATCAAGTAAATTACTCATGGAATAATCAAGCTAATGACTTGTTTGCTGTACAACGTGGAGATCTTGTAAATAATTATATATTTTTTCCAACAAACAATATACTTATAGACTGAGTGGAAGGGCGCACTCGAGGTCATGACGTATGGACCGAGCGTAGCAATGGTGACGAGAGCGAAATATTTTCCCAAGCTTTGCGTGTGTCCCGTCAGATCTTAAAAGGGCGCTTGGAAGGTCCCACTATCATCTGATTCGAATCAATGATTTGGGGCGGCTCTAAAACCCTGCAAAACACTCTATCATTCATATTATTACTGGAGAGAATAGAAAAAAAAGGAAAAAGGTGAAGATTCTCGGAGGCTGGTCGTTTTGAATATATGATAACGAGAGGTGCGAATTTTGAGAGTGAGGGGAAAGTGCAGTCCATACTAAATCGATAAATGAAACGACATATCAGGATTCTTCTCCACATATGCAGCGATAAATAAAGCAAATAGCTCCTAAGGTTATCGAAATTGCCTATTTAAACTTTCAAAGATATACTTTAGATAGAAGTTACATGTCCGCTTGAAGAGTGAGATATTTCAGTACAGATATCAAGCCCCAGAATTGTCTCACAACGATACAGAGACTAGAAGCCGTTTTGTATTTGTTGATGTCGGAATCTTCAGCAAATGTGCTGGTAACCATGGTAACATGAGCCTACTCGAACCAAAATTTGTATGATCATCTTCTGCAGTATTTAATTCGCACGTTTCATTATCATTTCCATTTCTGTGCAGTTTTTAATGAATTTTATTTTGACGTGTATACCCAAGAGGACATAAATTATGTTCCCTTCATAAACCCTGCCATATACTTCATTTTTTCCAAAGAATAAGAGATACCGTACATTTTAGAAAATTGAGAAAAATAGGCACCCAATAGGTACACGAGTCTACGATGCTCTTTGTTTTTATACTGGGTCTTTAAATATACTTTTACGTGGCTCAGTACTCTTTTAAGGTGGACTTTCTTAGGCGCCACTTTTAGTTAAAAAGGTCCAATAAATACAAGGCAAACCCGTAGAGGATTCATTTTGCAGAGCTAAAGGTGATGTAGATGGAAGCAATTGAGGGTGATGCAACTCATGAAACTAGTGGTGCTGCCATGACATGTTACCAATTCGTCGAAAACTGCTACTTAAAACTGGGAAAAAGCTACCAGAAATCAGTTGAGCCCCATGCAGGTTTTGGAACTGAACACACGAAAGCCTATACGCTAGCGGACTTACCAAAAAGTTAACAGGAGAAGAAGTAGAAAAAAAAAGAGTCATTGAGTGATGGATGCATGGAGTGAATTTTGGGTCATAACAACACCTCGGAAATTGGCATTCAGCCGTTTTCCCAAACGAGTTACTACAACAACGTTTGCCTTGATAACATGGAGTCTACGTTGCCTTTGTCACCGTAGACTCAAAAACCCTTATGTGACAGCACTGCTTATTTGCATTATTTCGGTTTCGTTAATTAAAATTTTTTTTGTTAATGTTGAGATGACTAAGGCAGCTGCCTTTAATTTCCTTAAACGTTCTTGGTTTGCTGACTATTTAGACAAAGTTCGTCCCAAAGAACTGAAACTTAAATTGCCCTCTTGCAACAGTTAAGAAAATATGTTTTCGAAGCTTTAATTAACGGCTTTTGCGTCGCAAACGTAAAACCACACAGGGGAGTCTGTGTAGGCCTGTCTATGACCTTTTCAATAATTAGAAAAAGTAATAAAGGTCTCTTCTTATTAAATTTATTTTCTTCTCACTGTTTCAATAAAGGACAGAGTAAATACACGAAAACAAAACGTTTCGATGAAAGCCCTCTCACTATGAAACTTGTGAAATGACAAAAGCTAACCACGCCGAGTCGTATGTATCTAACATATTGTTATCCGGTGCCAAATAAATTGAATAAATACCATGTTAAATAGGTCATTAGTGCTACTATAGATTAAAGTTTCATGTCACTCATCTGTCAGTGACAAATAGAAGGGAAACTTTCACTGGTTTGGGAATCCTCCTGATCGGTTAAAAAAAAAACCAACAAAGGAAAAATGATCAACTCTTCACAGCACAGAGAAGAAGAGACGAGTTACCTCTCTGCGTGTTTCGCATTTAGTGATAAAGAAAGCGAGAGCACTAACTGCGTGGCTCACGTTAATACTTTTGTTTTTTTAAATACAATTTTATCCATCACTTCGCTGTTAGGAAACATTTTGATTCTTATCGCTCTTCAAAAAGAATCTTCTCTTCATCCGCCATCGAAGCTTTTATTTCGTTGTCTTTCTTGCACGGACCTCCTGGTTGGACTTGTTTCGCAGCCGATATATATCGTTTATCTTACTGCAAGAAAAAATCAGACATTGTGTCTGCTAACTGAACGTTTGGCCAACATTTCAAGTGCGATGTTATGTGGAGAATCTATCACTGTATTAACCGCTATAAGTATAGACAGACTTCTCGCCTTGTTACTGAGATTAAGATACAGACAAATTGTCACTTTAAAAGGAGTTAGGTTCCTGGTGATAATTTCTTGGACAACGAGCACCGTATTTGCTTTAAGTTTCTTGTGGCACAAGCTTTATTTCTTTCTTGGTTCTTGTGCGTGGATTGCAATGTGTTTAGCTGTGTCTTCATTTTGTTATCTGAAGATTTATGTCGCTCTTCGTCGCCAACAATCGCAAGTGCAACGTTTTCAGTCTCACCCTGGGGCGACCCTAAACATAGCGCGGTACAAAAAGACTGTTTCCAGCGCTATGTGGATACACTTTACGCTTGTCGTTTGTTATCTACCATATACTATAACAACGGCTGTAAATATTTCAAACGGAGTGTCTCCATACTGTGGTGCCACTAGCTCGAGCATCACTGGAGTGTTTGTTTTCTTGAATTCGACGCTGAACCCATTTCTTTACTGTTGGAAGATAAGAGAAGTGAGACAAGCCGTTAAAAACACATTGAGACATTGGTTTTGCCTATCATGAGCTTGATACAATATATTTGTACCTCATTCTCATATTCATACTAGGACTACGCGATCATTCAATCTTTTACACATCCCTCGTTGTCTTCTGTCAGATGGACAACCTTCATTCACATATCGTGGATACAAACTTTGGAACTGTGTTTCTAGTGATTTGAAAGCTGCGGACAGTGTAAATAGCCTCAGGCGTCGTTTAGTGCAGAAGCCATTAAAGCATTATTTGCCTGTTATTCCTTCTCGTTTTTAACTTATATGTATTTTAAATATTGTAGTTAGACATTGTAACCGAAAAGCCCAAGTTGGGAGTTACAATAAACGTATGTATATATGTATGTATGTATGTAATTTTACCTCGCGGGAAGTGCGAGTTTTCATTTTGTGACATGTAAAGATGGCTTGACAACCAACAACTGTTCGGGAAATGAGACGACACCAAACGACGACTTCTACAGCCCCAAAAATGATAACAACATGAAAGTGATGCTCAAATTGATCCTATATTGATACCCAACGAAATGAAGGAATTATGCCAAAGCATGGGACTGTGGATCGCTTATGGAAAACTAAAATTAAAGTCACTATATTTTAGCTACTGAGAAAGACTGCTTCAGGGCATGGGAAAAATACCTTTTTTAATCTGGGTTTACTGTAATGTGCCCTTTTTAATCCGTAGCTCTTATCATCTGTTATGATGAGAGATAGCTTGCAGTTCATTGCTTCATAACGGGGCAATGTAAACAGGAATGTAAACAGTTTATGCAGATATAAATATCAGTTTTTATCACCTTTTACACGGATATAGACAATCTGACCTCATTGCCAAATGTAACTTACATGTAATCAGTAAACTATAACTTAGATTGATGAGAATTTTTCATTCATCTCAAATGAAATAAAAGTAAATACAAAAAAAACTGAAGGATACCAGCGTTCTGAGAAAATTAATTTCATATCAGGAACATCAAATGGCATCGCCTGATCCGAGGAATCGGCCAACTGGCCTTTTTTCCTACTAAACTGAAACATATCTCTAGGTGTAACCAAGTATAAGTAGCAGTAAGAATGGCCCGTTGCCGTTAAAAGTATTTCATATATTATGAGTACCAGTCTTAATCGATTGCATGCACCTCACAAGCTTGACAGTCCTTAACTGAATACTGCATTGGGTAGTTTTCCGGTCCTCGTTGATTCTTACGCTTTTAAACCTAAGGTCTTTCTTTTAGCCATCAGCCCCGACCAAATTTTTAGTTAGGTATGCTTTTAAGAGGGGAAGTTGTCCCACCATAGCCTTAAACACTGAGCTTTTTACAGCTTGATGATAGCCTGGACCATTTTCTGACGGATCAAAAGTGATGAGTTCGCATTCTGTATAAAGCCTGGATTAGCACTTTCGAAAGCATCCTTTGAGTAGATGGAAAAAGAGACACGGAAAATTTTGACCGCAATCGCCCACTGAGGAAAAATGATACTATTGTCACCAGCTGTAGACAACACAGGTGATAACTTTATTCCACAACTGAACGCAATATTTACTGATTTCCTTTATCAACGTACACAAATATGACCAGTTCTTTTAAGACTTACATGAGTGTAAAAAAATAAGCAATCGTGCATTTCTACAATCTGTGAGTTACATATCAGATCTTTATACTGGTCCCTCTCAGGTTGTTACAAATTAGTTTGCACAAGATGGACCTGCTAAGTGCTCTTCGCATTATTTACACTTGTTTCAAATGTTTCCGCAGTTTCCTCTGTACGGAAATTGAAGTTATCCTAATTACAAAAACTCAAAGGCCTACTTTATTTTCTGATACTGAATCCGCAGTGCATTTCTGTCAATTTCAATCTTACATAGTACAAAAAAAACGCGGTTTCTTTCATTTTGAAAACTCAAAATGAGATAACGGTATTATTTAACTGACCGAGGTAGGTAATTATAACCTAAACTCAATGTCTATTCCTATGAAACTGTCAATTTCATATACAAACAGTTTCCCTTTTCTTTTTTTTTTTTTTTAACTTTTAGTACTTTTGATAACTGAGCCAAACGCAACGGATTCTACACGGCAAACCTTCCCAAACAGAAGGGAAACTTTCACTGGTTTGAGAATCCTCCTGATCGGTTAAAAAAAATAACAAAAGAAAAATGATCAACTCTTCACAGCACAGAGAAGAAGAGACGAGTTACCTCTCTGCGTGTTTCGCATTTAGTGATAAAGAAAGCGAGAGCACTAACTGCGTGGCTCACGTTAATACTTTTGTTTTTTTAAATACAATTTTATCCATCACTTCGCTGTTAGGAAACATTTTGATTCTTATCGCTCTTCAAAAAGAATCTTCTCTTCATCCGCCATCGAAGCTTTTATTTCGTTGTCTTTCTTGCACGGACCTCCTGGTTGGACTTGTTTCGCAGCCGATATATATCGTTTATCTTACTGCAAGAAAAAATCAGACATTGTGTCTGCTAACTGAACGTTTGGCCAACATTTCAAGTGCGATGTTATGTGGAGAATCTATCACTGTATTAACCGCTATAAGTATAGACAGACTTCTCGCCTTGTTACTGAGATTAAGATACAGACAAATTGTCACTTTAAAAGGAGTTAGGTTCCTGGTGATAATTTCTTGGACAACGAGCACCGTATTTGCTTTAAGTTTCTTGTGGCACAAGCTTTATTTCTTTCTTGGTTCTTGTGCGTGGATTGCAATGTGTTTAGCTGTGTCTTCATTTTGTTATCTGAAGATTTATGTCGCTCTTCGTCGCCAACAATCGCAAGTGCAACGTTTTCAGTCTCACCCTGGGGCGACCCTAAACATAGCGTGGTACAAAAAGACTGTTTCCAGCGCTATGTGGATACACTTTACGCTTGTCGTTTGTTATCTACCATATACTATAACAACGGCTGTAAATATTTCAAACGGAGTGTCTCCATACTGTGGTGCCACTAGCTCGAGCATCACTGGAGTGTTTGTTTTCTTGAATTCGACGCTGAACCCATTTCTTTACTGTTGGAAGATAAGAGAAGTGAGACAAGCCGTTAAAAACACATTGAGACATTGGTTTTGCCTATCATGAGCTTGATACAATATATTTGTACCTCATTCTCATATTCATACTAGGACTACGCGATCATTCAATCTTTTACACATCCCTCGTTGTCTTCTGTCAGATGGACAACCTTCATTCACATATCGTGGATACAAACTTTGGAACTGTGTTTCTAGTGATTTGAAAGCTGCGGACAGTGTAAATAGCCTCAGGCGTCGTTTAGTGCAGAAGCCATTAAAGCATTATTTGCCTGTTATTCCTTCTCGTTTTTAACTTATATGTATTTTAAATATTGTAGTTAGACATTGTAACCGAAAAGCCCAAGTTGGGAGTTACAATAAACGTATGTATATATGTATGTATGTATGTAATTTTACCTCGCGGGAAGTGCGAGTTTTCATTTTGTGACATGTAAAGATGGCTTGACAACCAACAACTGTTCGGGAAATGAGACGACACCAAACGACGACTTCTACAGCCCCCAAAATGATAACAACATGAAAGTGATTCTCAAATTGATCCTGTATTGATACCCAACGAAATGAAGGAATTATGCTAAAGCATGGGACTGTGGGTCGCTTATGGAAAACTAAAATTAAAGTCACTATATTTTAGCTACTGAGAAAGACTGCTTCAGGGCATGGGAAAAATAACTTTTTTTAATCTGGGTTTACTGTAATGTGCCCTTTTTAATCCGTAGCTCTTATCATCTGTTATGATGAGAGATTGCTTACAGTTCATTGCTTCATAACGGGGAAATGTAAACAGGAATGTAAACTGTTTATGCAGATATAAATATCAGTTTTTATCACCTTTTACACGGATATAGACAATCTGACCTCATTGCCAAATGTAACTTACATGTAATCAGTAAATTATAGCTTAGATTGATGAGAATTTTTCACTCATCTCAAATGAAATAAAAATAAATACAAAAAAAATGAAGGATACCAGCGTTCTGAGAAAATTAATTTCATATCAGGAACATCAAATGGCATCACCTGATCCGAGGAATCGGCCAACTGGCTTTTTTTCCTACTAAACTGAAACATATCTTTAGGTGTAACCAAGTATAAGTAGCAGTAAGAATGGCCCGTTGCCGTTAAAAGTATTTCATATATTATGAGTACCAGTCTTAATCGATTGCGTGCACCTCACAAGCTTGACAGTCCTTAACTGAATACTGCATTGGGTAGTTTTCCGGTCCTCGTAGATTCTTACGCTTTTAAACCTTAGGTCTTTCTTTTAGCCATCAGCCCCGACCAAATTTTTAGTTAGGTATGCTTTTAAGAGGGGAAGTTGTCCCCCCATAGCCTTAAACACTGAGCTTTTTACAGCTTGATGATAGCCTGGACCATTTTCTGACGGATCAAAGGTGATGAGTTCGCATTCTGTATAAAGCCTGGATTAGCACTTTCGAAAGCATCCTTTGAGTAGATGGAAAAAGAGACACGGAAAATTTTGACCGCAATCGCCCACTGAGGAAAATGATACTATTGTCACCAGCTGTAGACAACACAGGTGATAACTTTATTCCACAACTGAACGCAAAATTTACTGATTTCCTTTATCAAAGTACACAAATATAACCAGTTCTTTTAAGACTTACATGAGTGTAAAAAAATAAGCAATCTTGCATTTTTACAATCTGTGAGTTACATAACAGATCTTTATACTGGTCTCTCTCAGGTTGTTACAAATTAGTTTGCATAAGATGGACCTGCTAAGTGCTCTTCGCATTATTTACACTTGTTTCAAATGTTTCCGCAGTTTCCTCTGTACGGAAATTGAAGTTATCTTAATTACAGTAACTTAAAGGCCTACTTTATTTTCTGATACTGAATCCGCAGTGCATTTCTGTCAATTTCAATCTTAGATATTCCCAAAATACGCGGTTTCTTTCATTTTGAAAACTCAAAATGAGATAACAGTATTATTTAACTGACCGAGGTAGGTAATCATAACCTAAACTCAATGTCTATTCCTATGAAACTGTCAATTTCATATACAAGCAGTTTCCCTTTTTTTTTTTTTTAACTTTTAGTTCTTTTGATAACTGAGCCAAATGCAACGGATTCTACACAGCAAACCTTCCCAAACAGAAGGGGAACTTTTACTGGTTTGGGAATCTTCCTGACCGGTTAAAAAAAAAACAAAGGAAAAATGATCAACTCTTCACAGCACAGAGAAGAAGAGACGAGTTACCTGTCTGCGTGTTTCGCATTTAGTGATAAAGAAAGCGAGAACGTGGCTTACGTTGATATTCTTGTTTTTGTAAATACAATTTTATGGTTGGTTTATTATGGACCTGCTAAGTGCTCTTCGCATTATTTACACTCGTTTCAAATGTTTCCGCAGTTTCCTCTGTACGGAAATTGAAGTTATCTTAATTACAGTAACTTAAAGGCCTACTCTGGGACCTTAAGTCGCCGTAACTTTGGGCGATTTAAGGCGACTTAAGCAAAATTGGCAGAAAAAACATTGCGACTTTAGGCGATTTAAGGTGACATAAGGTGACTTAAGGCGACTAAGGCAACTTAAAGCGATTCTATTTGACTGAAGTGATAAAACCAAAGTTAGCAACAGTCTCTCCATAAACTTAAAAAATATCTACAGAATCCCTTGCAATAAACACAATAGTCATTTTGGTTACTTTTGTATGCTCATAGGTCACCATAGCCTAAAACATCCATTTTTCAAACTAATTTAGCTAAAAATACTTAGACAGAATTACCACAACAATTATTGTTAAATTATACAGTCAAAGCTCGTGAACAAATAGCCAGGAAACCAAGTTAGCTAAAAATGTTCTGACAGAATTACCACCACAGGTATTGTTAAATTATATAGTCAAAGCTAGTGAATAAATAGCCAGGAAAACATTATGGGTTATATGCCCAACATCAAAGACACCTTTCAGAAATATACACATAGTGACATAAATTTTTAATTTAAGAAAAGACCATGATTTGCATAAAACTATCAATAAATTTTCCACATAATTGATTAAAAATTAATTATTTCACAAAGCTTCAAAAATTAAAAAAACTGTTATCTTGGTAAACTTGTCACCCATATTTTTTGTTAGTTTGGCAGGTCGCATGCCTTTCCAACAGCATCCAAAATTGCTTAGTCCTTTTCAGGGACTCAACGGATTTGTTGTTCTCCTGCTTTTCAATTGATTAATCTTACTTGGTTAATCTTACTTGGTGACTTACTAATTTAAAAAGGAAGTAAAGATTTACTGAGAATAGTGGCAGGTGGTCAAGTCCCTTCAGGGCTGTTTAAATTATTGATAAGTACAATAAATTTCCTGAAGCGATCTCCTATATTTAATTTGTGCCATTTCGTTTCAAAATATCCATTTGAGGTTTTGGGGGTATTTCTATCGCAGTACTTTCGCTGCCGGTTGGAGTTGTTCGAAGATCACAAGAAGGATTGATCTATTAAGGTTTATAAAATGTCAAACTTCACGTCACGAGGAAAGGAAGACTCCGTAAAATTATCCGTGTGCTTGTTGAGTTCCGCTGAAGAGAGCGAGGATGTCAAATGTAAATTCAATTCTCACATTTTTATCTACGTGAACGCAATTTTATCCATCACTGCCTTGCCTGGAAACTTCATCATCCTCGTCGCCCTTTGTAAAGAATCTACTCTCCATCCACCATCAAAACTTTTACTTCGTTGGCTCTCGTGTACAGACCTCTTGGTAGGAATGATTTCCCAGCCCATATTTATTGTTTATCACAAGATGATCGCTGACAAAGTGGGTGACGTTTGTGAAGTAACTGAAAGCTTAGCTTACATTACAAGTGCAGTATTGTGCGGACAGTCTATTAACACAATGACTCTTATAAGTACGGACAGGCTCTTTGCTTTGCTGTTCAGGCTGAGATACAGGCAGATTGTAACTTTAAAACGTGTCCGTTCATTGATCATATCTTCATGGATTGTAAACTTCACTTTTGCATTGACTTATTTGTGGAACAAAGAATTTTTCTTTATGGGCTCCTGCATATGGCTATGGCTGTTCTTAAGCATATCTTCTTGTTGTTACTTGAAAATTTATTTCCAAATTCGCCGCCAACAAGCGCAAATACAGGAACATGATTCCAATTCTACAGCTTCTTTAAACTTGGCGCGGTACAAGAAGACTGTTTTAAGTGCACTTTGTATACATTTAACATTATCAGTGTGTTATCTCCCTTACACTGTCACGACTACTATTATTTCACTTGAAGGAATATCAAACTGTAAAGCTATCATTTGGAACATTGCTGGAGTGTTGGTTTTTCTAAACTCGTCTTTGAACCCAGTTTTGTACTTCTGGACACTAAGAGAAATAAGACGAACAGTGATGGACATTTTCAGACAATTTTTTTCCTCATCGTAACATCAAATACAAAGCCCTCCTACTAGAGCGGAAGTTAGTAGTTTTAATTGACTTTGTGAAAATAAGATACAGTTGAAAGTTTGTTAAGCGGTTTGGAAGCGCTTTTCGATTGATATACGAAAGACTAAAGCCAAAGTAATTAGGACATCAAGTTAAAATAAAGGTTAATTTTACAAGTAGCGTGTAAGAACTCAAAATGGAAACAAGCAAACTCCCTGAAGCGTGATAAAGCACGGGCGATCAAGTCGTGATTGGTTTCGGCTTTGAACCTCATTGGTCGAATCGGTGACGCGATTTTTGTGGACGAACCACAGAGCTTAATGAAGTAAACCAACACAATACCAGATTGCTTTCGACGCTCAACGTTGTTTGTAAACCGTTAAGCTGACGCCTTAAACGCTCTCACTGACAGTTGTAGTTTTACAGAGAATACCTACTGAATTCTAAAATTGTGTGCATCTGTAAAAATATCCTCCAAAATTTTTAAACTTCTTAATGCAGTCTGACCAAAGTCCTCCGCAAACCGCGTTTATAATTATTATCATCATTATTTTTATTATCCTACGTGAGCGCGCCAAGACTTCCTCACAGGTCTTCTTTGATAAGCTTTTTTTCCCTCTAAGCAAGTTCTTTTATTCATTACTTTCATATTATGTGTCAATATATTATGCAAGTTAATCATACTATGGCTCGATTAAGTTACTTTTGCTAGAACTAGGGGGTATATTTGAATCACAATGTCCTGATTTATCACATTTCCAGCTTTATTTCTTCTCTTTTGTTCATTAAGTATTCGGGCCGAAGTCACTGTGATCAACAATAAAAACAATGTTTTTCAAATAGTTAATTTTGTTGACATCATACATCCAGAGCACCAGAAGGACGATGAAAGGAATAATATAACAAGAAGGCTTCACTTTTTAGTGAGAGTAAACCGTCCTTCGCCTACTCCTTAATTTTTGCCATCTATTCTGATTCTTCTTCAAAACCCTGCTTATAGATTGAAATGAGAACTAGGCGTCCCTGCAAGTAGAGGCCTCTGTATTCAGCGCTAAATACGAGGAAAAGAGGCCTCTGCTTGCAGGCCACAACTACCAAGCCCAGTGAGCCTTGAGCCAGTGCCACGATAATACAGGAAAATATTTTTGGGAAATAATTATCATGGCAAACAGTTTTCCTGGCTCGTCAAAGCGGCTATTTTGTGGATCTTTAGAAGAGATTTGGTTTTAAGAGGTTGACAATCACATGTGTGCTAACTTTATATATTTCTAGTCAAAATCTTTTAGAATACACATAATGTTGCAAAAGGGTGTCCATTTGAAATCTCTCTCCACCCCGTGGGGAACCTTGTATAAAGATCAACTCAAATCAGAAGTCTATACATAGATCCTTAAAGTGCATTTGTCAAACACAATTAGCTCAGCTTTTTAAGGTATTTTCATTTACGTTAGTCAGCAATAAGGTCGGTTATTTAGTCACCTGAACAAACAATAACTAAAAATTTCGTTCACTGCGCCAATATCAATTTCCCTTTTCAATCCTGAATATTAGATTTTTTAATTGATTCATTACTCATCATTTTGGATTGAAACAAAAAAGTAATCCAAAAGATGGAATTAATTTATCTTTTTTTCTGTTATTTTTGATTTTGCGTTATTTAAATTTTACAATTCTTTTATCGCCAAAAGAAGGATCAAAGAATATTGCATCAAAAATAAATTACTGAAGATACTTCTCCCGATAACTGACGTTTATTAACATAAAAAAGACAGTCCCATTACCCACTTGTCAAAAGTATTTGTTATTGGATGTCAGTCAGCATGACCTCCTTATTGAACTTTGTTGGGAGAAGTACCCCCCTCCCTCAGCATTCAATGGCACAGCATTCAGCGACTGTGATAATTTTTTTCTGATTCTGAAACCAAAATGAGTAATTTGACTTTTCAGCTATCTTCATGTCCGATAAATGTGGACCGGAATGAAGGAACTAAGCTCATATTCAATCCTTATTTTTTTGTTCCGGTCAATTTTATTCTCTCGGTCTCTGTGCTGTTTGGGAATGTTTTAATCCTTGTCGCCCTTCAGGATGTTTTAACGATACATCCGCCATCGAAGCTTCTGTTTCGTTGTCTTTCGAGCACTGATCTCTGCGTTGGCCTTATTTCACAGCCGGTGTTCATTGTTTATCTTTTCACGATCGCTAACAAGAAATGGAACTGGTTTTGTGGACTATCTGAGACTTTAGCATACATTTCAAGCGCTCTCTTGTGCGGAGAATCTATCACCACGTTGACAGCTATGAGCGTTGACAGGCTTTTGGCTCTGAGGTACAGAACCGTTGTCAGTTTTAAGCGCTTCCTTACTTTTGTAATAACATCTTGGATCTCAAATTTTGCACTTGCTATGACATATTTTTTTAACAAGCGCTTTTTCTTTTCGTTATGCTGCATATGTATCGCATCTTGCCTGTGTACCTCAACTTGTTGTTATGCCAAAATCTACACCATTCTCCATCATAAACAAGCGCATATACACGAAAATACGCAAAACACCAATCGTGGTGGTGTTTCCTTCATGAACATGGAACGATATAAGAGAACAGTTTCGGGTGCATTGTATGTGAATCTAACTTTGGTAGTCTGTTATGTACCATACACTGTTACAGTTGCTGTAAGTACTGTCTATGGAAAAACCTCAGAAAATGTAATCGCTTGGAATATTGCTGCCATAGTGGTTTATATCAACTCATTGCTCAACCCATTTCTTTATTGCTGGAAGCTGCGTGAAGTGAGGCAAGTGGTGAAGGGAAAATTAAGAAAATGGCTCTGCTTTCAGTGAAAAAAGGCATTTATATGTAACTCGGGAATATGTTTTGTCAGTTTCATAGGAAAATGCATGTGTAGCTCATTTAGATTTATTTTTTGTACACGGAAAGATTAACGACGGAAGTATGTCCCTCAATTTTATTTATAGTTTATTATATCATGGGCGCTTCGTATGAAACTAAAAAGCTTTACTCGACAGATGATTTCAAAAAGAGTATTTTGATTCTTTAACTTTCGATCTAACTCCTTTAAAAAAAAAGCAAAAACCTGAACAGAAGAAAAGACAACAAGTTCAATTCCATGAGACGCTTGCATCGCAAAAAAATCATCCGTGCTCGAGCTCTCTGATATATGAGATACGCCCCGAAGGAAGTCAGTTAAGATGTGAAAGAAGGGAATTGCATAAAGCTATAAATGTTAGATGAAAAAAAAAAACATAGAAAAAACTGCAATTATTTCAGTCCAGACTGTAGAAAGACCAAAAATTTTCTTATGGTAGATAATGCAGTAAGTGTTTTTTTTTTTTTTTTTTGTCGCGGGAGCAGTACAAAGAAAATATCTTGGTTCACCCACGAGGAATTAATTCTCAGTTTTCAGAAGTACTCAGGACACTTACTACGTACGTGCCAAATATATGCCTAAGTTCACTATTTACCACAGTAGCAGAGAAACGGACCGTAAATTCAAGATCTGAGCTTTGAATCTTCGTTGGGTTCTCAAATATCCTCCTCGTCCTACGCGGAAGACAAAACGAATATCTTGTTTCTGTATTCAACACCCGGGCTTAAAAAGTGGCATCTTTCTGATTAAATCAAATTGCCATATAATATTCCTTTTTCACATCAGCTGTTTAAATATGCCCACCCCTAAATGACACCTTGAAATGTCTCTCAGTTGTTTTCGTACTTATTCCAACATCACCCTAACTATTTCTGTAAATACGAATTTAAATTGCAAGATATTGATTAACTTAGATAAGCTTGTATTGTCTTTCTGGTATTATCTCGTTGAAGCACATTTGTGATTGATGGACAGTGGATCACTTTTCAGTGTGTATTGAGCAGATGTTCGTTAGCATAATTTTTTTTTCATTCGGAGCTGCCAGTCTTCCTTTCGAAACACCGACCGTGAAATCGACTGGCGAGCAATCTTGCATTCTACCCGCGGAGCCATCCCTGTTCCTCACCTCTCCTAACCTCAGCAGCGGATATTTCGCAATAGTATGCTTTACATCAACTATCTTTTTTCTCACTCCCTTATTTTCTTCAAGCCTTAAAAGCCCAACAATTTTTAATAAATTATGGAAGCACCGCGGTAACTATTCGGAGAAAGAACAAACCGATTCGTTGAACCATTGTTTTAACCGCTTTCCTCACTTCTCTAATCCTCCAACAGTAAATGAACGGGTTCAGTGTGGAATTAAGATAAACTAGAGATGTAGTGCATCCTTCTGCGATAACAATGGACCGGCTATCTCCAAGGCGAGTCCTTGTCACCTGTACAAGAACGAATGGCAGATAGGACACCACCAGTATAAAGTAGACCCATAATGAGGTAGAGACTGTCCTTTTATACCTTAACAAATTTCGTGGCCGGAAGACCTTGCGTTGATCGTGAGCATTCTGTTGCAAAATTCGAGCAATTCGACATCGTAAGGAGAAATATATTGAAATGTAGGAGTACGCCGACGCTAGAAGGCATAGCAGAACACTCGCGCAAACAGTCATAGTGAAGATAGTTGTGTTCAAAAAGTATAACACTCCAATCGAAAGAAACACCGTCCACGAAAGAAAAACGACTTCTTTCACTCGCTTTACGGTTACAACACATCTGTGTCTTAGCCCCAGCTTAAGAAGAAGAAGTCTGTCTATACTGACTGCGGTTAATGTGCAAAGTGAAATGCTACAAAGGAGAGCTGTAGATACCTGCATTACACTTTCAGTTCTTTCACAATCATTTAACCTTTTTGTAACGACCAAAAGAAGGTAGATCACAAAACAAGGCTGCGAAATAAGTCCAACACCGAGATCCGTTAGTGCCAGAGAACGAAAGAGAAGCCTTGTTGACATATGAAGCTGATTATCCCGACCGAGAGCCACGAAAATCACGATGTTTCCCAAAGTGGCTGTGGCACTCAAAATTGCATTTAAAGAAATTGCAAAATATATCATCCACATGGGCCGAAGATCCTGAAGAACTTTGGAGCAAAAGGTTGCATTCTCCATTAATTGTGTGGATTTTACACACCAAGAAGGCCTCTTTAATTACACTAAGGAGAGAAAGATTACATATGAGCATTTCGTTTTCACGAAAGAAGAGATTGAGCCATGTTCCTGTAAATTTGTGGGAAAAATGCGGTAGATATGTAGATAAGTTAACTTCAATCAATAGGGAATCAGAATCTGGTTACATTATTCAAATGATTTAGGACAAATCGATTACCGTCTGTTAAGTTCCCTTTTAGAATTATATGAATTCCTTATTATCTTTACTTCCCGTCCCGACAAAACACCCGCTATCGCCAACGATAAGCATGTTTGATTATCGCTTCAGTAATAATGAATTTTTTTCCTTCTCGAGGAAATATTGATCCATTGAGATCATACAATGAATTTGTAGATATAAATTTTCCTATGGTGGGCCTATGCAGTATGGAATAAGTAAATACCCTGAAGGATATTTCGTCCAGTCAAAACTGGAAAAAAAATTTTAACTACTTTCATCTCAGAAACGCGAAAAAAAAATTTTAACTACTTTCATCTCAGAAACGCGGAAATGGCACAACTATGACACTATCTCGAGAAGAAGTTTCACAATACAATAATTTTTAAATCTATTTATCTTCTATACGATCTGATGCAATACTCAAGTTCACTTTAGTAAAATCAAATACTTCAGTCGTTGTAATAGACTCACGTTAGGTCCTCTGGAAAAGGGTTTGTGGGCAGTACATCGTGAGAGCTGCTATGAATGAAAAAACAAGATATACATACGGAGTATGCCTCAAGGTCTTCTATGTATATAATTCTGAAGTTCATTCAGGTGTTATCACCCGAGTTCGGAGGTAAAAATCGCTTTTCTTGGAAATATTATTGACTCAGTCGCAGATTTTCCATTATCATTGTCAACAAAGCCAGCCAGCGGTTCCAGACTTTGATAGACAGGTCTTCAATTTATCAGGCAGCTGCCGGCATAAAACGTTTCGACGAAAAGTAGTTATTTTACTTTAGCTGGTAATTGGAGGAGACCATTTTGCTTTTAAATTGGGAATGAGGGAAACAGAAGACAGAAAAAAAGAACAATGATGTTACAACTTTACTTTTAATTCTTAAATCAACCTTTCAGCAATTTGACAAAACTCTCTTGTTCAAAGCTAACGCAAATTTATTCACTAAAACGCAAACAGCGGGGAGATTCAATATTTACCCTTTGATGTTTGGCGTGAACGTCATGTTCATCTTCTCTGATCAAATTTATAACAAAAACCTTGAAGATGATTGATTATCGGCAATTCGATTGACGCGCTCATAGGACAGTGTACGTGTCATGCCTATGTAATTGGATACCATGGTTCATTTAAGTAAACTGTGAGGTGCGCTGTTTATTTTACCGTGGAAAAAAGTCTACCTATAGGCCAAGGCATTGAATAGTTGACTTTGTCTTGATAAATTGGTAACACGACTTTGTGTTGCCAAATTCAGTTTTGAACAATATTCGTGGTTCTTAAACCAATCGGATTTTTTTTTTATCTTCTCGTAATTACAGATCAAATTGGACTCCATGCCAGTTAGATTTATTGTCACTTAGTAATGAATTTAAGACTAACGCTCCAGGCTGCGGCAAACGGCAAATACGAGCTCTGCTTTTGCTCACTTTTCTTTAGGTTCTTAAATGAACCCAGCAAAAAACCAGCAAGAAAACGTGCGGTCACCATGGTGCACGAATATTCTTATATTAATTCAAGCCCCACCCCTCCTAAGCAGAGCCAAAAACTTTGCCGTAGTTGATTTTCAGTGGAAATACAAGTTTATAACCTGTATCAAGTATCCGTGATGACTTCCACAAATTTATCACTTATTCACAAACATTTTCCCCTTTCGTTTTAATTTCAAGCGAGTTCAAACTTTTTAGTGTCCTTGGGTTGTAATCTACCTCAAGTTTTTCAAAAAGCACGAAATGAAAAACGCTCTCAGCAGTAAAAACTCAATACAAAGCTTCGGGATACGCAAAACCGTTGTCTTAGCGTGTCCTTCACTGCTTGTCTCACCACGCGCACGTTGAGTTAATAAAAAACCAACGATCCAGTTATGTTCCAGGCCGCCAAACCACACTGTAGAGGTTCCCTTCTTGATGTATTGATAGCAGTAACAACTGTGTATGGCAGATAACAAACTATGAGTGTTAAATACATCCACTTTGCACTAGCCACAGTTTTTCTGTACCACGCTATGTTCAAAGTTGTTGGTGACTTTGAATTTCAGCTTGTTGACGGCGAAGGGCGACGTAAATTTTAAGGTAACAAAACTGATGACGAGACGGCTAAACATACTCCTATCCACATACAACAAGCAACGAAGAAAAAGCGCTCATGAAACGAGATAAAGAAAGTAATTACAGAGCTCATCATCCAAGAAAATATCACGAGAAGACAAACCCGTGTTAACTTCACAGTTTGTCTGTACCTTAATCTCAGTAATAGAGCGAGGAGTCTGTCCACACTTATTGCGGTTAAAATGAGGATAGAATCGCCGCACAGTATGCCACTGAAAATTTTGGCCAAATGTTCATTTATCCAACACAACATCTGATTCTTTCTGATCGAGGAAGCAAGATAAATGATATACATCGGCCGTGAAATAAGTCCAACCAAGAGGTCCGTACACGACAAACAACGAAATGAAAGCTTTGATGGCGGATGAAGAGAAGAATCTTTATGAAGAGCGATGACAATCAGAATGTTCCCTAACAGGGAAGTGATTGATAAAATTGCATTTATGGAAATAAACATATCTACATTGGCCATGCAACTGGAAGTGTCGCCTTCATCGTTCTTGACAGCGGAACATTTTCCTCTTCTCCTCCGTATAATGGAAAGTGAATCATTTTACCTTCCGTTTGACTTGTCAGCAGATTTACAAACCAGTTGGAATGTTTCCTTCAGCCTAGTAAAGTTTTATCGGGAGAATCTTTGCTGTTCAGCACAACCAAAAAAAGTGAATCACCATTGAGAAAAGGGAAGTGCTTAGATCGAAAATTGGTTGACTGAGTATAACTTCAAAGTTTTAATCAGAATTTAATAACATGCCAGGCCTAATTTTTTTTTTCGTATTATGTCTTGTTGACTTTTTTTTTTAACAATTACGTTTCCTCGTCGTTTAGAGAGGCCATGAAAGGATGAAGAAGCAAACCTCTTTTAATCAGTAGGTGACACCATTGGTTGTTTTTTTGCTAAATTTGGAAATCAATTTTTGAACAATCAAAGATCGTTTGTCACGACATATACGAGAAGTTAGACGGTTGAAATCTAGATGGAACCTAGTAGTGTTGTAATGATGGTTGTTCTATTCAGGTTAACGGAAATTTAAGAACCTGGTAGGGTATAAATATAGCTCAATAATTTCAAATTTTGTCGTTTCAGAAATTTTTATTATATATCTTCAGCCCCTTTCATGAAAATTTCTAGTCATTGTGTGTTTAGTTTTTCTTTGAAAAAAACAGAAGGAAGGGAAATATGAAGACTTTTTACACTTTCCCAATAGATTTTTTCCAATGAGAAATAAAATGTAATTTAGTCATTGCTATTGTGATTCCTAATACGTATTTCACTTTGTCAACGGCATTTTCGCACTATACAATAATTAAAAACCTAAACCAAATTGACTATGAAGAAAAAAAGTTTGATGAATGCTTCAAGTTTTAATCCAAACACCGAATATTTTTTCAGTTATTCGCCTATGTTTTACACGAAGTCAACATAGTATTTTCTTACCCGTCAGGGTAGGGGAAGGTAAGGGGGGAAAGTAAGGGGGGAAGGGGCACCCCAGTTAGATTGTTTTCCTTGGAGAGAGAAGTAATGTATTTTCTCAACCTTTTTACCACCAAGAGTTACTAGCGTCGATTATCTCAAATGTTCTCACTGCTAATCATACAGACTGACGGAAAGTTGTAAAGAGTTGATGGATCAAACGTGGACTTTTTTACAAGGGTCTAACGACCGATCCATTTTTAGACATTTTTATGGTGATTCTAGTCGAAACAAAGAGTCGTTCAGTAATCGAGGACAAATACTCGATTTGTTCTCCTCCCCTTCTCCATCACCAGGCGAAACGGAAAAAAAGTGCAGTCCTACCTAAATCGATTTAAGAGCTTTGCTTTACCATGAAAAGCAAATGTTCGACTTGAAAATTTCGTGTATCAACTAAATCATTGAGCTCACTGGCTCAATCGGTTCCATCGGTTAACTAAAATCTGCGCTCCCACGAGAATCATTCGGGATCATCCTGTTCCATTCAAAAGTAAATGTCACGACGACAAAACATTTACAGCCATGATTGGTTAACCTCATATCATGGGAGCCTCCTTGTTTCAGTTTGTCATTATTTTTTAATTCAATACTTCTCTGGGTCATATTATCATTCATTGCCCGGTTGTCGCGGTTTCAGGGTTTACTCCCCAATCAACCAATCGAAACTCAGGCTCTTACCCCAATGCTGATCAAAATCCAAGCGGCCGCGTCTATAGTGGGCTAAGTTAAGGCGTTATTTATTTTTATTTAATCTCTTATTTATTTTTTTTTTTCACATGGTTGACTGCTAAAGATAGAGTTCTTTAAAAAACTAGTATTATTTGACTTTTTTTCTAATTTAACAATCAACTTTTTTGTAGTGCATCAAAGTCTAACACAGAGAAAACCTGATTTTGAGATGAATTTCGCGTCTCAAAATAAATATTTTGTCCGCGTTTCGATGCAGGTGCGCGTCACAGCGCAGCTAAACGCTCACTGTAGCATTATAGAGATTGTAAATCCTAAAGACCGCTAAATGTGCGGTATTACAGAAATGCGCCTCAGTGCTAATGATCCTTGTATTAACCACAGTAGAAAAGTGATTGGTGCATTGCTACGCTCCTTTCGAAAAATGATGTAATTTTTTTTAGTGTCGCAACTCATTCCAATTCCGCGCAATAGTCGTGCTCTTTTGGGTGCCATAAATTTCACTTGGTATGCTGAACTTCCTGCAGAAAGATATTTTCCGGATTTTTTCGTTCATAATCACGCCCTTATGTATTGTCAGGCCATGTCAGGCTTTGGTCACATGAAAACAGTTATTCAGCTGCGTCGTCGTCAAACTCAGATTTTCCAGCAAAGTAAACGACAGTTTTAGACAGGAAGGTCTGCAGATACTCTACTGACAATTAAAATTTTAATTAGAGGATTCTTTGCAACGATAACTCTTTTGAATATGAAAACGATATTCACAGCCGATAACTCTTTTATCTAATTCTCATCGCTGTCGTAGTTTTACGATTGATTCACAAAACAGTTCATATGTAGTTCTTGTAGAATGCATCACGGTATTTTTGGTTTTTTCTTAAGGAAGTGATCCTTATCAAGGAAGTGAGACAAGCTGTAAAGATGACAACCGTGGATGACAACCAGACGCAGGATGTTAGCCTTTCTGACGAAGACGATATAGTCATCTAGAGGTCAAGGAGATCTTCTAACGTACGAGCGCATTCCAATCCTAGCCCTGAAGAAAAGACGGCAGTGAGGGCAAAGGATGGTGTCAGCAGACAGTGGCTTGCTTACCCTTGACTTCATGGCCTGTCTTCGCTTCCCAGTTGCATTAGTTCTGTTGGCCTTTTGTTTTTCTGCACTCTTGTGAACAACCGGACGCTACCTGCGTTTGGTGAAAATCATGCTACTAATGCACAGCTGTATGGTTATAAAGAAAATTCAAAGTTTGCCCTCCTGCCTTCCTGCGATCTGTCGTGTCTTCTGATTCGACTGAACTTGATAATCTTGTGGTAAAGTGCTTTCAATTTGATATGTATGCAATTACTCCCAGAGTTGCGAAAAGTCCATCGAATCACAGGTAGAGGCCGAAATTATTTAAAATTCGTAAAACTTTTGGTTTCTCTCTGCTTTGTTTCATTACAAAGCGACATCTTTGATGTCTTTCTGAGGGGCCTGAGTATCTGGTTTTGGAACATCGCCTTGAGTACGACAAACGGACAAACCTTTGGTGTCCTTAGCTTGTACTTTGTAGTTAAAAATTTTTTGTAACCCAAGCAGCTTGGTAAACGCTACGGAATACCTGGAGCTTCTCACACAATAAATGTAAGGATTGATCGAGGAATTACAAACCGACAAAGTCTGAAGAGGAAAGAAAATTTTCATGAATGTTGCATGATCCAAATTCTCGGGGAGAACGTTTGGAACGATCAAAAGAGGAAGCCAGCATAGAGCTGCAACCCCTAAAATGGTTGCAATGGTTTTTGCAGCTTTTCTCTCTCGGCGTCTGTTAGGAATTCCAGCGTCTGTTGATTCTCTTTGTGTCTGAACCATTCTGCCTTCGAGTCGTCTGGCGATGAGAAATATGTAAAAATAGATCGATGCTGTTCCAACGAGGACCAGGACGAAATAAATGGCCATGTATTCTTTTGGAGCAAGGTCCTGTGTCCAGACTGTTCCATAGGATAACGAAAAAATCCAGATGCAGATTATGGTGACTTTGGCTCGAAATTTAGTCACTAGGAAATCATACTTCAAAGGGAAGCGAATGGAAATCAGGCGTTCCACAGTTACTCCAAACATGTTTGAAATGGATGCAATCAGTGAGATATGCCCGAGAAGACTCGTTATTTCCGAAAATGCTACAATCCCGGAGACTTGAATCAAATGTGTGACTTTGTAAGCTTGCAAGGGCTGAAAGATTGCTGTGACAAGAAAGTCAGACAACGACAAGCTAAAAATAAAAAAGTCAGGAATTTCTCTCAAATAATCAAACTTGATGATGGAAGTTAAGACTAATAAGTTCCCAAGTGTTCCAAGAACACTGGCGACGCCCAACACGGTGCACAGAATCACAGCTTGTGTTAGTTCAAGAGTATTTCGTTCTTCAAGGGAAGTGAATTGACTTGTGGGACTTGCAGGACTCTCCACGGTTACGTTCAAAAAATACGGTTCGTTTGCCGACATGTTGGTCTTGTTTTCTTGTCAAAGGGCTCAGTAGTCAGACTGCCAAAAAGCAAAAGCAGTGGTATCATGATCAGTAAGTAAGAATGAATTTCGTTTCGACCATCATTACTGTGTTGAAGTTGCAGTTCAGTATTACTAGGTGGAAGTTGTAATTTAGATGGCCTTTCAATAAGGGAAGGATAAACTCAAGGAGCAGCATATTATTAATTAACAATTATTCACCGAGGTGGAAGTAAAATAATTGTTTTAGTATATACCGCACAGATACAAAAAAAATCGTTCATTTCTTTCAATATACCGAAAAATGGTCGGAAATTAAACCGTTGACGCGCGATTTTGTCTTATCGGCTGCTCAGAGGGAGAATTGTACTTGCTATTCACTTCCGAACGAGCCAAACAGCGCGCGCGAAAAGCACTATTTACTTGTGTGGTAAAGACTAAATTGAGATATCATCATGAGTCAAAATAAAGCCTTAAATGATAACCGTAGGACTGAGTTAGGGAGGATAAAAACTACTGAATTATTTTTCCTGTTCGATTACGTAATAACACAGACAGTACAGGCTCAATTTACTATCTGCAGTATACAAGGTATTATGGAACAGGATTTGTATGAGAAAAGTGAATGGATCGTAACATCGTCAATATGTCCTGGATTACACCGGCAAAAATCAGCTTACCTCTTCTCACTGAGTTGTGCAACCCTTTTCCCTAAAACGTATCCCTACGTTTCCTCTGTTGTGTAAGAGCGTAATAGCTGCTTGAAGTAATAACTGCAGGTGTTATGCTATTGTAGAGGACTTTCCTATATCTATATAACATTATAAGTTCTCAACACCCACGAGACCTACTGTAAACGTGACTACTTTTTACAATCCCTATGACACGAATAGTTATGTGTGTTGAAAATGAGTCTAATTCTCTGAAAACTCGAGTTGCAAAGATGAAATTAAATTGCTAATTACAGAGAATTGACCATGTTTCCGATGCGTAAATGTCACGCTGTGACTGTTAATGAAATTAGTTATATGTTCTTTGACTACACTGAAAGACATATAGGAACGATGAAGAAAACGTCACAATTTGTTGTTTTCAAAATACAACTCCTGGTCTCAGTGCTCAGTCGCGTTATTAAATTGAAAAAATCAAGGAACCAGCGATCTTCGCAATGAACAGTGAAATGACGTTACCATAAAGCGTCCGTAGGACAAATTTGATTTAAGTCACTTTTCCATATAAATTAATGGTAATCGACTGAATATTTTATGCGACAGTTTTAGTTGCGTGATTAAAAATAAAGTTAGGAGATAAAATTAAAATCTTTCCCTTTATCTTATGGGTAGCTTTTCGAAAAAACTTTCCAAGGAAAACTCACTGGACTAGAATCTCCCTGGACCCCCTGTAAACAACATTTCAAGATCAAGGAGATAGTTTTTCATGGTTGGGCGGAAGGTCTTTGTTCCGCTCAGCTGGATATGCGTCACACGGTAATAAGATCGCAATCGCTTTCTGAGGATCTAAACTCTACACACTGTGGGTAGACGAACGCAATTGCATTAAAACATTCATTGTTATGTCAGATGAGCCTGTTATTGATCGTTATTAAGATCATATCATCTCACTTTTGGTAATCTATTACGGAAAAGGAAAATTGTCTTTCCATGATCAATAGGTAATTTAACTTAAGAAGGTTAGCTGTAAGAATACTTTAGTGAATTTCCTTTCTCGAAAGTTTGGTACCATAACTGATAAAAAAATTTTAATATAATTTTACTTCAATAAATGAGGATTTTAAAGCCTTTGGAAAATCCTGACTCTTATCACTGAATAAAAATTCTACGTGTAGGAAGCCTGATAGCTGTTTGATGACCTTGGGGTAAAGATGAAACATCTGATGATATGGCATACCCACTCGTAGGACTGAGACTATGAAAAAAATACTACTTCACACTGAGCAATTATCATAGGTTGCACCACTTATTTTAACACAAGACTAAATTTTAAGTAATGGTACAGAACTACACTGCTTGTCTATAACAAACTTATTAAGGTCAACAATCAGTCTGATAATTGTGAAGAGCGTGGATATTCGCTCCAACGAACACTGAACATGTTATTAGAAAACTGTTTACTGGAACAATGTAGATGATCGAAAGGATATCCTTAATTAATCTTAAGGAGGAGAAGTCTTTATTCAATCGTAAGTACTACGGAAAAAATTATAAAACAGCAGTTATAAAAGCTAGATCTTCACTTATGTTGGGAGCTAGAACATAATTTAAATCTCTATGTCTTCAACGCCACAAACATAGAGTTGCTGGTGATTTACGAATTTGAAACTACGAGGAGTGCAAATGTGGATCGCAATAGCCCTTTATTTCGTTATCCGAACCAACAGTTTTTTCGTGCATTCGTCATTTTTGATTATGGCTATCAGCGGCGTTCACCGCAAAACAATTACAAATTGAAGGTCACCACCGAGTGACAGGTGATTTTTTAACAAGCAACTATTATTGACAGAGATAAAGGTGTCATTTTATCCACGGAAAATTTGGAAAGTATTGTTTACTATGACGTTGTTGAAAGAGAAATGAAAAGAACTAAAAAGTGCTAACAATCATGCATGCGTTGGGGTGCGTCGAGAGCTTGGAATAAAATGTGCGCGTGGAAACTCACAATCTAATGATGAATTTGATTTTAGAGCTATGCTAATAAAGTTTGGAAAATATTAAATAAAAGCCTGATCATAAAGTTTGGAAAATATTAAATAAAAGCCTGATCACAAACCAAGATTTCTTTCAGACTGTATTCCTTCGTTTACAGACTAATAGGACTAGGGCTTCGCGTAACTCAAAATGCCCTTTTCGGAGGATCATCCGGTAATATTTCTCCAAAGATATTACCCAATTTCAACCTTACATGCAATTCGATGTAAATCCTCGTTTGACGTTCAATAAAAAATGTTAACGCGTTCTGTTTTTGTTTAAAGAAGAACAGACAATTCTTTTTGCTTATTAAGTCGAACGGGAAAACAAGGAAAAGACAACATCCCACTCGATAAGTTTTTAGCAGCTGTCTCTAGCCGTTTGATCCCGCGCATGTAAAAGTACTTGTTATTTTCCTTTGTACTGCAAAATCGTCAGAATTGTACAGCGATTTTGTTCAGCTGAGTTCATTACACCGCAAATTATTCCTACCTGTTATATCTGAAAGGTATAACTAAATCAGCAACATCGACTTGAATGATGAGGAATTCGGGCAAAGTCAAATTAAGCAGATACTAATGCGATCGTTTTATCATTAATTTTTTTAATTTCGTTGAGTCATTAAGCCTCGATTTTCTTACCGTAAATTAGAGAATTTATTCGAGATACTCGTATTTTAACATTTTATAGGCAAGCTTCAAGTCACTTAAAAAAGTAAACATCTTCGTTTGGTAAACCACAGAAATCTTCAGCAATAAATATTTTGGGGTTTAAGTAATAAAAGCTGACAAAAATAAATAGTTAACAAAAAGCGTTCCCGCTAAATTATTTCGGTATAACTTTGCTAAAAAAATCTACTTTACCTTTTCCAATAGATTCCTTCTGGTTTAAGAAGTCATTTGAATATAACCGAAGATTTGATGTAATTTTTATCGTGAAGACCGTAAATAGAGAATATAAATGGCTTGGGGATATGGTGTGTCCCTTGAGGCGCTGATGTCGAGAAGTGTTTTGTAGTGTAAATACAAATGAGTTCCAACTTCTTTTTTCAATTCCGCCTCACTTTTTCTCAAATGAATACTATTCAAAGTTCATCCAATTTAAATGGTAATGAAACATTTCACTCAGAATGCAATATTAGCCTCTTTTGTTTGTGTATAGCAAACGAAACGACAACAAATGAGAAAACTGTCTGCCGCTCAGGCACGTATTTAGGTCATAGCTGTAACAGGCTTCATTTTCGAGCTCTAAAGAAGTGACAATTACAATAGCCAGCTGTTATTTCATCACGTAGTTGATGGCAGAAATAAGAGGAGGGGATGAGGGATAGATTGATTAATGTGAGTGAAAAGGAGAGCAGTTGCGTACGCGTTACTGTGATCATGTTACCCAACCGAAGGTCTTTCCTTACATACGAAGGCGTTGGCCAAGTCTTAGCCACCTTTTTGGGTATATAAAACTTAATAGTTTATACCTGAATACCTTCATAAAACCTAAATGCTTAAAATCTTTGATTTGCAACACCTAACAAGGAGCGTGTGCCATTCGATTGGTTAAATTTCAGGTCCAAGAAAATAATCGGGTAACTTAAAGTTAATAACCAGTTCACAATTTTGCATTTGAAAAGAAGTCGGTTTGTTCAGAACCCCTTGTTGTTCTGTGACAACATGCAACATTGCATGCACAGCACGTTGAATTACATGAAAAGATCCTTAGGCAAAAATTAACTTTTTGGTCACTTCCGCGGTGTCTGTGAAAAGGAATAGAACACAGTCGAACCTCTATGAAGCGGCACAGTCTTAAGTCGTCCGAATGAATTAAGCGGTCGGTTGCCAAAGTCCCAAATTGGTGTCCCCTTTATCACTGGAATTTTCACCTCTATTCAGCGGTCGCGGTCACCCTTAAGTCTCAAAGGCCTCTTTGTATTATCTCCACCGGTATCTAAAGGTCACTTAAAGCCGACTCACTCAAGTAAAGCTACGAATAATCTTTGAAGTAATTTTCAAGCCATGTTTCTCTCCCAAAATAAAAGGAAGTCGTTATTTTGAGCGAAATTCTTTACATTAAGTGGTCAATTACATCGCAAAGTGGCGTTGTTCATCGTTTTTTATAATACCCCCAAAGGTCACGCAACCACCTCTTCAAAAGAAGTGCTGCAAGGAAATATTGCGTGACATCTCAAAAACTGCTTCTCGGTAGATTTTGCTTTTCTAATTTTGTTTACTTTGTTTTTTTCGTCTACTTTTCCCCTTTAATTTGAACCAAAAAATGTCACGTATCATATACTTCTAGCAATAACCTTGAAAAAAAACTAAGACACTCGTTCCCCCAGAGGAAAGCTGAAAGTTTCTTAATAAAAACGAATGACGCTGACTCCGTGTCAAGTTCAGTGTTGGCATACGACGGCATGATTCTGAGCGGAAAGATGCCTGAATCCATTCGTAACGAAATTGAATCCGATTTGAGCAGGCGAATCAATGAATTCTTTCTAACGGCTGAGTACAACACCTTTAACAATTCCAAATGCCAGCCCTCCACATAGTACGGATGATTTTTTTTCTTTTACACATTTTTATTTTTTCAATTTCATTTCAAAATTTTCCCAATTAGCTAGTCGAAACTTAGAACATTGTTACTAAAATAATTGTTTTAGATTCGAACGTAGACTCCTTGCTAATTAGGCACCTGTCAGCATATGAAAAGCGCTCTATCTTTCAGAGGCTGGTTGATCCCGAAATCAAACTCGCAGTCCATCACCTTACAATTCAGATGCGTCAAAAGGAGCGCTACGGTGTCACAACGATTAAGAGTTTTCTCCGGTAGAGTAAACTTTTCATTAAAAAAGTTTTCGGTGCTAAGTCCCCGTGTAAAATACAGCAAAAGATAGGATGTGCTTGTGACGTTATAATCACCTACCCTTTGATTGTCGCGTTAAACAGCACGTTCTCGATCGCTTATGAATCTACTCTAAAGCAGTGTAATTGCTTATCGAAACATTATTCCAACTTGCTCAGCAACGTTTGGCGATAACCGATTATTTATGTCGATGATTCAATTGTTGATGGATATTCAACAGAGAGGTTGACTCCTTCACATGTGCAAATAGATATGAATAAAATTATCGAGGGAAAAGTTTGACATCCTTTCTCAGCTATGCGATATAACACAAAGAAAAAACTAACCAATGTAAGCTTGCTCTATTTGCTTGCTCTCTTTGCTTCTCTATATGCTTTAACGGAAGTAACTTTCACAGAATTGATCAAAGAAATTGAACCTAGTTACCTCCCTGTGCTACCAGGTTGTAATGAATTAGTTCTTGAATATGCGGTTGACCAATCTCAATTAAAAATCTTAAGGATCTACCTGAAGGCACAGACAAAAGCTGCTTATGTTCTATTCTTTCAATAATAAACATAACATTGTCGCATATTCATCCCTGTTTTGAATTACAACTGATTTAAAGAAGCAAATACTTTTTTTTGTGGGCGTACATCGGCTTTTCTTTTATCTCTAACGAGGAATTATATTTCATGCGTAACTGGCTAAAATCTGCTTTAAGTTTGTTTTCTTCAAAAATAAAGGGTTGATATGTAAATATTCCAAAACAATCTCAAAAATCTCCTTAAAAACTGAAAAAAAAAACTGAGAAAAACGTCTTTCCGTACTTCTGTCCGATACTATTATGCCGTGAAAAAAATGTTGGAAAATTCTTGCTCCAACGGTCTTGAGAACGGTTTTTTTTTCTTATTAATTAAACAACGAGGCAAGCAATCAGCATATCAATCGGGAATCCTTTCCAATATTGAATGTAAAAGGAAAGATGTCTAGATTATAACTTAATACATTGTTATTTACTTTTCTTTTTGAATTCTAAATTGACTTTTCAAGAAGAAAGAAATTCATGCCCGCAGTTTCTTCTTCCAACACTCTTGAATCAAAAAATCTTTATGGAAAACTGTCAGATATATCGTGTTTATCATTTGCACTCTAACTTTCAACAGGACACGGACTTTCTTTACACAGTGATTGAGGTAAACAATTAGAACTCTGCAAGCCTTTTTTGCTAATCCTCAGGAAAGGAAATTGATACGCAGGCATGATTAAATAAAACACAAGAGGACAAAATACATATCTACGAGCTTACGCTGTAGACGGAAGAGTACGACCTGTGTGGTGACATATTTGAAATTATAAGATGACCGTAAATATCGCAATTAACACTGAAATGAGAGTTACACATGATTTTTTATCTCGTTCTTTTTCTCCTAAAACTTTTGCATAACTTTCTGCATGTTTATTCTTGGATAATGTCGAACTTGTAAGGGATGAATTCAAGTTGATGATTTTAGGAAAAAAGGATAAGTTGTCAGCACTGAGTTATTTTTATCTTACAAAGCTGTTACTTACTCAGTCTGTTACTGATGCTTTTTGTAGTTTATGAAACTCGAGATGACCAGCTTTCCAATCTCGCCGAAGTTTAATTTAAACTGAGAACTTTTCCAGCCAAGTAGGACGGACGGAACTTTTTTTCAGAAACATGGCTATATTAAGAAAAAGCACTATTAAATTTCTCACATGCTGAGCATTGATTAACTATAGTTTCGCACCTCCGTTTCAGCACGTACCTAAAACGAAATACACGTTTTTAGAGGGAAAGCCATCTACAAAGAAAAGTATCATAATCAATTTCTTGAAAATAACTAGCGGGTCCGCACATCTCTGTTGGAAATGTAAATTTCGAAATTTCTGAGACCGAAATAACATCAGTCAAAATAAAACTAAAAACTCAATTTGGTTTTCATTTTGCCAGATTCGAACCTTCTCGTTTCACGTTCTTTCTGAGCTTGTGTTTCTGTTATGGATAAACATAATCACCAACGTATTCGTCGATTTCTTCTCAATATTTCTTTTATACAAGTGATTTACGAGCAACATACAGCTTTCGTGTGGAAAGACACTACGAAATTAAGTTTCGAATCCGTAAGAATCTTCCCTGAGTTACGTACCGTTCAGTTTATTGCCTAGGGTTAAAACACAGAGTAAAATAGGTTCGTTACTAAGATTAGAAACTGTTTCCAGTTATCTTTGAAGGAATGCTGTGATATGATTGGTACGAGATACATCGGTGCGAACGAAATACCACTTTATACGCTGACACAGAGTAATCAAATTTTTTTTTATTATCCAAAAAATAGCAATAAAGAAATCCTCTCTTTTCCCTGCTGTTTGCTAACTGTTGCCTTATTTGTTTAGCCTTTGACAGCCTGAAATGACTGCAGATCCTATATAGTGTTCTCTCTTCATTCCCTATGATGCTGATTGATTTTATATTCATTGTTCCTTTTTTAATTGTTTATTTATAAGTTTAAGATTTCTTTATTTCTTGTTTATTTTTCTGAGAAAACTTATACATTTCATTACTAATGACGATCATATGATACATAATAAGACGTCGAAGCTTTAAAAACTGCTTCCTTCTTGATGATCAGGTCCTTCATAGACATCGCAACGATGACACTGCTTCCAAATATATGACTTTCATATATTCTTAACCGTACACTGTTTCCTTGTTGATAACAAGAAGATGAATAGACACCACAAATTTTGAACTGCTTCCGAGCTAATAAACACATGATGCAGTGACATCACAACTTTTAAACTGCTTTCTTGTTGACAAACACGTCATGCTATGACACCACAACTTTTAAACTGCTTTCTTGTTGACGAATACATGATGCATTGACACCACAACTTTTAAACTGCTTTCCTGTTGATAAAAACATGATGCATTGGCACCACAACTTTTAAACTGCTTTCTTGTTGACAAACACATGAAGCATTGATACCACAACTTTAAAACTGCTGATATAAACACATGATGCAGTGACATCACAACTTTTAAACTGTTTCCTTGTTGACAAACTCATGATGCGTTGAGACCACAACTTTTAAACTGCTTTCTTGTTGACAAACACGTCATGCTATGACACCACAACTTTTTAACTGCTTTCTTCTTGACGAATACATGATGCATTGACACCACAACTTTTAAGCTGCTTTCCTGTTGATAAAAACATGATGCATTGGCACCACAACTTTTAAACTGCTTTCTTGTTGACAAACACATAATGCATTGACACCACAACTTGTAAACAGCTTTTTTGTTGACAAACACATGATGCACTGATACCACAACTTTTAAACAGCTTTCTTGTTGACAAACACATGATGCATTGACACCACAACTTTTAGACTGCTTTCCTGTTGATAAAAACATAATGCATTGACACCACAACTTTTAAACTGCTTTCTTGTTGACAAACACGATGCATTGATACTACAGCTTTTTTGTTGACAAACACATGATGCACTGATACCACAACTTTTAAACAGCTTTCTTGTTGACAAACACATGATGCATTGATACCACAACTTTTAAACAGCTTTCTTGTTGACAAACACATAATGCATTGACACCACAACTTGTAAACAGCTTTTTTGTTGACAAACACATGATGCACTGATACCACAACTTTTAAACAGCTTTCTTGTTGACAAACACATGATGCATTGTACCACAACTTTAAAACTGCTTTCTTGTTGACAAACACATGATGCATTGACACCACAACGTTTAAACAGTTTTCCTGTTTTCAAACACATGATGCATTGATACCACAACTTTTAAACAGCTTTCTTGTTGACAAACATATGATGCATTGATACCACAACTTGTAAACAGCTTTCTTGTTGACAAACACATAATGCATTGACACCACAACTTGTAAACAGCTTTTTTGTTGACAAACACATGATGCACTGATACCACAACTTTTAAACAGCTTTCTTGTCGACAAACACATGATGCATTGATACCACAACTTTAAAACTGCTTTCTTGTTGACAAACACATGATGCATTGACACCACAACGTTTAAACAGTTTTCCTGTTTTCAAACATACATACTTTATTTACATACATACTTTATTTATTCCAGAAGCAGATGATAACTATTATATACAAATAAAACTAAAAAGAAAATACTTCTAGAAAAGTTATCCCTGTGTAAAAACTCCCTTAAAAGAAAAGACAAAATATAAATCAAAATCATTACAATCAAATATTTAAGTACGATTTAAGTTTAGATTTAAAATGCTGAAAGCTGTCAGCTTCCACTATATCACCCGGTAACTCGTTCCATAATTTGACAATCCTAATAAAAAAAGAATTTTTGTAACAATTAAGTCTAGCTGGTTTAATATAGAGTTTGTATTGATGATTTGCTCTCGTAGACCGAATCGTGGCAATATCAAAGAAGTCTTCAAAATTTAAATGATAAAAACCAAAAACTATCTTATAACATTCGACTAAAGATAAGTAAGTTCTACGGTCAGAGAGAGTGGGCCATTTTAACAGTTTGCATCGGTCTTCATAGGACATTTCTCCTTTGCGTTGATTTAAAGCGAGTCTTGAGGCTCTTCGCTGTACATTTTCAAGGGCATGGATGTCCTTAACAAGGTAAGGACACCAAACAGGTACCGCATATTCCAAGATTGGCCGTACCAGAGACATGTACAGCATAGAAAAAACATTTGTGTTAGCGGTGCCTACTGAGCGTTTAATGGAACCTAAAACTTTGTTCGCTTTATTGACAGTGATACTTATGTGATGGCCCCATGAAAGATCTCTAGTTAGTGTGACACCGAGATCTTTAAAATTAGTCACGTCTTTCAGGGGCTTTTCTAAGAAATAATTAGTTACCGACTTATCGCGTAAATGCGTGATTCGCATAGATTCGCATTTGTCTGCGTTGAAACGTAGCTGCCACTTACGAGCCCATGCGCGTAAGTCAAACACATGATGCATTGATACCACAACTTTTAAACAGCTTTCTTGTTGACAAACATATGATGCATTGATACCACAACTTGTAAACAGCTTTCTTGTTGACAAACACATGATGTATTGACACCACAACTTTTAAACTGCTTTCTTGTTGACATACACATAATGCATTGACACCACAACTTTTAGACTGCTTTCCTGTTGATAAAAAAATGATCATTGGCACCACAACTTTTAAACAGCTTTCTTGTTGACAAACATATGATGCATTGATACCACAACTTGTAAACAGCTTTCTTGTTGACAAACACATGATGTATTGACACCACAACTTATAAACAGCTTTCTTGTCGACAAACACATGATGCATTGATACCACAACTTTAAAACTGCTTTCTTGTTGACAAACACATGATGCATTGACACCACAACTTTTAAACTGCTTTCTTGTTGACAAACACATAATGCATTGACACCACAACTTTTAAACTGCTTTCTTGTTGACAAACACGATGCATTGATACTACAACTTGTAAACAGCTTTCTTGTTGACAAACACATGATGCATTGACACCACAACTTTTAAACAGCTTTCTTGTCGACAAACACATGATGCATTGATACCACAACTTTAAAACTGCTTTCTTGTTGACAAACACATGATGCATTGACACCACAACGTTTAAACAGTTTTCCTGTTTTCAAACACATGATGCATTGATACCACAACTTTTAAACAGCTTTCTTGTTGACAAACATATGATGCATTGATACCACAACTTGTAAACAGCTTTCTTGTTGACAAACACATGATGTATTGACACCACAACTTTTAAACTGCTTTCTTGTTGACATACACATAATGGATTGACACCACAACTTTTAGACTGCTTTCCTGTTGATAAAAAAATGATCATTGGCACCACAACTTTTAAACAGCTTTCTTGTTGACAAACATATGATGCATTGATACCACAACTTGTAAATAGCTTTCTTGTTGACAAACACATGATGTATTGACACCACAACTTATAAACTGCTTTCTTGTTGACATACACATAATGCATTGACACCACAACTTTTAGACTGCTTTCCTGTTGATAAAAACATGATCATTAGCACCACAACTTTTAAACTGCTTTCTTGTTGACAAACACATAATGCATTGACACCACAACTTTTAAACTGCTTTCTTGTTGACAAACACGATGCATTGATACTACAACTTGTAAACAGCTTTCTTGTTGACAAACACATGATGCATTGACACCACAACTTTAAAACTGCTTTCTTGTTGACAAACACATGATTCATTGACACCACAACTTTTAAACAGTTTTCCTGTTGTCAAACACATGATGCATTGATACCACAACTTTTAAAAAGCTTTCTTGTTGACAAACATATGAGGCATTGATACCACAACTTGTAAACAGCTTTCTTGTTGACAAACACATGATGCATTGACACCACAACTTTTAAACTGCTTTCTTGTTGACACACACATAATGCATTGACACCACAACTTTTAAAATTCTTTCTTGCTGCCAAAGACATGATGTATTGACATCACAACTTTTAAACTTCTTGTTGTCAAACACATGATGTATTGACACCACAACTTTTAAACAGTTTTCCTGTTGTCAAACACATGATGCATTGATACCGCAACT